AACTGTTGGTGTGGGAGCAGCTGCAATCAGCTTGATGTTGGTGAACACACTGTTCTGGCCTACGCGCCACGCGACCGGCTGGGGAAGACAGTTGTGGAAGGCCACTGAACTCAGCACTATGGCAGTCGTCTCTGCGGCCATCATACTCTTCATGCGACAGTGGTCAGAGAACAAGATCAAAAATGTGTGGGATGCTGAGGTCTGGCAGGCGGAAAGACAAAGAGGTCAGAAACTGGCCAAGACTCAAACTGCTGAAAGTACGCAGTGGTTGAACTCGTTGTTTGCGTCCATATGGCCATTGATCAATCCGGATCTGTTTACCAGCATTTCAGATACACTCGAGGTACAGAATCCACAGCACACTCAATATACAAGCTAACTTTTGCAGGATGTCATGCAAGCCTCTCTCCCCAGTATGGTCCGTATGGTCGCTGTCGAAGACCTTGGTCAAGGTAGCGAGGCCCTTCGCATCCTTGGTGTCCGATGGCTTCCTACAGGCGGGGCTGCCAGATCTGTAGGCTCCGATGGAAACTTGAAGTCTCCTGACCAAGAGAAGGGCGACCGGACTGTCGAGGATAGCGATGATAACGGCCAAGGCCAAGATGACCAACCACAACAGGACACAATGGAGGCTGAAGATGGAGATTTCGTAAATGTGGAACTTGCCTTCGCATACAGACCATCCACAGGAAAGGGTATCAAGTCACGCGCCAAACATGCTCATTTATTGTTGGCATTTTACATGCCAGGCAATATCAAGATACGTAAGTTTTGCGTTCCCAAATGGCACTCATTTGCTTACACATTTTAGCTGTCTGGGTCGATCTCGCTGGTGTAGTTGGCGTTATGCGCTTCCGTCTGCAGCTCTGTCCTGATCCTCCGTTCTTTTCAGTTTGTACCATGGCCTTCATGGGCCAGCCCAAAGTGACGCTATCGTGTGTACCACTCATCAAGAAAGGACCAAATCTCATGGACGTGCCTCTAATCTCAAGCTTCGTGCAATCATCCATGGATGCAGCACTGGCCGAGTATGTCGCACCCAAATCTCTTACCTTGGACCTCAAAGATATGTTGATGGGCGACGACTTCAAGAAGGACACAGTCGCACAGGGTGTTATCATGGTGCGTATCAAATACGCATTCGACTTTAAAGAGGGCGATACCAAGATCGGTCCTTTTGGTGGTTCTGCAGACCCTTATGTGAGCGTGGGATGGGCCAAGTTCGGAAAGCCGCTTTGGTCGACGCGTGTTCTCCAGCAAAACATGAATCCCCACTGGGACGAACACTGCTTTGTCTGTGTCACCTTTGACCAGTTGAACGTAGATGAGAAGCTAAGGCTGCAGTTGTGGGATTCCGACCGTTCCACTGCTGACGACGACCTGGGACGTATAGAGGTGGACCTCAAAGAGTTGATGAAGAGTGATGAGACAAATGGAAAAATGCACGACCGAGAAGATGGTTTCAGAGCACTCAAGAGCGGAAATGACATGCCTGGAAAACTGAGCTGGAGCTTGGGTTATTTCTCGAAAACCAGAATCACCGATGACCAGCTTGCTATGCAAGACGAAGACCCCGATGTTGAGAACATAGACCAGTTGAAAAAGAAGATGTACAAGGAGGCAGAGGACAAACTTCGGGAGGCGAGCGAGGATCACCGAAACGAAGTGGAACAGCAAAAGTCTGAAGAGTTCAAGAACCGCCAAGATCAACTCATCATCGCGTCCCCACCTTCTGAAGACTATCCGTCAGGTATCCTCAGCATCCAGATCCACCAGATTACTGGCTTGGAATTGGAAACGCTGAACAAACAGAAAGACTCTGCGAACGCAGAGGCAACAGATGAAGAAGAGGAAGGCGACAGCTTACCCTCTGCATATTGCACCATCATTCTCAATCACAAGAAAATCTTCAAAACGCGCACCAAGCCGAAGAACTCGAAGCCATTCTTCAACGCTGGCTGCGAGCGCTTCATTCGAGATGTTCGCAATACCGAAGTACACATTGCCGTTCGTGATGCTCGTATACACGAAGACGACGCCTTGCTCGGTATTGTCTACCTGCCTCTGGAAAGAGTATTTCACAAGCGCAGCCAGATCAACCACATGTTTCCCCTTGCTGGAGGTGTAGGATATGGCCGCATAAGAATCTCCATGGTCTTCCGAAGTGTGCAGGTACAACTACCAAGAAATATGCTGGGCTGGGACTACGGAACTGTGGATATCAAACCCTCTGTAAAGGCTATTGACGTGCCGGAGGACCTAAAGCCCCTTCGACTCAAGGTCCGCACGCCATTGGAACGCGCAAAGCTTCACTCGCGAGGACGGAATGGTAAGGTCCACTCAGAAGAGGGACAGACTATCTGGACTCCGAGGAAGGATAGATGCATTCGCCTCCCTGTGCGGGCACGCTACTGTGCGCCTCTTGTCTTCGAGTTTAGACAGGATGCTACTTTCAGAGACCACACCCCAGGCTTTGGCATCCTATGGCTCAAGGATATTCCCGATAACGAGGAACAGACAGTACGCGTCACTATCTGGAAAGGTGACCTGGAGCGCGCAGAGAATAACGTGCTTGATTCGTATGGTGAGAAGCTGGGCGAGATCGAAGTAACATTGACGTTTTGGTCTGGCTTATCAGGATACCACGAGAAACTTGCAAAGGGCGACAAGCACATTACCAATGTCATGGAGGTTCTTGATGTTACCAATGATCAGGAGTGGTCCGATTGGGATGATTCAGATGGCGATAAACCTGGAATCAACGACAACAAGGACACCGAAAGCGACAGCTCATCTTCGGACAGTTCGGATTCGGAAGACGACGGTGAGGACGACAGCGGTAGTAAGAAATTCATCCCAGACTTTCTCCAAGACGGTGGCAAAAGAATCGACTCGAAGCTGAGCATGGAGGGCAAGAGTGGTCCTATCAGCAAGATGAAAGATTACAAGGAGAATATGCACCAGCTACATCGTAAGAACAGGGGCATGATGCAGTGGAAGGGTCCACGAACATTGGCCTGGATGAAGCATGTCGGCGACCGTGGAAAGAAGAAAGTGGGAAACATGTTCCATCACCACGAGAGGAGTGGAGGGGGTGTTGAGACAGAGGCTTGAGATCATGTTCTTATCACATAGCGTGCGCGTCCGGCGTTAACTCATACGGTCTTATGTACACTAATAGTATTCATTTGTAATGAAGGACTAGGTTGGCTTACTCTCAACCCAGTCACAAATCTCCGCAAAGTCACTTGCCCATACAACACCCCACTCGTCAGCGTCTTTATAGTCCTTTAATCGCAGACATGATATACCTAACCTTGTCAATGCTTCTGCAAGTTTTGCCTGTGAACTTCCCATGGGGCTGTCTCGAATACAAATACCCAGATCAGCTGCCAGTAAGCATTCGATATCTGTCCAGCTATCGCCCACATACACCTTTTGGCCCTTCAGCTCCTGCAACCGCTCCATTCTCTCGAGTTTGTCTCCGCTAGACATGACGAGGCTTTCACAATTGGGGGCAGCTGGGACGATTGCGCCCGTAGATGGGTCTCCAGACTCTATGTTTTCAAGTTCATTGGAGAAGATAGATTTGCTAGGTAGATCAACCGTACCCGAGGCACTAAGGCAGGACTGAATGAAGTGGCGCGACCAATTGACACTGAGAAGCGTCAAACCATCGTCCACGCGGTCATGACGAATATGCCTGGAGAATCCAAGGAAACCACTCCGTACTTCTACCGCACGTGAGTCGATAGCCTGTTTTGCCCCAGCTTCTATAGCTTCCTTCGTCAAGCCGGCGAAGATACCGGATGAAGATACGCGGTGGAGACTACGCTGTTCTACGGGTTTCATTTGGGCAAGAAGGTGCTTCTCCCCCGATACTGTGGTTGGTAGCTTGCCGTCTGGCGCGACTTGGGATAGTGTAGCTGTGTAATCGTCCATGTAAGCTTTCGAGACATCGTTCCAGCGGTCCTGGGTGGGGAAACCAGGATTTGCGGCGGCGGATATGTTGACGAGGGCATCTAGTGTGTCTTTTTTGGTGATGGTGCCGTCCCAGTCGAGGATCCAGTGTATTGGCGAGGCTTTGTTAGCTGGAAATTTGATAGAGGTGGACATGGTGGTGTATGGTGAGACAGTTGAGGGGATTGCAATTCGCGATGGACGGGCTGTAGCAAGCACGGATAGGGTGCGGCCGAGTGTATGTTGAGACATGCGACGAAAGATGTTTGTTAGCAGGGCTGATGTCTGAGATGGTTGCTGTTGGCCTAGAGCATTTCTAGGTGTGGCTGCGAGCGACACCACCTGGGCAGTTCCGTCTTCGGCAGCCCCCACCGCTGCAAGCCTCCAGGGGCGCGATAAACTAACAGAGCGGGGACGTAAGACACTGTATGGTAGCTGTGCACACAACTTTTCGTGTGTGGTATCACGGAAAGTCGCACAAGGTCATGGCAGTACATGACGAATACAGGCTATCGGAGCCGACCTTATGGTGGTGCTGTCGGAGTTTGCGATGCTGTGATTGCTCGAGCAGGCGGGAAAATGGCGCAACGCGTCAAGACACGAAGAAGAGGTAACTTTTACCGGCAACGACGCGCCATGTCTATCACGTCGGTGCAACCTCATCACCAAACTTTGATTCCTCCCTGTTTGCGCATTCTCGCGATTCTTTCCCGTCGCCGCTCGCAGCAGACCAGCGCACCATGTTCCTCCGGCGGCCATGAGCCAATGGCAGCGGCGCTATATGCATAACCCGCCCGCAACCGAGGCGCTCGTTGGTCGCATTCCTCTAAAGGCATCTTGAGGCGATAACACCAGTTGCTCTTACGAAGGCTGTCTCCTAAGTACAGTTGGAGGCGATACACGGCACAACCCTCAACCAAGGCTGAAAATAAGAAGCCCGCCGCATCTGCTCTTGTCTCTTGCATCCTCAACTCACACTCCTGAGCAACCACGATAGTCTTCCCCACTACCCCACGTTAGCATCAACACTGTCCTCCATCATGGCTCCAGGCGCGATTCACAACGACACTGCTGCAGCGAATGGAAATGGCACCGCCCTGAAGCCAACAGCCCGCTCTTTCCACCCTACAGGCACCCCAGATCCCTCCAAGTACCATGCGTCGTCGTCGCAGGCGGCCATCAAGTCAGAGGCCGACTTCGCAGCGCACAACTACCACCCTCTTCCCATTGGTATGCACTCAACACGTGTTCTTCTGGAGACATGAATAACACAGTCCAGTATTCTCAAGAGCAAGCGGATGCAGCGTCTGGGACCCTGAGGGCAAGCACTATCTCGACTTCCTCTCCGCCTACAGTGCCGTCAACCAGGGCCACTGCCACCCCGAGCTTGTCAAGGCTCTCACTGAGCAAGCTTCGCGATTAACCCTCAGCAGTCGCGCCTTCTACAACGATGTCTTCCCGCGCTTCGCTGAGTATGCCACCAAGTTGTTCGGCTTCGACATGATCCTGCCCATGAACACTGGTGCCGAAGCGGTCGAGACGGCTGTCAAGGTCGCACGCAAATGGGCATACAAAGTCAAGGGTGTCCCGCAGAACGAGGCGTTGGTTTTCTCTGTAGAGGAGAACTTCCACGGACGGACAGTATGCATTCTCGCTCATCTTTTAAACCTCAACTAACACTATAGTAGTTTGCCGCAATTACCATGTCCACCGACCCCGAATCTCGCGACAACTACGGTCCCTACCTACCAGGTATTGGAAGTGTATGCCCCGCCACTGGCAAGCCAATACGCTACAACAACATCGACGATGCGCGAGAGGCATTTGAGAAGCATGGAAAGAACCTGGCTGCCTTCCTGGTCGAGCCCATCCAGGGCGAAGCCGGTATCGTCGTGCCAGATGACAACTACCTTCGGGAAATCAGGGCACTTTGCGACAAGCACAACGTCCTGCTCATCTGCGACGAGATCCAAACAGGTATCGCGCGGACAGGCAAAATGCTCTGCCATGAGTGGAGTGGCATCAAACCTGATTTGGTCTTGTTGGGCAAGGCCATCTCAGGTGGCATGTACCCCGTCTCGTGCGTTCTCGGCTCCAAGGAGGTAATGCTTACTATCGAGCCTGGTACTCACGGTTCAACATATGGCGGTAACCCACTTGGCTCTGCTGTCGCGATCCGGGCTCTTGAGCTTATTCAAGAAGAGAACATGGTTGAGCGCGCCGAAACATTGGGCAACAAGTTCCGAGAGGGTCTCAAGAACATCAACAACCCCATGATCAAGATCATTCGCGGCAAGGGTCTGTTGAACGCCATTGTGATTGACGAAAGCAAGACGAACGGACATAGCGCGTGGGATCTCTGCATGCTCTGCAAAGAGAAGGGATTACTGGTAGGAAGAGCCCTCAAAATTATGCATATGAAAGAGATTGACGGTGCTGACTCTGATGGACAGGCGAAACCCACACACCAGAACATTATCCGCCTTGCGCCGCCGCTGGTCATCACTGAGGAGGAGATTGAGTCGGCTTTGTCCATCATCAAGGAGGCTATGGAGGAGCTGCCAAACCTGAAAGGTGAGAAGGAGAAGGAAGTGCTCACTTCAGCTGTCGGACTTGAGAAGAACGTCCACATCGGAGTGGACAACTAGGAACGTGGTTTAGTTTCTTACGATACCCCATGAGATTGCCTCGACGCTATGACCGCTACGAACCTGTAAATAGATCGTACTTGCGCTGTTATGCCATTACAGAAATGTCTACATAGCGCGAGGCTCGGCACTATGACGGTTCCGGAGCATCTGACGGACTAGATATCATGCTAAGAGATGACATGATCTTGTCGTGCATCGGACACCATTGACTTGATTACTCCTCTTTCAAACTCTCCATCGTCACTACTAAATGTGCAGTAAGCATACTCGCATCGGCATCCACGCTTGTGGCTGTTGCTAGTGCTGATTGCAACGTAACGCCTCACTATTGAGATGAAGCCCAACAGCAAGCTTCTCTAAGTATCTTGCGATGAGGCTCCAGCTATGGAGCCGGAGCTTTACAACTTGACAATCGAGTGCTTCAGATGATGTGGTGGCTTGGCTCGGTGCATAGCGACATGGTCATGGTGTTGTTCCTCGTCCTTCACTCCTAGGTACTTAAGTAAGGTCCGTATCGCGGCGTAATCGATGGCTACTACACATCTTACGCCCTCTGCTTGCACAACCTCCGGCCTCTTACTATAGTATAACCACCGACACTGGCTACGGACCTTTTTCAGCACCGAGAAGCTTTCTATTGAGAAGCTTTCTATGCGTCAGACACAGGACTCGCAGCCACGTGCGCCCACATGAGCCGACGGACCGATACTTAGTCCGAAGCGTGCGGAAGGGGAGGGGTGCCAGACGTTCTGTGCTGCATGCGCTCCAACGGCTGCGGGAAACGTTTCATTTACAAGCGCTGTGAGTTACATGTACCATATGGCAATATCGCGGATGCGTACTGCCACTTTGTAGATCAATGGATTAGATGAATCTTAGCAAGGTTGACGCCCGGCAAGTCGAACAAACAACAGACAGCCTCGTGTGTTCGGGAGCTCAAACTATACACGCTCGGATACCGTATCTCAACCAATACTGCAGTCATGGCCGCGATGTGCCCAGCTGAAGGGAAACCTCGTCCGTGCAGCCAGGTGACGGGCACGACTAATCCACATGTCGGCATGTCGGGCCTAGGCCATGCTTTTTGCCCCCGTTTCATCGACAAGCGATGGCCCCACTGTTGTCCGATCGTGTCAACAAGCCTTTACGACATCGAATCCACTGGCAGCAATTTCAAAGCAACAGTCGAGGAGACGCCAAAGCAAAATCACGGCCTTCGCGCGTCCATGTAGAGCGCATTTGTCATCCGAAGCGCATTCTCCTCACCGGTCTGCAGTGTCGTGGAGTTGCTGCAGTACTAATATCAGGCTCTTCGGGACATCGGGTCGCATTATGTCCCGAAGGAATCGAATATTCTTGATGCTAGCACCCCGGATTATAATGTGCATCCATTCGTACAAGCCGTTCATTGGTGAATTTTATCTCCGTTAGGACCACGCGCTAGCTATTGAGCGGTGCATGCACTGATTTCATGACTGCCTCCGAGGGCATATAGACTAGTAATTGCCTGCCACTCGCAAACATGTCATCTCGCGACACCTCGTGGCGTTGGTCATTCCTTTCATTCACAGCTAATACGGTCGTCAACCTTACAACTTAATAGTGACGTTCAGGAAAACGGTTGCCGAGCATTTTTTCTTCTCATCATCGGCCCTACAAAACGATCACCGCGATCCTTCCTCGGTCTTCGGAAATCAGCCGCTAAGCCGCCATGGCGAAATCACCTTCAACGTCATCGCTGGATGAGAACGAGAAAGAGAAGGATTTTGGCCTTGTAGATCCGCAAGCTGCAGCAGAGGACCCGACAGAGTACGAGCCGATACGGACAGAACCCAAAGAAAAGGGTTTCGAAGTACAAGACGGTCACAGCAATTCAAGAGGCACGCTAGCGAGATTGCAGTCCAGCACAAGCGCGTACTCGGAAGCAAGCGATAGCGAATCCAATGCGACAAAGTCAATACGGAAAAAGAAGCCATTTTACAAACGACTTAATTTGTTGAAGAATAACCCACCACCGATTCCAAAAGAGCGCAAAGTATCTCCGGAGTACACTGCGGGCTTTTTCAGTCGACTTTCGTGGCAATGGATGCAACCCTTGATGAGAGTGGGCTACAAGCGCCCATTGGAAAAGAACGATATTTGGACGGTTAACCCCGACCGGAGTGCAGAAATCTTAGCAAACAAATTGGAAGCTGCGTTCAAGAGGCGGAGAGCAGAAGGCAAGGAGAGGCCTCTGCTGGGTGCCATGTTCGAAACATTCAAATGGGAGTTTATTATTGGAGGAACATGCCAACTATCCGCATCCGTCATTCAAGCTGTCGCTCCTTTCGTCCTACGCTACTTGATCAACTTCGCTGTTCGCGCTTACGTCGCTGAGCGCAGTGATGCTCCGGCGCCAAATATCGGCGAGGGTATCGGTTTAGTCATTGGAATCACCGCTATGCAATTTTTGCAGAGTTTAGCCACGAACCACTTCATGTACCGCGGTATGATGATTGGTGGAGAAGCTAGGGGTGTCCTCATTGCACTAATCTTCAACAAGGCGATGAAGTTATCAGGGAGAGCCAAAGCAGGTGGCGAGGCTGTCCTCGAGGCACCACCACCTGACATCAAGCCAGGAAGCGAAGCCGAAGTGAAATGGTATAAAAAGATACTGAAGAAGAAGGAGAAAAAGCAGCAATCGCCCAAGACTGCTGCAGGTGTGGCAGGTGACGGTGAGGGTTGGGGCAATGGGCGAATCGTCAATTTGATGTCTACCGACACTTACCGTATCGATCAAGCCAGCGGTTTCTTCCATATGATTTGGACCGCTCCTATCGGTATACTGATTACGACTGCTCTGCTCCTTGTCAACCTGACATACAGCGCTCTCCCTGGTCTTGGTCTCATTCTCATTGCTATGCCCCTCCTTGGCCGCGCGGTCAAGACACTGTTCCGTCGAAGGGTTGCCATCAACAAGATTACTGACCAGCGTGTAAGCTTGACCCAAGAGATTCTGCAAGGCGTTCGGTTCGTCAAGTACTTTGGATGGGAAACGAGTTTCCTAGAGCGCATTCAGACGATCAGGCAGAAGGAGATTCATGGCATTCAGATCTTGCTCACGATCCGAAATGCCGTTCTTTCCGTCGGAATGTCCATGCCTGTCTTCGCTTCAATGATCTCATTCATCACCTACTCCCAGGTCAACAGCAATCTCAATCCCGCACCAATTTTCTCATCGCTAGCTTTGTTCAACTCTATGCGTATCCCCCTCAACTTCTTGCCACTCGTCATTGGCCAAGTCATCGACGCAAACGCTTCTGTCAAACGTATCCAAGAATTTTTGTTAGCCGAAGAAGCGGAAGAGAGTGGAAAGTGGGATTATGACGCCAAGGACGCTGTGACGCTGAAGGGCGCAAACTTCACCTGGGAGCGTCATCCTACTCAGGATGCGGAAGAGGGGGCAGGTGGACCGCCAGGAAAGAAGCCGACTAAGCAGGAGAAGAAGGAGACCAAGGCCAATGCGAAGCTAGCACAGAGCAGTGGTGAGACAACACCTTCCGATGCCATCGCTGTGGAGGAGGAGAAACCCTTTGAGATTAAGGGGTTGAACCTCAACATTGGACGAAACGAGCTTGTGGCTATCATCGGAGGCGTAGGCTCTGGAAAGAGTTCGTTGCTTGCAGCTCTTGCAGGAGACATGCGTAAAACTAGTGGCGAGGTCATCTTTGGTGCCTCCCGTGCTTTTTGCCCGCAGTATGCTTGGATTCAAAACGCCACGGTACGAGAGAATATTATCTTCGGCAAGGAATTCAACAGAAAATGGTACGACCAGGTCGTGGATGCCTGTGCCCTACGCCCTGACCTGAACATGCTACCGCATAACGATGCGACGGAGATTGGAGAGCGTGGTATCACAGTGTCTGGTGGCCAGAAGCAGCGTATGAATATTGCTCGAGCCATCTACTTCAACGCGGACATCATCCTCATGGATGACCCTCTGAGTGCTGTCGACGCACACGTCGGTCGTCACATCATGGACAACGCCATCTGCGGTCTGCTCAAAGACAAGTGCCGTATTCTTGCTACCCATCAGCTTCACGTACTCAGCCGTTGCGATAGGATCATCTGGGTGGACCAAGGAGAGGTCAAGGCCATCGATACTTTTGATAACCTCATGGCACAGAATGCGGACTTTGTACAGGTTATGAGCACAACTGCCAAGGAGGAGGAGAAGGAAAAGGACGTTGAAGTCAATGAGGACGAGGTCGAAGCAGAGGTCAAGAGCACCAAGAAGCAGAGGAAACAGAAGAAACAGGCGGCGTTGATGCAACAGGAAGAGCGCGCAACCAAGAGCGTCAGCTGGGAAGTCTGGATCGAGTACATCAAAGCCGGAGGTGGCATCTGGGTCGGCCCACTTGTCTTCATCCTCCTCGTTCTATCCCAAGGCGCCAACATCGTCACTTCACTTTGGCTATCCTACTGGACATCCGATAAATTTGGTTACTCCGAGGGTGCATACATTGGCGCATACGCAGCTTTCGGTTTCAGTCAAGCGCTCTTCATGTTCTTCTTCTCCTTCTCAGTATCCATCTTCGGTACTAGAGCTGGCAAAGTCATGTTGCACCGAGCCATCACCCGTGTGCTCCGCGCGCCCATGTCCTTTTTCGATACCACGCCACTGGGACGCATTACGAATCGCTTTAGTAAGGACATTGACGTTATGGATAACACCATTACGGATGCTATTCGCATGTACTTTTTGACGCTCGCCATGATCATATCGTAAGTTGTACAGTTTACAGATGTAAACGTCTGGTAGGATTTGAGCTAACGTGGATGACAGTGTTTTCATTCTCATCATCTCGTACTATTACTACTATGCCATCGCCCTCGGTCCGCTATTCATCATGTTCATGTTCTCGGCAGCCTTCTACCGGTCCTCTGCTCGCGAGGTCAAGCGCCACGAAGCCGTTCTTCGTAGCACAGTGTTCTCGCGCTTCGGCGAAGCCGTCATGGGCACCCCGACCATCCGTGCGTACGGTCTACAGGATCAATTCTCCAAGTCGGTTCGCGATGCCGTAGACGACATGAACAGCGCCTACTACCTTACATTTGCCAACCAGCGCTGGCTGAGTGTTCGTCTAGACATTGTTGGTATCCTGCTCGTCTTCACGACTGGTATCCTGGTTGTTACAAGCCGTTTCTCCGTCGATCCTAGCATCGCTGGCTTAGTCCTGTCATACATTCTCACTATTGTGCAGATGATTCAGTTTACAGTCCGCCAGCTGGCTGAAGTGGAGAACAACATGAACTCGACTGAACGCATCCATCACTACGGAAGTCAACTTGAAGAAGAAGCGCCTCTGCACATGGGTGAGGTACGCCCCACCTGGCCCGAGCACGGCGAGATTGTCTTCGATAACGTGGAGATGCGATACCGCGATGGGCTACCCTTGGTGCTTAAGGGCTTGAGCATGCACGTCCGCGCTGGTGAGCGTATTGGTGTTGTTGGTCGTACTGGAGCGGGTAAATCGTCCATCATGTCGGCTTTGTTCCGATTGCAAGAGCTGTCAGGTGGCTCGATTGTAATTGATGGCGTGGATATTGGCAAGATTGGTCTTCACGACTTGCGCTCTAAGCTGGCCATTATCCCACAGGACCCGACGCTCTTCAAGGGAACCATCCGATCCAACTTGGATCCTTTCCACGAACATTCCGACCTGGAGCTTTGGTCGGCCTTGCGCCAGGCTGATCTTGTTTCCAACGAGCAAACCATGGACGACCATTCTGGCAGGATACACCTCGACAGTGTGGTTGAGGAAGAGGGTCTCAACTTCTCTCTAGGTCAGAGACAGTTGATGGCTCTAGCTCGCGCACTTGTTCGTGGTTCGCAGATTATTGTCTGTGATGAAGCTACTAGTTCCGTCGACTTTGAGACGGATGCCAAGATTCAGCAAACGGTAAGAACTGCGTCATCAACCAGTGCTACAGGACACATGAGCTAACGTTCAACAACAGATTGTGGATGGGTTCAAGGGCAAGACGCTGCTGTGCATTGCCCATCGACTAAAGACCAGTAAGTGAATCGATGTACCTACTGCATGCGGACTTGCGACTAACATGCGGCAGTTATCAACTATGACAGGATTTGCGTCATGGACGCAGGGCTGATTGCAGAGCTCGACTCGCCGCTAAATCTTTACGACCAAGGCGGAATTTTCAAGGGCATGTGCGACCGATCCGGCATCAAGAGAGAAGAAATCGCAGGTGCAGCGAACTAGAAGTTTGGGATGACGGAGTTTTGATTGGACGAGGGCGGGTACACGGCCCAGAGCGTAGGCTAATGATGCGGCTATTCTTGGGGGGGTAGCAGGAAGCAAGCAAACGCGCACCTTGATAGTTGCGCATGGCATGGCATGGCGTCGGCGCGGCATTTCTGATCGGGCAGCATTGGGGACTTTTGCGATAAGAAAAAAGTGATAATTCATAGAGCTGGCTGCTTTTCAGCTCAATACAAATAACCTTGTCGACGAACGTTGGAGGCTTGTAAAGAAAACTATCGAAGAGTCTATCGACGAGTCTATACAGCGCCAGCCTGGGCCTAGATGGCTGTCGGCAAGCGCGAGATCATATGACATGATTGTGGCCAGGCTGGGGGGGAGGCGTTGGTACTACTATGGCGCGCATCGCGCATTTGACAGCATCATAGTACCGTAGTCGCTAGGAACAGTAGCTCTGTAGGACAAGCGATGCTTGCCAGCAGTTTGCATTAGCGGGGTGTTGGCTTGAGCGGAACGCACGTGCGCGGCTCGTTGAAGCGACAGTACCCTCGTTGCGGCAACTCATCATTCGTGCGTTATCTAATCTCAGGCTCCCCCTACCGTCTCCAGATCGTATCGTTCGTCGCGTGGGCGTATACCGGCGTATCTGCTTTCGTATGGGTTCCGGAGGATTGCATAGACTTTACCTTTGTGTTTGCTGCGCCGCTCGAGTGGGTGCTGTAGCGGTTTCACGCGCCGCTAGCTGGTCAAGATAACAGTGGGCTATTCGGACACGTCCAGAGTAACAGTTGGATCATTATCGACGATTTCAAAGATCGATCGAGAGGCACAACTGCGATGACTGTCTCTGCGGTAGGCTTATGCATTTCAATAGACGGGCTCAACGACCAACAAGTGCGGTGTTTTCCAAGCGTGGGAGCGAAACAAGAAAAAGAAGTTTCGCCTTCTCGAATGCTTCGCGCTGGTGCATGACAGACAAGCTGCGACCAAGGCTCGCGGCCAGGTGCTCCGCGTGCATCGGGCGGCCCAAAGATTGGATGCAGCAGAGGTTTTATGCGCGCTTTAGCCGGAGGGGGCTTAGCGACTCAACAGCCAAGATGAGCCAAACTCCAGTCGCGCAGCACGGATCTAGGCCTGCGAGGCTGCTAACCCCTTGTGATGTAAGTCGACGACCTGCCAGGCACGCTGTAATCAATCTAGCGGGCCTTCAGCGGCGTCAAATGCTAGTGCTGTGGCGGGGGACGTGGGCGACGAGGGCGATGAGGGCAGAAGAGGGGAGGGCAGAGCAAGGGGGAACAAGACACTGGGCTGGGACGTGCAAGAGCAATGGCAAGCGATGGCGAGTGAGTGGAAGGTTGAGAGGCGACGAAGATCAGGGACGTCAGCCAGCAGCTATGCTCAACGCAGCGCGACAAGCCGGTATGATGTTGCAGGGACAAGGCTCCGAACGGCCTAGCGGCCCCGACGATTGACCCTAGCTCTGAACTCAGCTTTCACACAGACCTTGTCCACCAGACGGCATGGGCCTGGGGTGCGTGCAGTGCAGCGACGAGGGAGCACTTCACAATTCACTTCATATCTCTGCTCCTCCCGCCCGCGGCCACACGCACACACGCACACGCTCCTTCCACTAGGCCGTCCGTCTGTTTCTTCTTCAGCTGTCTTCTACGTGCCCGTGATAGCACGCACCCGACGCACGCTCTCCCCTGGTGCACTGTTCGCTCCTTCCTCGTCGACGGCGATCCCCCCTTCCCGTTGCAGCCATATCAGAACGACTCCTTCACCGTCGCCATATTACCACTGAATTCCCATGCTGCGCCTGTCGTGACGCAATCACCCCGACTGCAAAGAGTCGCACCACGTCCGGCCACTGCATCTGCCGTCTCCCGTCTCTGGCCGTCCCACGCGTCCTCCTGACGAGCTCACACTTCACGTCTTGCATTCCAAACGCCCCATCATTGCCAGCCTGAGACACTCCTTGCCTACGTCACAATGGCAGCAAACGAGAAGCACGAGCCCGTTACTTTCGGCGCCAGCGTGCTGCGCTCTCCCAGCCCACTAACCACGCCTTCGCAACCACTCCGCTCCCCGCCCTCCAACGACTCTACCATGTCGTCTGCCACCGCCAGCGCCGAACTCGCCGCCAAGAAAGAGTGGGCGGCCGACCCCTCCAACCCATACTCGGCCTTCTACAAGCACCCAGAGGCCCTCCGCGAGACGCGCCACTCCCTCAACGAGAGCGCGCCTCAGAGCAAGACACACCTCGGCGTCGGTGTCCACGAGCACGACCTCGAGGGCGGCGTCCCCCTCTCGGTAGCCTCGACACAGCAGCCATCCAAACACTCCGTCGATGGCCGCGTCAAGGAATGCACAATGTGGCCCACAAGGCAGGCTGTCCTGGACAAGCGGAAGTCGTACCAACGCAAGCGTGGTTGTGCCTTCTTCCGGAACTTGACCAACAAGCAGAGAATGTGGGCTAAGATCATCATCGCTCTTCTCGTAATAGGTGCTGCCGTTGGCCTTGGTGTCGGCATCTCGAGAGCTGTCGGTGGCGGTGTCTGGGCTGGCGATGGCCGATCAAAGGAGATCCCCCATGGCGACGGACACTGAGGTGTAGCTACTGCCGCAAAGCAACCGTACGTCACTTCCACCATCCTTCTACATCGTACCGCTACTAATCCTCTGGCCAGAACCACCACCCGTCTCTTTGACCGCACACAATCACGACTTCGGCATATTTCGCTTCGGACAACATCCTTTCTCGATATCCCTTTTCATCTGTTATATTGTTTTTCCTTCGCGGTACTGTGCATATCACTCTGCCGCCTTTTCTGTGTGTTACGGCATCGAGTTTTTCCATGTCACTCGGGGGGTTTGGCGTACACATGGGGGCTTTTCTACTGGGTTGCATTCTATACATGCATTGGAGCGCCGGAGTATGAATGGGCGTTAGACATGTTAGTCGCGTACACCTGTCTGGGTATGCTATATGAGAAGAGAATCGAGCTTTGCCTCAGTTATGAGGCTGCTTCACGCACATTAAATCGTCTCTCATCATCTATCGCATCTGTGTCTACGCTGATAAGAACTACCAGACCTTGTTATGTGCAAGACTTTCGAGATGACATATGTGGACTCGGACATCTACAAAGATATTCACCAAACTTGAACCCCGTCGAGGTATCATCAGTTGCACAAGACCACGTGAACCTGCAAGACAAACGTCTGTCAGGTGCTATTTTTGTACTATGCAACTTTAATTATTTGTTGGATAAGAGTACAGGGAGAGACCTACGACACCAAGGCTTACTCGTTGATACGCGTATTCATCTTACCGACTAGCACGGCTCTCCAGCGGGTAAGCCGGGTGGCTGAGATTGCCATACTGATATTCGTTTGCGTTTACTGAAACATTCATCAACACCCCCTTCCATGTAGCTTGAACCAACCTTTCCTTATTCCTTGATTCGCTCAACACACGGCGTGAACCATGTTTGTTTTCGGGCTGCCGCTATTTCGAGGTGATGGCTTCGCGTAGAATTACCGTGTTCCCGGACCATCCTTGATAAGAGTTGCTTTTCAATGGTCGAGGCTGAGGGTCCATGGGCCTGAATCATGTTGGAAATGTGCTTTTAAAAGTCAAAAGGCGAATTTCTACGCATCGCTCCATCAATCTCCGTTGAACTAGGTCAACATCAAACGTATGTGTTATGGAATGTCGTAACACCATTATCAAGTTGAGAGGAAACATGGTTGCGTTGTATTTGCTGATTCGATAACTAATCGTACACTTTCATGTTGAGTGATAGTGTCGTAGGAATGACAGGCTCCACGACTACGAATGAGAACATTGAAAGAACGTGCCGGAACTCCAAAGACAGAAATACAACTTACTTATAATCGTTGATGATTTCTCTTTCGTATAGATATTGGAGATTAGTTCTTTGCTACAAATCGTGCTTCTGCGGTATTATACAGAAGTCATTCGAGTGACATGTGCCGAGCCAGTCGACACAGTCATAATTAGAAGTGCAATCATTCATTCAAGGCCCTCCTCACATGTATGCAGCACCTCTCCTCCCCAATCTCCGTCCCTGCAATGCCTTCGCTGCGTTATCGTTGGGCTGTGCATCCCCAAACCCACATCCTCCATCTCGCTCTTGAGCAACAACCGGACCTGCGCATTTTCCACTCTTGAATCCACAACAAGCCGAAGCGCAATCAGCGTCTGATGTACAAGCACCAGTGATGAACTGCGTGCCGGCTCCCGCTGCGGCTCCAGCTCCAGCTCCCGCGTCACTGTTGGCAGGAGGTGTAGCAGGCGCAGCTGCATCTGGTTGCGCATCGGCACTGGCATTGCCACTTGCGCCGTTCAAAGCATTGTTGTTTGGTTGCGCGTCGCCGAAACCACATCCCTCTCCACGTTCGTTCGCTACGAATGGTGCCGCACACTTTCCTGATGTGAAGCCACAGCAGCCTGAGGCACATTCGGCGTCTGATGCACACTCGCCTGTAATGAACTGAGTGCCCTGAGCTGCGGCATAGAGTGACACTATCGAGGGAGTCAGTAAGAACGGACACGATTCGGTGCAAGGACCTTACGGTTGAGAAGAGCAAGAAGCTTGAAGATTGGCGCCATCTTGCTTGACGTTCTTGTTGCTTCGTTGGAGTATATGGTATATCAGATGAACTCTTGATGGTCTTCACCGAATACTATGATTGAATGACAGGTGTAATGTAGATTTTTCGACTGCCTTGATGTTGAGGATGTTTATCAGCATCCGATACATGACTCTATATATGTCCATCTCGACCGTAGGAAGGGAATCCTGAACTTGGCACAGGCAAAGTAGGCGCCAACTCGAAACGACAAAAGTTACTGCGCCTCGTTTATGCCCCAATGGGTAGCCACATCCGTTATGGCGATGAGGCGACACAGCGTGGAGCACGTTTTGAGCAATCTCTAGATAGACATGATACCGGCTACGACGTTTCGTGTCTAATTCCGATTACGAATGGAGAACAAAAGCCGATAATCACGCCAGTGGTTTAGAAACGCAACTCCCAAAGAACATTATGCGTTTCCTCAATTCGTAGTAAGAGGTTGTTTAGGGAGAATGGAGAGAGGAGAGAAAGCGTCGTAAGCGAACCTATTAGCGTCCCACAGTCATCCCCACCCCACAGCTCAGCCTCCCCAGACTTTCTGCCTCGGAATGCCTCAACACATCTCAGGTTTCCGGACCGTTAGAAAACTGCAAGTCGGCCAATAGGGTATTTGTGGGCTGCCAAGATGATCGCCGACGGCATGAATGCAGCGGAAGGGGATCAGACCGAGAAGGTGTCGCATGTTGCGGCCTGGCGCTTGGAACGTCTGAGTTCCGAATGATCCTTACACATGGGGCTGCAGTTATCTATATGCGCATTATAGTGGTGATTTGGTATTCGATATATTTTCTTTCATCGACTGTGATTCGTATTCTTGATAAAACGTCAAGCAGCAGGCTTCTCCTACCTGAAAGAAAAAGCTCCTGTCGAAAAGGTAGCACGATATAACATCGAAGAGCAAATGGTAAAAACATCATACTAATTACTGGCTCAAGGTTACTTCTGGGCATGTACATCGATCGAATACTAAGCAACCCAGAAACTAGGTTCTCGAGACACCCTCTTATGTTCTCACCCTGAGCATGGTTGAACAGGATCTTGATAATATGTGTTGCAAGGCAGAGTACGTGCTTTTATCCCTGTTCAGCGCCAAGATAAGAGGTTATTCGACAACGAATTACGGTGCGTCGATTGAGGATGTGACAAGTAGAGATCCAGCTTCTTTGGAAGTGGTCACTTGAATGTCAAAATGGCATATGACATTTGAAGTCTAGTACTATTGACGTATTGGTGGGGTGAGATGTTGGCCGTTACCGACATCATGATGACTGGATTTAGAAGAGGGCAGGCTGATCAGGAAGGTTGCGATGGGTACGTGTCGTCCGGATGGTGAACTTCTAATGATTACACTAGTGTAGTATCTGTCAGTGAGCCTTGTACGTGGGATTAATGTCGACCTTCTAAGCAGCTGTCACAAGTTTAGTTCGAATGTAAATGGCAACATGGGGAGCAAACAAAACGAAGGGACTGCTCAGAGTAGGGTGCTCGATGCAGCCAGTCATAAGAGTCATGGTGGATGTTGGTCATCTCTGTTCATCAGTCCCAAGGCGCTTGGTAAATTTTGGAATAGGTGGTGGCTGTTTTGGTCGCATATCGCATGTCGCTTGCGAACAATTTGTCTCAGTTAGCAATGACCATATCCGTGATGGAGGTCAGCATGATGACATGGAGTTTATGGGAGACGTTTGCTAAATGATAGTGTGTAGTTACATCCGTTTCTGAAGGGGGGATTGGGAAGTAAGGTTGCAAGACTGGCAGGTTGATGTCGCTACCCAACTACCAGATGCCCTAAACCCCACTTATCAGGTACTGAAAATGCAGAAAACCCTCCAACGAAAGAAGAGACGATATTCTCGTACCGAACAACGAGCGGAACGGTCGAAAGCCATGCCAGGCACAGTTTTACATGTGCAGAGTGGTATACAACTTGGGGGCATGGCGGTGCTGGAGAACAGAAGAGGCCTGATACAAAAGAGAAAAGGGTATAGAACCAGCTATCAGAAGAAGATAGGTCGCAGCAAAAGTAAGTCGGACGATATAGGGCGCAACAAGCACACAGGACGAGTACGTTTTGGACAACAGGGGTTTCATGAGGAGCACCCTTCGATTAAAAGCGCAGCCCAACATGTCCGTTACCCCTGAGTGTTGTTGGTGTGTTATGCCGGGACGATCGAAGATCTATCGGGAAGTGGTATAAGTGCCGGCGAATTGTGTTCGCTGCGCTGCGTTCGTAGGAGGAGGAGCGGAACTGAGTGCCTTCCAAGCGACCTCGGCGGCTTCTTCTCGGGACTGTTCGAGGTAGCGGTAGTCTCGCCAGAGGTGCGCTCTGTATTCGCGGCCATTGATGAAGACACTGCTTGACCAGGCTGTCCGGATACCTGGGCAGCAGAGTCAGTCAAAGATAAGAGTGGTGGGGCATCATGTAGAGCGCGGGTGGCTACCTACCTCGTGGGTCGGAGTAATCCTGGAACTGAGGTTGGGCGATCTGGTTCGTGGCGCAGTAATCTGGGGACGTTTAGCTGGGAAGTTACGAGAGCAGTGGTGTGCGCACGCTGAAGCTTCTGGACGTAACTCTCCGGTGCTGCCATTTTGCGAGACGGGTTCGTGGGAGACGGTGAAAATGCGATGCTGTCGAGAAGTTTGGAGTGGGGTAGTGCCTTGTGAGTGGGGATTTGGATGATCAACTGTGTGTGCGAAGGCTGAGAAGAACACTTGCTCTAGCATATTTCCTTCTCTGTTTATAGTCCGACATGACCATCAGAGCCTCACTTTCGGTATCCTGTAGGAACCGGCCAGCGCTTTTGCCACACGACTGTTCTCAAAAAGATTCAGCCTGCAGCCGCCGTACCACATATGTGCTTGGGAACAAAGCATCAAGCTGATGCTATGCTGCGTTGGCAGGCCTACTTCCGCCATAATTGGCCGGCAGAAACACCATTGAGCGAGCAACTGCGGGGGTAGCGAGAACAGAACGCGGCAAGGCAGAAATTACGACCGCCAGAACCCGGTTCAGACACTATGACGGATTGTTGCGTGGTTTCGGCACCACAAGTTTGGGATGGGGAGACCAATGAGCTGATACGGATAAATTTTGGTGTTGAGTATGTTTACCTTGTTAAGCTTGGTTCAAGCGATGTGCTGGCACTGAAGGACGACGAGAAATGCTGCCATGCTAGTTTCTCAAGGCCGATGCAGTGCCAGATGTGTCTCGCAGATTGGCCCATAGTTCCATCGGCGTTCGGCCCGCTTACGGTTAGATGGACAAAGGGCCGTGCCGTTTCCGTACCGTATAGATGCCATCTGAAAGCGCGTCATCTTAGACACCATGCTCCTCCATGTGCTGAAGCTGCAAAGGTCGCATACGCAGCAATGCAACGTTAAGCGAAGGAACGTGGGATGGATTAGGGCAGCTCACGGCTCCAACTGGACCCACATGAGTGAGGTGGCATACGCGATTGCCCAGAGCGGGCGTGTCAATATCAATCAATGTGTTCCTGGCGTGAACCGCTCAGCCCTGCGATCTCCAGGTTCGTGCATTGAATGCAGCCCGTATCACATCAAATTTCTGCAGGCTATCCGGTTCCTGAATCGCTCGTGCTATGGCCATGGGTTTGGTGTACTTCCAAACACTCCGACACGCTGAACGCTAGCCAACTCTTCAACGCGGCACTTGTTCGGTATTCGCTTCTGGGCGCTTGAAGCGGAAGGCGCACCTGAATTGATCTACACCACGAGGCTCAAGGCGGGGTTAGCACACCCTCCATCTTCTCCTGCTCTGCGCTGGCAGTCGTTGTGTTGTTCATCGAACGCGTCCGAACTGCTGGAAGTGGTGGCTGTTGATGACTGTCAGTGACGTGTCGTACAGATTATATTGCGCTAGCCCAATCGACGCCACAATGCACGTGCGTAGAGCAATGCAAACCTTGGAAAATCTCGGGAGGCCCACAAATTTCGCGCCTTACAAGGTTATGCAAGTCAGGCATGTAGCTGTCGAGTTAGTTCCTGATGCGCGATTCCTGCAAGAGACGTGGACCACACGACCTTCTCCCGGCCTTCTGCGCCGCACCGAACCACGTGTAATTCCATGGCGGACGTCATCGCTTGCGCATGAACGGGCACTAGGCATTGCATTTCTGAGCTTAATCGAGTCTTCTCCACGCCTGCTTGGGTGTGTGAAGGCATGCATCACGTGTTGCTGCAGATGCCCTGTCGCAGAAATCCCAGCCACCAACAACACGCAGAGAATGTAGAACAGCCAACAGACAGGACAGCTCGATAAGACCGTAGTAGCGTCAGGGCTTCTGCGTTCACGCAATCGAATGACTACAGTAAGCAAGAGCAGTCCTGACGTCCTCGATTCTTTCGCGGTGATCTTGGCCCCTGATACGGCCACCTTCCTAAGTTGGGATAGAAGGAACCACATTCTATGCCAGAGTCAAAATTTGATATGCAGTCACCCTTGACATCAATCACTCAAGTCACGACAGTAGGAGCCTATCTTGGTGAGAGACAACTCAGAAAAAGTGGTTCTTGACAACTCGACCTGGTTCTTTCAGCCTCTTACGGCGCGTGTGACTGTCAGGTTTGATGGAAAGACTGACAAGTAGAGGAAGACAACAGAGAATGCATGTCCACAAAAACTTGGCATCTTTCTTGTCAGAATTGAATAAGTGTGGGCACTGAAAGCATACAGACATGTAAAGAAGGGTGTAGAAGTTTCATTGACTGAATTGCCAAGGATGGACAAACGAGTGGCTAGCCGATACATTATCAGACCCCACGCGCTATCTAGCTCTGTTGTAGCAAGCGTGCTTGCTTGCAGAGACCAACTTCTGGTACTCCTGAAAAGAGTCCGCTAGCAGCTCTTACGACCTATGAATGACTTGTCAGTTCAAGTAAAGCTCCTAGCGAACGACGACAATCTTACCATATTTGCATTACAGAGTCATATCCAGATCTAGCAGTTGCACTGGCAGCAGATAGTCATACCGCACCAGTTGCAAGGACAGCCAGGGTTGCATCGAGCCTCTAGATGGGCGCGCTTGATCATCTCGATACTATGCTCAGCAGGGTACTGGATGAGGTTCGACACTGGGGCAGGACTGCGGTTAAGAAGCTCACTGGGAGCAGCGCTGGCGAAAGAGAGGAGGGCGACGAGAGGAAGAGCGAGAGTAGTGAGCTGCATGGTAGTGATGTGAAAGTTTCTGTATGAACAATGGTAGGTTTGAAGTGAAGATGAATCGGTCACTGGGCTTGGTGGAGAGACGTGTTACCCAAAGAATGATTTATATATGTGCTGGAGATCTCGAGGTCTACATGTTCGTGGTCCGTACATCTTCGCATACCACAACGGACCGTGATACCGGCGAAGGGCCCACTTGCTGATGCTGCAGACATACTCCAAGTCTTCCAGCATACCCACGACCAGCATTCGGGTCGTCGGCGAGTCGACCTCAGGCTGAAGTCAAGTGTTCTTTCCAAGAACAGGAATAGTTTTATGCGTGTTGCTGATAAAGTCTACTGTTTACTGGTCGGCCATGTGATGAATGGTAGCCCATTCTCTCTAGCTGGTTGTGGCTGCCTGCACCAACAGCCGATCACGATGGGATCTGCAGACAGTGAGCTCAAATTTCCTCCCAATGGTGCGGATTATCGAAGAGAGCAACAGTATCGGCCGTACGCTGACCCCGGAGTTGCGTGGCCATGCGTCTGGAGATGCATTGCGGCATGATACTGGAACTGGTCAAGCTTTTCCAAGCTTAGCTTGTAAACGTTTACCTTCTTACATAGGCTACCACAATGAAGTACAACACTGATCGACATACAGACTTGCCGCCTGGAGGCAAGTCATCAGCTAAAGGGCAAAGAGAAAATGGTGTACCATGCTCCGAAGAGTATTGTTCGAGCTAGAGATGTAGTGTCTAAGCGATGCAACGCCACAGAAGGCTGGTTGGTGGACATTCTCTTCGGACTTCGTGTATCCGAAGCGATAGATGGTGAAGCACTAGATCCAAGCTTCCTGAGTATTCGCTATGTGTCCTGCTTTCCCAGCTAAATCTCCGCTCTTCGTACTCTAGTTAGAGCATTATGAACGGACGAAACTAAGAAAGTCTACTGGAGATTAGCAAATGAAGGGCAAGAAAGCCAGATAGATTCAGTATCTTCGAGGGACTTAATGCTGTGCCAGAAGACATGTCGCAGGCCAAATCCGGTATTTGAGCGCGTCGTTAACTATCATGGACTTGAATGATACTAGTTAGCGCCACAAACGAAGTCTGGGAAGCTTTCCCCGCCTGAAACCTCCTTAGGCCAACCGACTTGACGTTTCTAGCAGTAGCATAATGCGGTGCAACCGTAGTCAGCATCAATATAGCCTAAACTCCACGCACCGCAGAAGGCGCGGGCCGCCCCCAAGACTTGGCTATCGACGGGTACAACCGCTCGTGACCATTGCTGATGGTACTTCAATGCCTGAATACCGGAATCTGGAAAAGCGAGGTGTGCTGATCAAGATGGACGCAATTAAAAGGTGCATTAGCGCAAGGCGGCTCACGAGGAAACAAGCCGTCCAGTGGGTGTCAGCTTATATCCGATCAAGACTAGTATACGCACATTAGCGGGCTCCTGGGCTGATGGCATGTTGTTAATGCTTCAAAGTTAAGCAAACTCTGATCGAAGTTCGAGAAGTCAATGAAGGGGCGAGTGATGGCCTACGCTCGATTGTCGGACGACGCCTCGATAGAGAGTCCATACGAGAAAGCAGAACCATCTGAGTCACTGCTTCAGAACTCCGCTAGGTACTTTTCGTACAAGAACCTGTTCGGTGCTTCTCTTGTTCTGTGGATAGCAACGTTAGCCACGCTTGCTTGGGTGCTGGGTCAGAAGCCCTCGACCTACGGGAACCATGCTACAAATTCATTGCCATTTCCTCCAGGTATGCATCAAAGATGCAGGAAAAAATCATTGCACGCTTTGCTGATAAAGGGATCTAGTGCCGTCCCGCATGATCACTTTCGATCCAAACCCAAGATTTCACTATACAGCCAAAGATGCAGGAGAGTCCGCGTGGTCGGCTCTGATGCCCAGTATTATTCCCATGGCATGAACATCAGTGGAAAGACTGACAAGGAACTCATAGATGACGGAGGTATCATCTCTATAGCTAGTCCCCAAAGGTACCAGCTACCCGTGAGCTACAAGGATCGAAACGTCTCCGGCGCGGAAGTATATTCGATGTCCATGTTCCACCAGCTGCACTGCCTGGTCAGTTCCGCGCAGTAACAACAACGTCTATTCGCTGACACTGGAAGAACTCGATTCGTGTGCGGCTCGGAATATTGGAAGGCTTCATCAACGAGACTGTTGGCAACATACAAAGAAGGGATGTCTTTGCGCCGGAATCGCATGTGAACCACTGCTTTGACTACCTTCGCCAGGTAAGATTGTCCGCCTCTTCATGCACCAAGCGAGTGTTAGGGTGCTAACACAACGTCCAAAGGCTGTCATGTGCGCAGGAGATCTGTCTTTGGAGCACTCCGTTGTTCCAGATGAGTTCGGTTTCAACGGTTGGGGAACATCGCACCAATGTGCGGGTTGGGATGCGATGTGGGATATTGCGGTGCAACATCGATACGATCAGGGTATTAGGCAAGAAGCTGAAAGGAATAGATAGAGCAAATACATGCAGTTCCGAGTTTCAGTATCATGAACAGGAGTATTCCAAGGCTGCGTCATTGCTGGTAGATGAGGTCGGTAAGATTGAGTCCGGAAATTGCTGTCATCTGCGCTTTCTCCTTTTCGTGTGGGGTCCAATCTGTCTGCACACGCAACGTAGTCCAGGATGCAAGGCTCAGAGTTACCAATGACATTGAGTTTCGGTAGTATTTCGAACAGACAAAGCTTCTCGACCCTCAGTGTCAACCGGCGTTGCAGGGAACGGACATGAGCAGCGGAAACTGGAAGACATGAGTGATCCAATGAAGCGTGAATACCAAGCTGCGCGATCGACCCCAATGCGATTTCTTGTGAAACGCACCATCTCTGGCAAGTTGATCTTCGTCTTGGTGAATTGGTTCCAAGGCTACCGTTACGTTCGGGACGGGGCGGCCACGCAACGGCGGCGCCGCAACCTCAGAACTTGACGAGAGGTCTCGATGGTTGCTAGTAATGACGCCAACAGAAGTCGCTCGTGAGAACAGGTATTCTTATCGATATGTTACCGGCCAGCGTCGTATGGCGACGAATGAGAGTGGCGAGAAGTGAGGAGGCGAAACCCGCAGAGCCGCGGTGTGGCTGGGGGCAGCCAAAAATAGCTCACCAGCCTCCTCTTGTCCCACGCCGGGCCCGCCGACTTGCGCAACACCCAGCCTTCTGACAGCTACCGCCATCTCGGTCGGCTGGGTGACCCTGCGTCCTGGCTCGTGCTACTGGCTCATTGCCCGTTGCGGTGGGTCCAAGGGGCTTTGTAGGGCTGGATGACGGAGGGCTGGCATGTGGATTGTTTGCGGCCGGCGTACGTAGGCTTGTGGATTCGGATTTGGAGAAGGCTAGAAGACGCTGGCGGCAGATGTAATTATGGCCAGAGGCGCAGAGGATATAAACACGGCTGTGGTACGCTCAACCAAAGTATCATTCAACAAGCATCTCATCTAGTCTACCATCGAAGTCTATCCTCACATCCTTCAACCTTAATCTATACACACTACAACAAGTACTCTCCATTCCCACAGCCAAGATGCAGTTCTCCATTATCTCCATCGTCGCCGCGCTCGCCGCCACTGCTACTGCCACCTACGTTCCTACCAACGGAACTGCCACCTCTGGTGCTTACTACCCCACTGGTACCGGTGCTGCTGCCCCTACCGGAGCCAGGCCAACCTCAACCCTCCCCTTCACTGGTGGAGCCGCAAACATTGGCAGCTCAGCCCTTGGTCTCATCGTAGCTGGTGGTGTCGCCATCGTAAGTTTACTCGACTATTAGAATCATACCAAAACAATGTACTAATCAAACTCTAGATGCTATAAACGCAACAAGGACGCTGCTTCGCTTCGATCTATAACTTCTTCTTCAATCACTATTCATTAATTCGGATTCAACATTGGCGCAAATGGTCACGGCGTTACTACGGAAACAAGGGTCTCGGGATGAGATAATCAGCATCACTGGCGCAACATAGAATTGGCGTACAGACACAAACGTGTGGAGGCATAGACTAGACTTGTGTATAGCAGAGAGCATGACCTGGGTATGGTCGAGTGTCAATAGTCTACGAAGAGATGAGCCGAGAGATGGACAGAATAGCCTAAGTGGCCGAATGAAAACAAGCATTTTCAAACATCTTTTGCAATTGCTTTGACCTGCATATGTGAAGGAAGGCCTTTCCTAGCTATGACATTGGGTGGTGACAGGGTGTGTAGAGTGGGGCTCTTAGACTTCTAGTTCAGGATGGCGTGAATGACGCGCGACGCGACTCCCGCGATCTGCAACTTTGGAACTTTACAAGCACACCAGTCACTTCTCCAACCCTGCGACGCTACGACTCCAATGGCCAAATCGGACGACATCTTGCTCAAGGGCGAGCCTTTGTACGTCTGCTACCTTCACCTCAGATGCAAATGCTAACAGTAACAGTGAGGATGCGTCGCCAGCACCATCTCGAGACGCTTCGGCATACAACCCACTACATGACTTTGTACTACCACCGGGTACCGAGCGACACTACTCACAACAGTTCGCCGACATGTACTTCTTACGGCTACAGCAACTGAAGAAGACGGTGAAGCAAAGGGCCGAGGATGCATGGCACGATTTCGAGGTATGCAACGGGATGCTGCTGGAATGCGAAAGCTCGTTATGCAGGACGGAATGATACTGACTCTGGGCAAGCTAGGTGGACAGACGGCGTCGTTTGTCGAGCGTGTGCTGGATGTGCGACAAGGCGAGCTTTGCTGGGTAGTGGGGACGGTATACATGGAAATGGCAGAGAAGCCCAATGTGTTGAACGACATTGAAAAAGATGTACGCTTCTCTCCCCACAAACACAAAGGATAGACTCTAACACTCGACAGCACTGGATAGCGGACCCTCCCCAGCGCGACACCTACGTATCTTCCACCGGCGCCGATGAGATGATGCTCGAAGACGAATCCGGTCGTCTACGCGTTACTGGCGAGCCTTTGCGCCAACATTTTGTCACCGGATGCATACTGGCGGCACTGGGCACCGAAGAAGCAGACGGCACATTCATGGTCATTGCAACCCAATGCGCAGATCTACCGAGACAACCGCCACGATGGGAACGTGACGATGTAGTGCTATCAAAGGAGAAGAAGAAGGCACCAAAGCGCGAGAGAGCTGGAAAACTTGCCATCGTCTCTGGTCTTGAGCTGACAGGTGCAGACGATGATGAGGTCTCGCTGGACCTGCTGGTGGAATACCTGACTGGCGAAGCTGCGGACCCAGCAACCCAAGCCGAATCTTCCAAGATAACACGACTTGTTATAGCTGGTGGTTCACTCGCAAAGGGATCTCCAATTCTGTCGCGAGAAGACTTTGCTGCGAAGAAGAGTGCAGCGAGACACTACGGATACGACGCTTCGTCTTATAACGCAGCACCTACTACACGCCTCGATGAGTTCCTCTGCGAAATCCTTCCCTCGCTCCCCATCACCATGCTGCCTGGTGCATCGGACCCCTCAAATGTCGCTCTGCCACAACAACCTCTCCACCCCGCTCTGTTCCCCAAGACACGCCTCTACGCCGAACCGCCGATAGAAACTAATACAACCCTGAACGGCTTTGACGCAGTGACAAACCCTTGGTTAGGCGATATCGACGGGTACCGCGTGCTAGGCACAGGTGGCCAGACAGTCAAGGACCTACTCAAATACGTCAACCGTGTCAAATCGATAGACGCCATGGAGATGATGTTGCGCTGGCGTTGCGTAGCACCCACAGCTCCAGACACACTGTGGTGCTACCCATTCCAGGACGACGACCCATTGATGTTGAAAGAGTGTCCGCACATGTACATTGCTGGCTGCCAAAAAAAGTTTGAGAAGAAGGTCATTGAAGGTCCTGCGGGACAAAAAGTATTACTCATCAGCGTACCCAAGTTTAGAACTTCGGGCAAGATTGTGCTGGTTGATATGGAGAGCTGGGACGTGGAAGTCGTCAGATTGGGGGCCAAAGGAGAAAAAGCTACGAAACAACGAATCGTGGTGAGTGGAGAGGACATGATGGAGGAGTAAGTTGCGGAAGCTGTGCAATTGATACCCGATCTGTTGACAACATGGCGATGCAAACAATGAAATGACATATACCTACACCATGGCTTTCTCGTTCAATTCCTTCATAACGTGCAACAGCCAATTACGTTTTTGACGTATATCGGAAATAAATCAGGTGCATTAGTCTCCACCTGCAGAAGAGGCACGGGAAGTGGGTACCGTACCATCGTCATAAATGCTTGGGTCTTGGACGATGTCATTCGGCAAAGCTTAATAGCGGGAATACCTGCTTCGCCAAAACGCATACTCGTACGATGATCAGCAACGTTTGAAACAGGGGGTCCTTTTGTCGTGATGTCAACACCACATGATTAGCAAAAATAGCTTATTGACGCGTCTTTCTGATGTAACGTGTATGCAGATGTTGAAGTGCGTGTGTGTGTGTGTGTGTGTGTGTGTGTGTGTGTGTGGAGTAATAAGTGGATTCAACGACGTTTGACGGAACTGTACACATCAAAGAAAAATAATGTGTAAAATGCGATATTGGTATTCTGCGCAAAGTGGTATCTAGAGTATCAACACCCAATTTCAATGTATCCTGCGAACGCCGTCGCCAATGTACAGAAACTCCCTTCGTCTTTGCAACCTAGTGATATGTGTGATATTGTACAAGCGGGACATGAATAAATAAAAGGGGAATCTAAGTCTCCTAGGCCTTGAAGTTGGCCGTGGTCCATTCTTCGTACTCTTTTTTCAGTTCTCGTTGGACCCAGGGAATGGTGATGGCGGTCCAGATACCGGCCCAGAGGAAGGGCAGAACCCAGCCGACCTGTGCTGTGTTAGTCTTGATAATATGGAAGAAGTACGATTTGGACATACAACGTAGGCAGCGTCGCGCTGAATAGTGAAAATGATGGCAGTAGCAACTACAGCGCAGATAATGGCGCCAATGGCCCAGAAGAGTGTCAAGCGGTGCAGCATCATGCGGAAGCCCTTGCTGGCCTGGTATCGGAGATTCAATCGCTGACGGAACTCAGTGCCACCAGATCCGTCAACAGCGCAAATGTCTTCAATGTATGCATAGATGCCGGGTCGGAGCGGTGCGCCCTGGGGTAGCGAAGAGATACGGCAGGGTGCAGGCACGTTCATATACCGCAGGATGTCGACGAGAAGGAGCTCGCAACCAATGGCGAACATCATGGTCGGCGCGGGCATGGCAAGGACGCGAATTGGCGGGTCGTGGGGACATGTACCACTGCACTTTGTTAGCTGAGCTTTGTTGGGACGGACGGAGAACCTACGCAATAAGCTCAATCATGACGAAGAACCAGCCGACGGACAGGTTCCAGTGGAACCAGTCGAGATACCATCTCTGCGCGCCGATGACCCTGCAACTGGAGCCCTTCTTCCATAACCTGTGGAAGCGGATGAAGTATTCGACAATCGACACGGTTCCAAGCAAAGCGGTACTGATACTGAAGACGGCGTTGGCAGACAATTGGTCACGCGTCAGGCCATACCACATGCCAAAGTAGAGGCCGATGGGCATGAAGACGCAGTCGAGGATGATGAGGGTCCAGAACCAGAAGATGGACTTCTTGCGGGTGCGCAGCGTGTACTTGAGCGGCGGCGGGCGGGTGAAGTCGGGGTCATCGTAGGTGACCTGGGTGTGGGGAAACTGGGCGTGGGGATTTGGCGACGGGACGCGGCTTGGTTGTGCGCTGGGGTTGAGGCTGGCGTCGTTGTTGACGGGCGTGGTGCTGCGCGGCTGTCTTTCGTCGTCGCTGGCGCCGTCGACGTGCATGCTGGGTACGGGCAGCGTGTCGGCCTGTCCTGCAGTCGTCGGTCGAGATGCATCAGCCTGAGGCGTCAGCGGCCTCAAGGGCTCCGTCGAAGATTGCTGCGTAGCCATTGTGTGGAGCGGTGGCACGATGGGGTGCCCAGGAGAAAAGTACGGGAGCGGCGGGAAACAAGAAGAGTCGGTCGCGTCTTGTCCGGATGCCAACGGGTGAGATTGTGTCTTGACACTGTCGGCGTATCTTGGGGGAATGGCCGTATCATGGGGGAAAGGGTCTGTTAGAATCCGTCAGCACCGTGCAGGCCGTGAATCTGCCTATGATGTCACGCCTGGGGCCTCGTTTGGTGCTTCCAAGGTCGCGCTTTCCCTGGGCGGATCTGGCGCATGCTTGGGATGCTCGGCTGACGCATCTCCGTCCTCTAACCTCGCCACCGGGCACATGCTCCAATCCCTCCATGCACTGTGCAGTCAGTGTGGATATGTGAATCGATATTACTGATGGGCTCCTTACGCGGCCTCTTCCTGTATTCTTTCGTGCTCCTCGCTTCCTGTGCTGTCACCAGTAGAGGCGGCCATGCCACTCAACACCCCCTGCCCGATGCGCAAGCCGCTCGTAACGGAACTCTAATTTCCCAGAAGCTGTTCTGGGAACTCGAAGAACTCGCGCGCATTGTCGATATATCCTACTGTGTAGGCACCGCCGGTCTGGGCATCCAGAAGCCCTTCAGGTGCGCCAGCCGCTGCGGAGACCGCGACTTTGAGACTTTCGAGTTGGTTACAGTAAGTGGCTGCATCCAGCAACACATCGCACAAGGTGCATGAGGTGCTGATATGTCCAGGCATGGAACACTGGCCCTTTTCTATCTGACTCCTGCGGCTACATCGCTCTGTCGCATTCACCTACCAACCCGCGTCTGATCCTTGCCTTTCGCGGCACCTATTCGGTTGCCAATACCATCGCCGACCTCTCTACCATACCGCAAGAATACGTGCCATACCCAGGCGACGATGATGATGGTACCTCGGACTTCATCGCCCCGAGTCTAGACGTAGACGACGATGCGCCACCCGCCGAGCCGCCCAAATGCGACAACTGTACTGTACATACCGGCTTCTATTCCTCATGGCTCAACACCCGTAAGGTCGTCCTGCCACATGTATCCAAGGCTCTGGACAAGTATCCCCATTACAAGCTGGTCTTGGTGGGACACTCGTTGGGCGGTGCCATTTCGACCCTCGCCGGGTTGGACTTCAAGGCTCGTGGATGGGACCCCCATGTGACAACCTTTGGCGAGCCTAGACTAGGCAACAAGGAGTTCAACAAGTACGTGGATGAGCGCTTCGCCATCACTTCGGATCACGACAACAACAAACTTCACCGTGTCACCCATGTCGGCGACCCTGTTCCTCTGCTACCACTGTCTGAATGGGGCTTCAGTATGCACAGTGAAGAGATCTTTATATCCGAGTCAAGTCTACCTTTCTCAGTTGCCGACATCCACTACTGCGACGGTGACGAAGACCCGCACTGCATTGCTGGGAGCGACCAAGACAAGTCTGCCTGGGGTGTACCCACTCGCTTCAAGTTTTGGCAGCTCTTCTTCGCCCATCGCGATTACTTCTGGCGATTGGGTTTGTGTTTGCCAGGTGGTGACCCACGAGACTGGTACGACAAGTATCCTGGGCATAGCACAAATGACGGAGACGATGATGTGCCTGAAATTATTGAATTGTAATGACACTTGGTCTTTTGCCTGTAATGTTTTAAATCGTAATTCGTACACCAAGCCCTTTTATATGCTTCTCAATACTAAGACGTGTGACAACGCCGAGACCATCCTTACGCCGCGCCTGCAGACCATGTTACTTGAAGAGAAAAAGACCTTTTAGTGGGTGCCGTTTTGGCTGTGGGCCCTCCTCTTCGCGACAGCGCCAGCAAGCTCAGCGAGCACGGTCTCGGTGGTTTCCCAGTCGATGCACGCGTCGGTGATGGACATGCCGTACTCGAGACCAGCCTTGCCTTCCTTGGGTACCTTCTGAGTGCCAGCCTTGATGTTGCTCTCAATCATGACACCCATGATGGCCGTCTCTCCAGCCTCGATCTGCTCAGCAATTGCATGCGCAACCTTTGGCTGGTTCATGTGGTTCTTCTCCGAGTTGCCGTGGCTGCAGTCAATCATCAAGCGCGAGTTCATGCCCTTGGACTCGAGCTTCTCACGCGCCTCCTTGACGCTCTTCGCATCGTAATTTGTGCCCTTCTTTCCACCGCGAAGGATAATGAAGCAGTCATCGTTGCCAATGGTGCCGACAATGGCGACGACACCAGGCTTGGTGACGGAGAGGAAGTGGTGAGGGTGCTTTGCGGAGCCAATGGCGTCAATGGCGACATCGAGAGTGCCGTCTGTGCCGTTCTTGAAACCAACCGGGAAAGACAGACCTGAAGCAAGCTCACGGTGGAGCTGCGACTCTGTAGTCCTGGCGCCAATTGCGCCTACACTGAACATATCGGCCAAGAACTGGGGAGAAATGGTATCCAGCATCTCGCTCGCCAGGGGCATGCCCTTCTCAGTCAGATCAGCGAAGAGCTGTCTTGAGATGCGCAGGCCCTTGTTGATCTTGAAGCTGTTGTCGATATCCGGGTCATTGATGAGACCCTTCCAGCCTACAGTTGTACGAGGCTTCTCCAGGTAGGAACGCATGACGATGAGGAGATCATCCTGGTACTTCTCCTTGAGCTTCATCAACCGGTCGCAGTATTCGAGGGCAGCGGCAGGGTCGTGGATGGAGCACGGGCCGATGACGACGAGCAACCGCTTCTGTGCATCTTTGCCTTGGACAATTTCCACAGCTTCGTCACGCGCCTTGAGGACTGTGTCTCTTGACTTGGCCGTCTGGGGGATTTCACTCTGGAGGAGGTCGGGAGGTGTGAGGGGGTTGTAGCCCTTGATGCGCCAATCTTCCGAGTTGTGCGGGTCGCCGACAGCTTTGTTCTCGATGTGGAACTGCGACGACGTGTTAGAGTGTGCGACTGGTGGCGGCAATGGATGTTGGTGTACATACAGACATAGTTCAAGAGAAGACGCAGGAAAGATTAGGAGGATCTGGGTATATGGAAGGAAATCAGAGACAAAAACTCTGAAAAGGACAGCGACTGTGGTTTTATTTGCTCTTCTTCTCCTCGCAGACGACCAAGACCTTTATGAGTCGAATGTTTTCTGGTATGACGGCGGAGTCGGAGGCGCCCTCATTGGTCAATGAGCGGGGCATTCGCGCCGATTTTTAGGTGGCGCGGGGTCGAGCCTCAATCATCATCGCCGGTCCGGCCACGCCCTGGCGCACAAGGATGTCCTCGAGAGAGAGTCATTCGGCCCTATATTGGAAGCTGGTTGCAATGCTCCGCGAAGCTCGAGACGGGTTTCATTATACGGCCTTTGGGCGTGTTCAAATGCAAAAGTAGAGATATCTAACATAGACAGATATGACGTCATGGAGAGCTCCGTGAAGCTATGTATCAATACAGCGCATTTCGGAGTACAATGATGAGTACCAACGGACATGTACATCTTTTCAGAATTCGTTGGAGATTTTTCTGATGGTCAGACTGAGTTTTACGAACAGTCGCTCTGGTGCTATCATGAGAGCCGCATGTGGATGTTGCACCCTACATAACAAGCAACATTCAACAAAAGGAAGTTAACAGCTGTGGGTAGTGGTAAGAAAACGACGTATAACTTTAGAGATCCTTTTAAGGCTTTTACATGTACTACATCCAGCTTTCGTGATTGCACTGGAGCGGTCAACTAGGCTTTAATAAGTGTGCCGTCATTGCTCTCCACCGACATCATACGTCACAGCCATGCCATACCGAAGGAGCCGTTGCGCGCCAGTCTGAAGCTAATACATAATCTCGAACTCTGCACTGCACTGTAAGAAAAAAAAACACTACTCACGTTCAACTTTTGCTCGATCACAGTTCATCATGGGCAGCCTAGACTATAGATCTCTCCAAAGCATCCCGATCAGCTACGCGACATGCTCGCTCGGATCGCCATCAAACCCTCCGCCTCTCCTCGACCGCTTACATGCTATATCCACCGCAGGTTTTACCGCCGTCGAGCTTTCTTTCCCAGACATCCTCTCCTACGGCCAGACACTACTCGGCCATGAAGTCGAACCGTCCAATTATGACGAGCTATGCAAAGTAGCAGGCGAGATTAAAAAGGAGTGCGACAAAAGAAGCCTTGGAATTATGATGTTGCAGCCATTTGCCAATTACGAAGGCTGGCCTGAAGGCTCCGATGGCCGCAAAGACGCCATGGACCGGGCTCGCGGCTGGATCCGCATCATGCAGGCGTGTGGGACAGATTTGCTGCAAGTCGGATCGACGGATTCACCCCTCGAGAAACTAGACAGGAGTAAGATGGTGTCTGACCTCCAGGTTCTCTGCGACATGCTCAAGGAGCACAACTTCCGACTAGCTTACGAGAACTGGTGTTGGTCGACACATGCACCTGACTGGAAAGACGTTTGGAGTATCGTTCAGCAGGTAGACCGTCCGAACATCGGTCTATGTCTTGATACCTTCCAGACTGCAGGTGGAGAATGGGGCGATCCTAGGACGGCTTCCGGTTTGCGAGAAGATGTATCCAAAGACGAGTTGGAAAAGCGGTTCCAAAAGAGCCTGGAAGAGCTGAGCTCCACCATTCCCAAGGACAAGATCTACCTTCTGCAGATCAGCGATGCCTATAAAGTCCCTCAGGCCTTCGATGCTGAGCGTGACGATGCAGGTCTGCTGCCTCGTGGACGATGGAGTCACGACTTCCGACCTCTACCTTACAACGGAGGATACCTACCGGTTGTTGATGTTGCGAGAGCAGTGCTCAAGACGGGATTCAGAGGCTGGTTCAGCTACGAGGTCTTTGACGGAGGTGCAGACGGCAAGGCTACGGACGTAGACATTGTGGCTTATGCGCATGCTGCGAAGAGTGTACAAGATAGGCTGCTGCAGGAATGTGCTGGTCACAAGGTTCCGGAAGCGATGGCAACAAGATAGGTAGCCGATGGATTTGGAAAAAATGAAATAATGTGACGAACTCGTGTTTCTACCGAATGCGAAGCTGTCGTCTTTGAGAGCAAGGACGAACTGATGATACAGTAAGGAAAGATACGAAGAGATTGGAGAATAAGAAAACTGTTTCGAGGACGACGTCTGTAACCTCTCCTCTATACTTGTCACTGAATATCTCACTCCAACGCACCCGTCGTAACAGCCGTCAAAACTGCCTCAGTCACCATGATCAAGACCACCGTTCGCGTAGCCGTCAACCTCGTGCGCGATCAACTAGTGCATCTTTAGTTAGCCACAAAACGCATCCTTAACATAGGATGTCATGTCCAGGATAAGGGCACCCAGAGTCACTAGTCTTCGGCTTGTCCTTCGTCTTGGTTACCAACATCGTTTTCGTTTCGCCGCAGTATATTCTCGGATAAGGATACGGACAATGCCTGTCCGGCACCATTATGCTTGTGATAACAGCAGGGTCAGTTTTGTGCGTCAATGTTTCGCAAGACGTGAGAGAAGTCTTGAGCGTAAGAAAATTCATCGTGGACGTCGGCTTCTTAGGGATCGATTTCGTAGAGGGGCCGGATATGCTTGGTACGGTCCCACCCTTCGTTTGTGAGCTCGGGTGCAAGGGTAGACCGAGAAGGCTATCGTAAGAAGATATATTGATTGGCTCCTTGGATGTGAAAGTTGGAGACGGAAATGCAGAGCTCGTGCATGAATACACTGAACTCCAGGTGAGTGACGTCGGGTCATGAGGAAGGACGGGCAAGCTAGGGTAGGCCGGCGGATATTGTGACATGAACATTGAGGAAGGAGATATGGAGCTCGGCATTGTGGAAGCTGCAGTCGATGGAGAATCGAAGGCGGTACTCGAACATGTTGATGTAATTGTCAGTGTCGGACGAAGAGAAGCTTCCCCACAGTCAAGTGTGGACACACTCGATTGAGTGGGTACACTCGGTGGAACGCTGGCGATGGGGTTCGAAGTCATCGAATCGACTGTTGTCACGAATGAGCTGGAAAGGATAGGCCACTGCCATGCGCTCTCCAGGGAAGCCGAAAGCAACCCGGTGAAAGCTGCTGTAGATGAAGAAGGCATCGGACCAGGTAGACCGGAGCCATACCGACTACCAGGAGTCCATATTGGAGTGATCGGGTCTTCGGTTCCTAGCCTTGAGTTGCTTTTCACGGTGGTATGGCAATGCTGTGTCGAAAGGCCATGTACTGCGAGCAACAGTGTCGCAAGAACAGCGACGCGCATTTTGTTTCCTCTAGAGGTAGTCAGATCGACGGCAGTAGGAGTCGGTTCTTGAAAATCCGCCAAATATAGACATGTTGCTCTTCCTTGGGAAGGATTATTGTGTCACTACGAGTTCCATCAATGCCCTAGACATGTGACTTCTTTGTCCTTGTTTGACGTAACGTAAAGACTGTCCTACATGGCTGCAAAGCTTGAAGCAAATGTGAAAGACAATGTCTTTGTGTGCTCTTTTCGGTTGATTCAAGCTTGAAAGTGCAGCACATCATTCGCTCATAGTAACATGAACACGGAGAGGCTCATTTCTGAGTTCTACCCTCAAGCGCCAGACCCTAATCTAGAGGTATACATAGAGTTTTATATCATGGAACCGACAGAACACATATATCGTATACTTTCAGTATAGAGTATAATGCATGGATGCTCAAGGGCAGAAGCAAGAAAAAAGGGCTCCATTACAAGGGTGGACCTCCACCGGCTTCCTCGATCCGTCCAGAAGAGTCTTGATCATTAGACAGCAAACATTGCGGGAAGATTTCAACCATTGAATAGGACGCCAATGAAGGAGCTGGTATCACATAGGCTCCAGTACTGCAAGCATTTGGCAACACCCAGACGATGTGACGGAGTAGGGCTGTGGGCATCCCAAAGGTGCCCGTCTTTCAAGATCAGCGAGTTGCTTACTTGGGTGGGATACCCCATTACAGTCCTGCATCGATGCGCTGTAGAACCTCATACCATGAAATATGGTGATTAAGAAGAGCGATCGTGATAGCAGTTGTGCCGTCCAGTTTGACCTCGGCAAAAGTGAAAAGACGGGAGAAGTGGATCTCATAGCCACCGCGTGAAGTATCTCACACGTTATCGTCGCAACACGAAACGCGATATTCTGAGAAGTCGCAGGTCTGTGAACAAAAGTAGAGTCTGAGGTTTCGACACTTCCTGCTTTCCCTTGGTGGACAATCTACGGCCCGCAAGCCGCTCCGTCTTCCCGAAATTTGCGTCCCCTCGACGGCACCCAAGCACCTTGAAGTAGTCGTCGCTTAGCATGCTCAGACACTGAGCCCGAGGAAGTATGTACAGCGCTATGCAGTCATCAAAAGAACGCTTCGATGGAGTAAGCTAGACCGCAAAATGACGGAACCGCGGGCCTGTTTCCAATCCACGGAATACGTACACCATCACATGCAGGGCATGTGGCCTAAGCCTTCTCAACAACGCGCACATCTATACGCCCTTTTCCATGATAGATGGATCTCGCGGACAAACGGCCTTGAACGTTTATCAAAATAAGCCAAGGTGGGCTGAATAGGCTGAAAGGGCGTTCCGTCCCCGCTGTTGGTTTATTGATATTGCTTCCGCGCGTGAGACGCCACCACGTGGAACGTCTTCGACGTCGATATAAAAGATACAAGGAGCCTGTGTTTGGTATTTCGATACTCTGCGTTTGCGCACTCACAAGTCCAATACTACAACATGCCGTCTACTAAAAGCAAGAACATCATTATTACTGGCGGTGCGCGAGGCATTGGTCGCTGCACAGCACGACACCTGCTTTCGTTGCCAGTATCGCATCGCGTTTTCATCATCGACTTTGATGCGGACGAGCTCGAATACACAGTTAATACACATCTAGCCGCCTACGCACCACGTGTCAGCTCATCGATCACCAACCTCCGCAATCCGGAAGAAATTCGCAGCGCAGTCGCCAAAGCCGCCGAATTTTTCGGTGGTCGGATAGATGTGTTGGTCAACAATGCTGGAGTCGCTCGAGGATTCTTCAACGCAGGAAACGGGACTATGGAAGACATCGCTACAGGAGAGCAATGGGAAGCATACATGGCTACCAATCTCAGCGCGCCCTTCTACATGAGCCAGGCCGTCATCCCTTTTATGAAGAGTCAGAACACACAAAAAGACGGTGCGCCAGGCGTTGATCGATCGAAGGATCTGAAGCGCACGGAGGAGTTCAACCAGCTGCCACTGAACCTCCATGGCGAGGACAAGTTGGAAGAGGGAGGCTGCATCATCAATGTTGCTTCCTTTCGCGCACATCAGTCAGACCCAGATTGTGAAGGCTATGCTGCAAGCAAAGGTGGTGTGCTGGCACTCACACAGGCCATGTCTGTTTCATGCCAGCGTTGGGGTATCCGAGTCCTGGCTATCTCGCCAGGCTGGGTTAGCGTACAGCACGAGTGTAAAGCTCGCGATTTGCAGATCAAGGAAATGCAGAACGGATCGTACAAAGAGGTCGCACCACATGAGGAGGAAGCGGTGAAGCGAAGGATGAAGGCCTGGGCGGAAGATCTGGATGAACTCTATCACAAGCAACACCCAGCCGGCAGAGTGGGTAGGGGGGAAGATCTCGCTGAGATGGTTGAGTACGTCATGGGTGCAGGCTTCTTGAGTGGACAGGAGTTGATCTTGGACGGCGGTGCAAACCGGAGAAAGAATCCCAATATTTGAGATGTCTGCATAGATTAATAAAGACATGCGCAAAGCCAACTTGAGAGCTATGCATGCGCAACAGAGGGTTGTTATCAAGTGCGATACGCCGCCAACGCCATGCTTGCAGTTGTATCAGAAAACCAACGCTAGAGTAAGCAGGAATCCCAACCTTAAGAAGTGTCGGGTAAGAAAGGATGGTGCGCGTGGGCCGGACAACGAGGCACTATCATTTCAAGAGGACTTCAATCATACACGTTTCTTCTTCGTCCACGTCGTAGTCGGCCACTGTATCCAAGGGCATCATTCGATCACCGTCGAACATGAGTGTGACTGGCTGGTTTTTATCGATCTTGTGGCGAGTCTTGTAAGCACTTGCGATGTGTGCAACGGTGGTGCTCTGACAACTGAGTTAGTATATGGACATAGGCCATCATGTTGGATGTATCGCGTCTTTGCATACGCTGAAGGAACAATCTCGACATACCTCTTTTACAGTCAGTTTGAAATCGGAGTAGCCCTTCGCTTTTAGGACTAGACGGAACCGCTTCTCTTCGGGTTCGGGCTCCGGTTCCGGAGTTGGAGTCTTTTCTCTCGTCACAACAGCTGCTTCGGCTGCCAGCTTCTTGGCTAGAGCTGCAGCGGCATCTTCCTTCTTACGCTGCTTGTAGACGTCTTCTGTCCAAGCTTCGACATGGATCTTGGGAAGATTGACGTCATCGTATATGTTGGAGTCTCCTTGAACAGAGACGTTTCCGCTATCGTCGACTTGTATCCCTAATCGCTTTATTGATGTGCTGTCGTAGAGACGTGTACCCTTCCACGTGAAGAAGACGCTGCGTGTCATTTGCTCCGAGAACTTCTCCTTCCCACACCATGCCAGCCGTGGCTTCCCGATGGTACTGTCTACTCTGACCTTGACCATCAATGGCTTCGCATCAGGCATTTGTGGATCAATCAATAGCTGTACTATAGGCGCCTTGGGAGCGTCGCCATTTGCCTGCGCCTTAGCTGCCGCGACACGCGCTCGCGCCCTTGCCCGTAATGCAGCGAATGCGGGGTCTCCGTCTTCATCGTCGTCATCGTCGTCGTCGTCGTCGTCTTTGATCTCTATAGGAGACGGTTTCGATGGCCGGACGGCTATGTCTTGTCTGAAGTCGGAAGCGGGCGATTTGTAGTCAATGGCAGGGTTGTCGTTGACAGGCTTGGAGACGTAGCCGGAGTCGTCGTCTTCGTCTGAGTCGCCCAGGTCAATCACGTGAGATTCTCTCTGAGGCAACGAAATGCTCGAGGAAGCGGACTTGGTCAAGGAGTCGTAGCGTGCTGTGAGCGAATCAGGTGGAGGACGGGATGGCGCTGGAGAAACAGATGTGATGCTGCGTCTGGGCAATTGTCAGCGCTGGCGGTCAGACGAAGGTGAGATGCGCACGCTTTAGCAGCGGTCCTGCCCACCCGTTCCTTGCTGGCCGAGCCGTTCTTGGGTGGGACAAGCTCTTCGCTGTCGTTTGATATGCGGCGTCGCTTTTGGTCGCGCGGTTCAGAGTGTTTGCGCTTTCTCGCCGCTTCAGCTTTCTTTTTCTCCTCTGCCCTTGTCCTAGCCTGCTCGGCAACTATGTCTTTGAACTCATTGGAGTGACTAAACATGTCCTCGCTGTCTTTCTTGGGCGCATCTTGCCATGCTGCGCGCTTGAACAGGCTGCGCTTCTTGGGTGGTGCGGCGCTTGCGGTCGAGTCCGTCATTGCTCGCGCGATGTCATGAGCAGCCGAGTTGGATAGAGGATAATGTTTGCACTATCCCGAGGTAGCGTCCAGGCGAGGAGAATATCGATGTGTGTTGGGGAGGCGCGGGCAGGTGCAGGTGGGGCTTCAACGCGCAGTCACGCTTCTCGCGATAGATGAGGAACACACTTGGTCTGTGCACTCTTCCTTTCCACCATCCAACATCGCCGTCTTCCCACTTTCATACCCACCAGCAGCCGAATTTGGGAACCGTCAGCTCACGCCTGATCAGAAACTCACGTAAGCTGTTCTCTCCGTCTTGCATAGTGAGCTGCTAAATGTTTCTCAGGAAGTCACACGTCACCAGATTCATCACCATGTCCACCAACGGCGAAAGCCCAGCACCCGAAGCCGCCGGCGACTCAAGAGATCCTAGCGGATTTCTCAGCGAGATCATCGGAGCTCCCGTCACTGTCAAGCTGAACTCTGGCATCATCTACAAAGGTACTTCCTCACGTGCCCTGCATCTACGTCAACTGCTAATGTCTACATAGGTGATCTCCAGTCAGTAGATGGCTACATGAATATCGCATTGGAACGATGCAAAGAGGTCTCCGAGGGACGCGTCACCCGGAATTGGGGGGATGCTTTCGTCCGTGGTAACAACGGTATCTTATCCTCCACTCAGATTTTCACTCCGCTTTGTACTAATTCACCTTCAGTTACATACATCTGCGCAGACAATGCATGAAGAACTATGAATTTGCAGTTCTTTTTGGAGGAGCATCGCGGTAACAGGCCCCATGTGATGATTGATGAACCATGCTATCCACATAACTAAGCGTCAATGAGAGTTTGAACGACCATTATAAAATATGCACTCGACGCCTCCACAAACGATGCAGGATCAAGACTACTTGTCTGGCGGCGCAGCTGGTAATAGTCGTGAGGGCCGATCCTTTGTAAGAACTCACCTTCACTGAGCTGTACCCCAATCTAGCCGTCGGTGACGACTCTAAACCTGTCTCTCGCACTCAACAAAAGCCACATTCCACTTTCCCCTTCACCATGTCGTCACTGTCTCTTAGAATTACAGTCCCTGTCAAAAGACGGATTCACCTGCGCACAGCGCTACCACGATGCGCTTTGCGCTGTTGAACGGTGCAAACGCTGTGGAAATCTCGACGCGCGGCTGTTTTCAACCTGCACAACAACAACACGCGTGTCTACAATCATTCTCAACCTGCTCTTAAGAGTTTTTCGAGCATCGCCGCGCCCGCATCGTTTGCGCTGTGACTGGCATGCACTAACCTTCTTAACTGATTCAGCCTAACAGTCACCCAAGCCATGACGATCGCTAGGGTTAAATCCCGCGTCCGATTCTCCGGCCGGGTCAAGCGAGATAGAAAGAACAGAAAACACTTTCCAGAAAATTCGAAACCAAAGAAGACAAACAACGATACGCATGGTCCGACAAAAGCCCCCAAAGGTAGAGACCTTTGCTTCGGACGCTACTATCACCAGACGAACCCGCTGACCGGCTCAGTGTACATGTTTCCTGTTGAAATCGACAATCGAATTTATGATGATAGCAATTCTGTTGACGATGATATGGCATCTTTCCTCAAGAAGCGTGTACTAACTACTGATGATCAAGAGTCTGATGGCGCCTTCAAAAGCGGTCTTAGAACTGCACTAATACTATGCAGGATCTCTCTGGTTACAGAAAATCCAGATATCGCTGGTGGCGATGCTGATGAGTACGATCACGAGCCGAGCGGCGCCTCTAATGACGGCCACTTAGCTGAACCGAAAGACTCCTGTGTTCCGTCTGTCTCAGTCATTCTAGACGCATCAGAAAGCGTCACAGATGAGAATGACGAACCACCCAGCTCCCTTCTGATGCAAGCACCACTATGGGCGTGGCCGGCGGAGTGGTTTCCGGCAGACTCTATTCCTGCAGCACCAGCGACTACAACAGGTTCATCTTCAGAGGTGAAATGCGGTACATCAGATTCATCACTAGTAACGACAGACACAACGGTAGATCCATATCGAGCCAAGGACAAGACAATAATAGATCCATCGCCAAGGACAGAAGATAGTACAGCAGATTCATCACCAGTGGTTGGAGAGTCTGTGGAAGTCTCGTCATCGGCGACAGCAGATAACACGGCCGTCTCGTCGTCAGTGGTATCAGAAACTATATCAGATCTCTCGTCAGCTTCGGCAGAGACTATATCAGATCTATCATCAGAATCGGTAGGTGTCGCAGCAGACTCGTCATCAGCGGCAACAGTTACTGTGACAGGTCTACATCCAGGCGCGGCAGTTACTACAGTAAACTCGACTTTAGTAACGGCAGCTCCGACACCAAATTCTGGTCCAGTGGTGATGAAGAGCACAGCAGCACCCTCTCTGGGACCATGGCATAAATGGTTTGTTCGTCTCTTTGCGGGACGCAAATCCAACAAGTCTGACAGTCCTCCTCAATCAACTCCCGAACAACCCATCTCTATCATATCCTGGGCTAGAGAGCGCAGTAGTTCCGAAGCAGACGTTGTCCTACCTCCACTGCCACGTCTCGAACTCCCGAGAGTCCTTCCAGAAACTCGCCGTAAGAAGAACAGGGTCATTGATCGCCCGGGTTATGCCATCAACATCCTTCAAGCGCCTTATCATGACTTCATTGGCCGTGCTGTCCTCGAAGGAGATGCAGATGACGCGAGAGCAGTCCAATGCGGCTTCAAAGTAGCAAGCAACTCGCACATCGTCCCGCTCGCCCAACGTCGCAACAACTCTGACAGTAGTCTGCTGGACCGCGACGGAGATGCTTGGGCAGATTGGAACAAACTGAATATCACTGCCGATGCCATGCCTTTCGCAAAATCTCAGTCAGACACCAACTTGCTACACCCTCGGACTGGCGCTCGGATGGCGCGAAACACCAGTATGTACAGCGCCGAGTGGACCAAGGGCCAGACTGGCCACTGCTTTCTTGAGGATGCTGGACATCGATACCCTTTTGGAGGACTGGGCTTGTAGTGGTTGAGAAGCAAAATGTCTTTTGAGCTATTGCAGATTGAATACTCCCACTCAAGACCGACTTGGTGGGGACAGACCGAGTTTACGCAGCCTGTATAACCAAGTATGGATCGCGTCCACTTACCGGGGTTCAGGCTAGCCGTTGAGATCTAGATTTCTTATTTTCCTGGTTTTCTTGATTTTCTTTCTTGCTTCCGGAGCATTGGAGTGGGGCTTGTTGCTCGCGCGAATGGCGTCTAAGCTATCACTGCTTCTTCATGGCCTAGTGCCCGCGGGCTAGAAAGGGCGTAGTTGTCGCAGCGTGGGCTCCACATTTGGATTACGAATTGCGACGTGGTCCGAATTGGAACACTTTGAGCTACAGGTGGCATGTCCTAGTCCCGTTGAATCGGGCCGAGAGTCGGCCGTGCTCATGCTGTTCTCTTACCATTGCAGCACACTGTACTATTAGGCGAAAGTGGTCAAACAGGTTGAGCATTTGGCAACGAAGCGGTGTTCAGTTGATTTTTCTTAAGACTAGTGTTGAATGTAATTCAAAATCAAGATCACAAGACTTCGTGACGCGTGGCTTGTTGTGAAGTAACAATGCATACGCTTATATGTGTGTATCATTGTATCATATCTACACCTAGGGGAAATCGTGCGGCTACAAAACAGAAAACAAGCGTGCCTCCATCATTCGTTATATCATCGCTCTGCAATTCCAGCAGCGAGCGTAAAAAGACGATCCTCCCATTTCTCTCCATCTCTAGTTCGCATCACCTATCGGAGTGAAAACGACCTTGGCACTAGGCTTGGGCAGGATGGTCGATCTCCAAGTGAACAAGCGCTTCGCCGTCGGGTCGACAAGCTCACAGTCGTAGTTGAGGATCACTTGGCCAAGAATGACCTTCATAACAGCCGAGGCATAGTATCTTCCTGGGCTACATATTCCGTTAGCAAGATCTTCATGTGAAACAGGAAAGATCAACTAGGCTCAAGACTTACCAGGCCATTCTTCCGGTTCCCCAGACATGGAAAGTCATGTCAAAGTCAGTCAGCTTTGTAGGCTTCTTCTGCATGATATTGAAAGCGCCATTAGCATTTTCGAGACTCTTGACGAGCTGCGGGTCGGCGAAGCGGAAACCACTGAAGGTTGTTGCCTCGGGGTAATCGACAGGGTTCGTCATGATGGCTCGAACGGGCGTGCAGAACCAGTCTCCGACGTTGACGTGGGTGCCGTCTTTGAGCGAGAAGGGTTGTAGTGCTGAACGACGTGTACTTTGTGACTCGACTGGTGTCAGACGCGCAGACTCCTTGATGAAGCTGTCAAGAAGAGGAAGTCCTACACCACTCTGTTCAAAAGCGGCATATTGAGACTCGCACTCCTTTCGCAGCGGCTCCGCATATTCGGGATGTAAGCAAAGGTCGTGAATAGCAAAGGTCACAGTGGTAGAGACGGCATGAACAGAACCGAACCAAATCGCCATCAGTTCGTGAACAACACGCTGAGGTGTCCATGGCGCATTCTTGGGTGAGGTCTCCATGATCCATTGGATGCAGTCGGCGTGTTGAGGGACCTTTTGGCCCAGTTTAGCTGCATCTCGCTCAATGCATCGCTCTTGTGCGATTGGTAGAAGCCTGTTGAAGATTGTGGCATGTGACTTGAGTGTACGGGCAATGATACCACCGACGATGGGAGCCATGAACCCAGGTAGCAGGCGGACAATCTCAGCACAGATCAGGGTCTCCTCGATGTATGCGAGGGCGGAGACCATGAATTGCTCATCCTTTGCCAGATCTTTTCCGAAGAAAGACACTGCATTGGATAGGACAACGAGCTTCACAGTCATGTGATATACGTCCGACTGCTTCTTTCCTGTCAATAATCGTCAGTTCGGATTCAAAGTCAAATATTGCATGCATTATTACCATTGATGACTGGGTGTGTGGCATGAAGCTCCTGGAACCTAGTGCGGATGATGCAAGTGAGATCAGGAAGGATCTTAGGCAGGTTGTTGGTCAAAAGCGTGCGAAGGGCGCGGATGAATCCAACACCCTCAGTACCACGCCGGTCAAACCAGTTGAAGCCGTGCCTGTGGAGCGTTAGTAAGCTTAATGCAAGACGAGCATCATCTAGATACTCAAAGGTCATCCTACATAGTATACATGGGCTGTAGCATCTACATCTTGTTAGTCATAAAGAAGAACAAAGCCTATCGAGATGCATACCTGCTTCGATGCTGCTTGGAGGGACAACACCGTGTCTGGCGCATTGTCTAGCTCCTTGATTTGCTGAGGATCAGAGACGAAGACATAGCGATTGTCCGGGGCGAAGAGCTCGAATGGTTTTCCCTTCGCCTCATCAAACGCTTTCTGGATGATCTCAGGACCCCAGAAGAGATATGCCCATGCTTTGTACCGCTTGGTGACAGGCCTGAAGATGGTCTTCAGGATCTTTGCTGGAGAAGAAGCCTATTCGACTGGTCAATGTGATGAAAGAGAGGAATATGTTTTGGTACATACCAGCTTCTTCGCGACCAAGGCCTTGTAGAAAAAGAAAATCGATATCAAACCGAATATGCTGCTCGCAGCATTGACTGCCAATGGGCTAAGGCCAGGCAGATGTATGCTCTGCATCTCTAGAAACTCCATGATGGCAGTAAAGTTTGAGAGTGAGAATTTAGATTGAGGCTAACGGACGTAGGGTATTTAGCATTGGTACATATACAAAGCAACCATCTTGACGGTGCTCTAGCTACAGGTTTTGCTACGCGGAACGGCCGGTTGAAGCGAACTGTTACATTACGTCTAAGCCTCTATGCAGTGAACTAAATTCGTTGTTAGTTAGTTGAACTGTGCCGCTGTCCTGCAGTAAAAACCGATCAATATCAGCCCACCTGCATGCTACACAAGCTGCATCACTTCATGTGAGGTCTCACCTATCGTTGTGTTTCGCTTTCGACAGAAAGGCGACCAACTGACCCTTCTCTTAGCGCTATCACAGCGTCTGCTATCCTAGAAAGTAAGTAGACCCGATGCAACTACAACAGAAAACACGAAGCGCATGCGTCCACAAAGCCGGAATAGCCAACGGACCGATCCACAAAGGTGTAGCGCGGGAATCGGGGAAAACGGTTGAACGTCTGGACGGGTCCGAGGCTGCGGCTCTAATTTGAGGCCAGTGCGCAAACGAGTGGTCGAATCAGAGCTAGATGAGGAAAGACTCCGTGCGCTAAATGACGGAAGAGCTTCTTGAGGCCCCCTGGCCGTTAATACGGCTAAATCATGCCGTAATCGTTGATTGATTGCTGTCAAAGAAGACGGCGAATAGGTACGTCTCCACGGCAAGTTATCGCGCTCCAGGATGACAGATGCAAAAGCGCGCTTAAGCAGTATTGCCCCACACGGCACCACTACCCAGACATAAGACCGACGGCCCGTGTCTGATTGGAGGACTGAGAGTCTAGTGGAGTCAAATCCGACGTCGGTCTTGAATCGTGATATGTACCTCAACTGCAACTAAAGACGCAACTGGGAGGAAAGAGTCTACTTACCGCTAATTCCCTGGCCGCAATGCTTCTGGGAAAAGGTCCTACTTCGGTCGTCCTTATGTGAGAGGCCAGGTGATCTAACACGTCTTCATGTCTCTAGGATCTCTTCAAGTCGTTGCAGGGTTTAATCGTCATCGCAGACGAATATATCGATAGCGGGTCGTAAAGGTAACATCGCGGGTAAGACTGTCTGCACGCAATGAATTCGAGGGCCCGCTTCTCCATAGGTTCCTTTTCACTCGATTATGCAACACTCTTCCCACGTGTCCGGTTCCAAATGACGCGGTCGCCCACTGGCCCGGCTTGGATCCCGGAAAACAATGCTTGCGCACGTGCGAATATGCATTGGCTTGATTATGGTGAAGCAAGTCAACGGGTTTCGTGTACATATCTCGAATGCTTTCTTGTTACATATTGAGATATACGAAGACGCTTGCATGTAGTAGCATGTCTTTAGCAGGACCGGTGAAAGAACCCGTAATCCATAACTGTAGCAGCTAGATCCAAGCGACCATGGTGTGCCTTGGCATGTATAATCGACTCCAGGCGAATCTACTGGATCTTGATCGGAAGATAGCGAGTAGTTGGGGCTTTCATGTGAAGGAAAGCTCCGGCCACAACTCGAGAAGCGACGAACTAGCGCGCACACAGCATACGTGTGCGCCGGGCGAAGATATCGGTGTTCGATACGGACCCATCTCCACATTCAAGTTCGAGATGCACTCAAACATCTGTATAGATCGCGCCATATGACGCAGCTCCTTCTGGCCGAGGTTTGTCGGATTGATAATGGTTGGGGCCAGTTTCAGACTACTTGGACCACAGCTCCACCATACTTTTGCACCAAACCTTTGGTTAATGGTCTTGTTCCCGACCCCACGCGATTCGCTCCTGGAGTGTGATCTCGAACCGACGTTATGGGTTTGACTAACATGTGAGATTAATCAAGGCCTCTGAAAGACCAGATGGTTGTGATATTGCTGTGGACGACCCCACGCCTATCCCAGATATGGAAGTCTGCCGACCCGAGCCGTGTGTGGAGCCGCGCGGCTGACGCACTGTCGTACAACCTTCCTCAAAGAGTGAAAACTACTGTGACAGTCTGTGCAAATAGTCTGCAGCAAGTGCATTGCATGCTGCAACACCGGAGCAACTCTGCTACCCTGAAAATCATGCCGTTCTATGGCCCACTGAGCCGCGCCAGCACGATGGGTCGTCGGGGGCCTATCGATTGCAGAATTCGAGTTGGTAAGCCTTCGATGATTGGTTCGGTCAGCTCGGTGAACGCCGCAATTAACGGCATATTCGGTAGAATGTACAGGTTAGTAGCCGCGTCTGCAATCCTACAATCAATATATGCAAAGCAAAGTGCTAGCTTGTTGGAAAGACTCGGCTACTACATACCTGCTGCAAGGAATCCTTGCTCGTTTCACAGCGCCCAATAAATATCCGGTTTAACGCAGAGGCTGTCCGAAGAAACTTGGACGGCGGTACAACTCTTGCCGTTGAAGGCTCGTCGTGCTGGACAGTGTACTTCAAGCGTGTAGATTGTCGAATACTCCTCATTGTTTCTATGACCTAACTCGGCCAAGAATGGAGCTTATCATCACGCCCACGCAAGCACTTGTGCCTTTGTCAGTCCTGTTCCTAGTATACCACGCAATTCGAGCATTGTTCTTCGGAAAAGCAGAATCAAAGCATTGGGAAGAGCTACCGGTCGTAGGCCTTCAGAAAGGATGGTTCGAATGGGTGTGGGCAACGTTGAAGTCCATTCGAAAGACACAGGACTGGGCGTTCGAAGGTTACCGCAAGGTATGATTGTCGTCGACATTGACAGAGGTATACTCATTCTCGCTACTGCAGTTTGCTGCCGTGAACAGCCCTTTTATTCTGCCTAGCATTGACAGAGGAGCGATGATCATCCTACCTCCACGTTTGATCAAGAAGGTCTACTCGCTCCCGGAAAGCACGCTCGACATCCATGCGACGCAAAGTGAGACCATTCAAACGAAATGGACAGTCTGGGACAAAGAGGTAGCCGACAATGACTTCCAGATCAACGTTGTGCGTCATCAGATTACACGGAATCTCGAGCACCTGACGCCGCTGATGGCCGATGAACTTGACAGAGGCTTCGAGCGGTGGTGGGGAGGTAAAGACGACACCGAGTGGAAGGAGGTCGCGGTATGGGACGCGTGCTTGAAGTTGATTGCCGGTGCGAGTAATGGCGCCTTCTGCGGCGCACCGCTGTGTAAGTCGGCAATAGTGCCTAACATGAGAGATTTAGAAACTGATTCTATCGTAGGTCGAGACGAGCAGTTTTTGAATGATCTTAGGGATCATGCGATGAGCATCTTCGCTGGCGCTATGCTTATCAACGCGACGCCCAAACCGCTCAAACCCGTCACTGGTGCTCTCGTAGGATCCACCTGCTGGTACTTGCGACGAAAAGCGATGAAGGGTTGTTTGCCTTTTGTAACAGAAAGATTAAATGCTACTGCCCAGTTCAAGGCTGATGCGAAATGTGGATGGACCCCACCCGTAGGATTCCCCCTTGCATGAGATATGCACATCAATATACTTACGCGATCCCAGAAAGACGGTCTCCAATGGCTGATCGACGAGTGCTACGCCGCAGCCGCGAAAGGAGACGTGGGGCAACTGGACCCGAAGCGAGTGGCACATCGTCTTTTGTTGGTTAACGACATTTCTCTGCATTCGACCAGCTTTACTGTACAGAATGTGATCCTGGATCTCTTCAGCTCGGATCCAGCAATGGGTTATGTTGATGCACTACGCGAAGAAGCTGCATCGGTGCTTGCCAAGGCAGGTGGTGTATGGACACGCGATGCAGTGCGAGATCTGAAGCTCATTGACTCGATGATCCGTGAGTCAATGAGACTCAATCCATTTGCGATTGTTGGACTTCCGCGAACAGTATGTATGCTGTCAGATACGATGGAACTGAAACTAATAAGACGCAGGTCGTGCATCCCGAAGGTATCCGACTTCCGGTGTCCAACGTTCATGTACCACAAGGAACCATGATTGCAGTTCCTATGGAGCCGATTCATTATGACGAAAGCATTTATCCTCAAGCACGCAGCTTCAACGCGTTTCGTTTTGCGGATCCGAACAACGTTACTAGTATTGTCGACAATTTCGCAACCAAGGATGATCTCGAAGCCACCAAAGCCGATGCAAGCGACCGTAAAGGCAAGTCCACTGCTACTCTTGATGACGCTTTCCTTGGTTTTGGGTTTGGACGGCATGCGTGTCCTGGACGATTCTTCGCTTTGAATGAGATGAAGGTCTTCATAGCACACATGCTGCTAAACTATGACGTTGAGCACATGGCAGTCAGACCAAAACCTCTGGATACTGTATGGCTGAAGCTTCCGTTACATGGTGGAAAGATCCGAGTGCGTCGAAGGCCGACAGTTGCGTAGATAGGACAAAACATGCTTTGCTTATCTGTGTATCGAGTGCAACCCTATAATCGCTACTTTGATGATACGATGTAATCCATGTGTATCTGCCAGAATAGGGAATTGTACCAACGGTAGAGAACAGTCGTGGGCAAGACATAGCCCGTTTGCCTGAGACGGATGTCGCTTCCTCGACCGCAACATACAGTTTCGTGCGGGGGGCCATAGCACCTAGAATCTGAGCCGAGGTGATGGATGCGTATCAGCGCAATCTACGCAGGATATGGTGGCTAAGCATGGGAATTAGCATTGTACGTTTCTGCTTGGTCTGGGTGGAAAGAAGTATCCCCCTGAGGAAGGAGCTAGACACCCACTACGAGCTTGACGCTAAGACGCATGACGATTCACACAAAGGCGGCAACGCGACAGACTAGGAGCGTTGGTGTGCAAGACGAAATCGGTGCATATTTCTTATGATTGCCATGAGCTGCTCAAACACTCCCGCACTAATTGTACGCGTGCTTCGAGACTGACCACGTGATTGGGTACTAGCGTATAACGAATGCCACGAACGGCAAGCTGCTTTCGGAACGCGTCGTTGATGTGCGTCCACTCTTCTGTTCCAGTTGGCATCAAGCGCGTCCCATCGTCGACAAGCCAACTACAGCCAGCTTCACATAGCATCACGACGCCCGCCTTCATACGCCGCTCGAGCTGTCCCCACTTCTCCGATGCCAGCATCTCTTGCGCCGCCTCCTCGCCCACGAACAGTTGCGCATATATGATGGGATCGAGACCGGAGCGGTCGGAAATATACCATGTTGCCCGAGTGTCGGGGCCGATGGCAGTCTGTTCGGCTTCATATTGCGCGTCGAGAATGTGCTTCTGGAGCTGCAACGCTCGCGACGGCGATGTAGTGATGTCGTCGCGGCTGAAGTGCTTGTCTCTCAATACCGTGCGCGCGACCTCCCGGATGATCACTGGCCTCGAGGACTTCCCTTGTAAATGATTGGATAATTCGCCTGAACCGAACATGTCTTCGAGTGCGTCCACAAGTGTCGTCTTTCCAGTGCATTGTGCACCGATAATGTAGAGGCACGGACTTTGGGCTACTTCACTTGCCATCTTGTCTATTGTCAAGGCTCAAGAGGACCTGCAAACGGGCAGCAGGCGGTGCCCTTATCATGAATTCGCGCTTGCTACTGTGGCGCGGTTGTGTAACGTCGCATATGCACGTGCAACCCTTTACGAATCACGCATACGCATGTGAGTCCTCACCCCGCATCATGCCATTGACTCTGCAAAACTGCGGGGCGTCATCTATCATCACCATGAGCAATGTGCGAAATTTCCGTGCTATCATCCTACGAGAAGTCGATCCAGAAGCCACATCATGGGACTATCTCATCGACAATCTTCCTCAGGCTAAGCGTACAAATGCTGATGGACTAATCAAGTGCCTTTCCCTTGTTCTCTCTGATAAGAAGCAGGAATTTGAGCTGCGCTTTGAGAGGGCACCCTCCAACCGTGTTACGCGCAGGGAGCCACTGGACAAGCTGCTCCTGATCTCCTTCGCGGACTTTTTTCTGCGATGGCCAGCGAAATCTCCAGATGATCTGCCACGCGTAGCTACCGGCAGAGAGAACGGCGACTACATCACGAGGCTGCTTACTACTGGCGTTGTGCTGAACAGGGTCCATTACCATTTCTTTGGCCACTCAAATAGTCAATTGAAGTCGAGGTCATGTTTCATGTACGCCGCATCGAAGGAAGACATATCAGCCAAGATTGAAGCTATGGGGGACTTCTCCAAACTCAAATCCGTAGGCAAGAAAGCAAAACGGATTGGGCTTCTCTTCTCGAGCGCGGATAATGCTCTGATTCTGCCAGCAGAACGCTGCGAGGATATCCAAGATGTCAACCGGGATGATTACACCTTCACTGACGGATGTGGTCTGGTATCTCTCCAGCTTGCTCGACAGTTGGCCCAAAGACGCAACATAATATTTCGCAATAAGCGTTATCTACCTTCGGTATTCCAAATCCGATATCGCGGATACAAGGGCGTATTGACCCTAGATACCACCCTTCATGGTAAAATTCAGGTTCAGTTCCGAGAATCCATGAGAAAGTTCAAAGACGCGTCCGACCTTAGCCTCGCGGTTGTAGACTACTCCAGGGTTAGTCCGCTTCCATTCTTTCACTCCGCCTGGTTAACTTGATTTAGCCGTACGCTCTTGGTAGCCTCAACGATGAGGTGGTCGTGCTCTTACACACGCTAGGTATCTCTACAGACGTGCTTCTTGAGAAACAGCAGCAGCACCTGAGTTTCCTGAGCGACGTTAGCAGAGGTGATCCTAGGAAAGCGTTTCAGTATCTTTCGTATTCTGACAGGCTTGATGTAGCCGAGAAGCTTCTCTTGGAAGGTATTGAATCCGTCAGCTCACAGTTGAGAGCGTTAGTTCGGCAAGAATACGAGAGAACGCTAAACAAACGAGACGAACGGCGATGTCGAATCCTGATTCCCAAGTCAAGACTGCTCTTTGGCGTCTGTGACCCCACAAGCAAGAATGGTCAGCCTGGAAAGCTCAGAGAAGGGGAGTGCTTTTTACGGATAACCAACGATGGTAATGGCTTAGCGCAGACCATCATCAATACCGAGGTGATGGTGACAAGAAATCCATGTCTGCATCCAGGCGACCTGCAGAAGTTCAAAGCAGTAGACGTCTCAGGTTTTAGTCATCTAGTTGACTGTATCGTCTTCTCAACCCAAGGACGCAGACCGAGCGCTGATCTCATGTCTGGTGGTGACTTGGATGGGGACAAATGTAAATCTCTTCCTTGCATCTGGATGATACTCACTGATCACTACATCTAGTCTTCGTTACCTGGGATCCGGATATCATCCCGAGGACGATGGCGCAACCCGCTCAGTACCCCGGAGGTAAGGAGCTGGTCACTTTCGGGCAAGTAACCGGTGACGCCCGAGCTGAATACTTTGCTCGATATACCAATGCGTCGTTGGGGCAAGTCAAAAATCTTTATATGAAATGGGCACGTCTCGGGAACGCCATGAGGCCGGAGTGTCAGCAGCTCAATCGGCTCTTTTCACAATGTGTGGATGGAAATCACATCCGCATTCCTGAAAACTTCAAAGAGTTCAAGAAGCTCGAAGATCCTCCCGAACCTAAGGACACTGTTTCTCCTTTCATCCTGGACGTTTTGCACGCTGCTTGCACCCAATCCATTCTTCAAGCTGACAACATACGACCCGATGGTAGCGAGGAAGTCGATGTAATGGAACTATTCCTTACACGAGACAAGATGGCGATAACTGAATTTGAGTTGCTGCAGATTGTGCTGCGTTGGTGCGAACGTTCTGGCAAAGATGTCCTACAATACACCCATCTCTTCGATTTCAGTGCCTTGAGCGATGAAGAGCGGATCTGGCTTCTAAACTACCTTCCACCTTCTGCGACTATGCCAAGTCTGGTACACAATGGACTCCTACAGTCGAACCTGGTCACCCCCGAGGAACTGCACAAATTTCACCTCGACCAGCCGCATCTGCATTGGAAGCCCGTCTTCAGATCTTCTGTCGACCGCATGGGGAGATTCCTACCTACCATGTTGCAAGTGATAGAAACCTTCCACAAGAAGTTGATCGTCTTATCGGTAGACGAACGGCTTACTGTGGCGATCTATATACCAAAAATCATTGAACGAGCAAGTGAGGTGCAAGTAAATACGAGCGTCAGGTTCTTCGCTTTCCCACATTCCCAAGGACTACAGTCACCAAACTACAAGGTACTGCCGACCAAGGTCAATTACAGACTGTTTTGCGATGAGCAAGTCTTTCAGTTGTACGAACGTCAACGGAGTAACACGTGGGTCTTCTTGAGGCGTCCTCAGGCCGACGATTCTTTTTACCGAAGCGAGAAGAATCAAGGCGACAAACGCAGAGCAAGGGAACGCACTGTGCGAGATGGAACCAACCATGACTGCAAAGCAAGCATTGCTCTAGACAAAGTCAGCCGAGGACTTCAGCAGCATATCGGTAAAGTGAAACAGAATGGCGTCTTGGGTGCGGTGAGCCAACGCTCCCTGTATTGAGTGTGATCTGATCTGTGTAATACTGACAGAAAACAGGAGATATACGTGATCAGCAACAGAGACGTCGACTCGATGCAAGTACTGGATGAGTGGCTAAACTTCGTCGATACTGACGAAATTCTACCACTATTCGAAAAACTATCCATGGACTACGAAATTTCTAAGCTACACTCTACAAATTGGGACAACTTCTCAGAGGAAGTGGTAGCCGTGGTTCGCGACCAAGATTTTGCTCATCTTCGAAAACTGGAGTCGTTGGCAGAGCTGCGGACTATCCTTGATTTGCTCAATGACCATGGTGAAAAGAAGATGCTGTTCGACACATTTTCTCATCTTCTTACATTGGAGGCAAGCTCGTCACTTTTGCTAGATCACAATCAAGTAGCATCAAACCTGCTCGACTTCCTGCCGAACGCGGCATACCTCATCCCCGCATTTTTCCGATCCCAAACCTGGCGGACTCATAAGTCAGTATTGGAGGACAACCTCGTCCACTTGGCTTTCAGGTTACTGAGACAGCTCGTTCTTCTGTCGCAAGATATGGGCAGCTTCATTCGGCGTCCGATTCAAATACTGTTACAAGAATTAAGATGCATCTCGCTACATGAATTTGCCGAGCTTGTGGAGCTCATTTCTCTCACCGTTCGCTCTTCCGAAACTGCTTTGGATCTTCTCCTCGAAGTTCTAGAGCCGGAAAGCTCACGGCTTCTAGTTCAACGACCAACTGCCATTCGACAATTCACGTCGTCTTTATTTGGCATCGCGCTTGATCATATAGACGAAGCGTCTCGGAGTGATAACCTGCATTCACAGGAAAATCTCAACCTCAGCATTGATAGTTACAGTGACGCCTGTACGATAGTCAAGAGCATACTCCGTATCGACTCCTCTTTGAATTCGATACTCAAAGCTGGAGACCACGTTCGGCTCACGGCATCCGACGCGCCGCGGAATGCAGCTGACGCGAAGCTGCTCTCTATGGATGCGGTTGTATCGTCTGCTGAATTAGGCAAAGCTACGTTTCGATGCCTCCATCACCCGCCGTTGTATCTTGACAAATGTGGATGGAGAGTTACACATTGTGGATCGTTCGTTACCGCCAAGGCCTCATTCGACGCTGTAACCGCTTTTTACACGGAGCGTGAAGCTTGTACCACAATCTATCCAATGCTTCTTGGTCTTCCTCCAACAAGACAAGGAAGACCGACTGACGTCGAGCTACCGTTGACTGTTGACACATCACTGAACGAGAGTCAGAGTGCTGCGCTGATGGCTTCGATGAAACATTCATTGACGTTCATATGGGGTCCTCCAGGAACAGGAAAGACGCATACGATTGTTGTTATCATAACCCAGCTGTTGGAAAAACTGCCTGAATCAGGATTTCTTGTGACGGCGCCAACGCAAAATGCAGTAGACAACTTACTGAGGAGGTTTGTTAGCTGCTTTGGTGCAAAGAAAGGTGGAGTCCTGCCGATCAGGGTGTCAACACAGGTAAGTGCTGTCACCTCAAACGGTCTGAGCAGTCCTTCTAACATCGTGACAAGCTTTCTAAGGTCGCTCAAGACCTACGTGCATACACGTGTGATGCCATGCTGGGTAAAGATCTCGGCGCAAACATGCCCGCCCGCCGTAAAGCGCAGAAGCGCATCAAAGACGCACGTCTGATGTTCACAACCTGTACTGGTGCTGCGTTAGGTTTGTTAAGGAACGAACACTTCGATGTCGTTATCGTGGACGAGGCCTCACAACTCACGGAACCCGCTACCCTTGTGCCTCTTGTGAAAGGGTGTTCGCGTGCGATACTAGTTGGAGACCACGTTCAGCTCCGCGCCACGGTCCAACAGAATGCTGTCTTGACAGGTTACGACATCTCGCTTTTCGAACGCCATTACAAACTACCGCCAAGAGAGGACGTTGCCAAAGTCATGCTTAATATGCAGTATCGCATGCATCGCTCCATTTGTGACTTCAGTTCTTCCGAATTCTACGATGGGAAACTTCACACTGCTGTGGCCGAAGACGCGCGTCCTCTGAGTCGTTCGCTTTTTCCCTGGCCTAAGAAGAACCGCATGGTCTGGGTTGAGTGTCCGGAATCTGAAGAACTGTACTGCCAATCAAAATGGAACGTTGGCCAAGGCGTAATCTGCAAAAGTATCATCGAACTTCTCAAGACACCACCGCCGTCTCCAAAATCGACTGCGGCTGCGACAGTTCCTGGCGAATCCCCATCTATCGTCATACTGACACCCTACAATCGCCAGAAGGATTTGCTTACGTCCGAAATCCCCAACGTCGAAGTCTGCTCTATCGACAGTTTTCAGGGTCGTGAGGCAGATATCATTGTGTTTGTCACTGTTCGGTGCAATGTTTATTACGAATTAGGCTTCCTGGCTGACATGCGACGATTGAACGTAGTCATGACAAGGGCGAAAGCTGGGATTGTGTTGATCGGGCACCAGAATACACTGGCTGGTGTAGAAGCTGGAATGGTTGAGAATGAGAGTAAGCTGGTTTGGAGGAGACTACTAGGACAGTGTGAGGTTGTGTCCTTGGCAGCTCGAGCCGAGAGTTATCGTTCCAAACGTTGATGTGGAGTATCGTTTACCACCTTCCTCTTCAGATTGTACTTTTGATCTGAGGCGGCAATTACCCACTGCTACCTTCGGCTTCTCTCCTTCTTGCAATCCTTCATGACTAACATCCGACCTCATCCTGCGTCTGTTGCATGAAGGAGTCCAAGCGAGACCCACAGTAACCTCCGCGGAGCCGTCGGGAGTCGGCAGCCAAGCCGTACGGCAACCTGTCACTGACATTTCATGGGTGTTGGCGAGACGAAATTTCCCTGTGCTGCATTGGCGTGTAGCTGGCCCGGGCCAATAATTGAAGCATAGTGATCAATACGCCAGTGCTTCAGGTCCAGCAAATGGCTCCTTCGATGCTACCTAGGTATCTGCCGCCTTGGCTTTCAGCATGGCCTTTGCAAAGTTGAACTCGGTACGAGGTAGACCATCAAAAGTCAGATCCACTACTAAAGTCCTAATTTTGGTACTCAGCCATGTCAAGAATTGCATAGTAAGAGCCATCCTTGTTAACAATGACCATTAGTACACAAAACTAGGCCTCTAGCGGACCCAGAGGTATATTCTTCATCATCGTGGCCACGTTTGTTAAGATGTTCAAATGTAATTGTCTCGCGGTAGGCTTGCCTAATCTTTTCGATTCGAGAGCTGATGTAGGTTCTACGGACGCTGTACCACGCTTGACGGAGTGATGCCTACGCCCTTGTCAATCTACCTCAAATCTTTGTCTTGATCTCTATGTATCGCCGAGATCGTAGGCTGGTTTTGCCGCCCGCGCCGGCTCACCCGCATCCTCGTACTCGACCACCAGATGCTGCGTTCGCGTGATGCCGGAGCTTTGCTTGACGTTCTGGCTCTCGTCACTGCCGGGTCGATGGTTCGGGCCCAGAATGCTGTCCTGGCTATCGTGGCCCAGCGTCCCTTCAGAAACACCCGACTTCCCATGTTGCTTTGTTGACCGAAGAGTCTTGCTTCCGATCGTTGCGAGCTTCAACCCAGATCGATCATTCGATTTGTAGCCACCTCGGTCCCGCCCACCTCCCAAACTACTAAAGAGGCCGTGGCCAAGGAGTTGGTCGAACAGTGGCTGTAATGTTGGTATGCATGCGCCGATGATGATAGCATTACCCTCGATACTCGTCCAAACGGTAATATCGGCCGTATCGTCTATACAGTAGTCTCAGCATCTATGATTGACCTCGAACGCGGCTCTACTCACAGCTAAAATCCGCGCTCGCAAGCGCAGGTAGCCGAGTCGATTTATACACAGCTACAACTGCGGCACTAGGTCAAGCGTGAGCGAATGTTACCACATAACATATGCGAGCTTACATGGAACCTAGCCCAAGCGCAACGCTAAGGACAACCTTTTTCTTGAAGTTGATTTGCAGTTTATAAAGGACAATAGCGGGATATATGGCGAGGTAGAGATCCACTATGGCGGAAAATGCTTCACGATGGTCAGTTATTGGCCTGGCTTGCTCGTGGGAGACATACTTCCGGCTACAATGGCGTAATATATCAGAATCCATGGGCTCCAGCAGGTGCCTTGGACGGAAAAGTCCCACTGCGATCGAGTTGGCGTGCACTGCGCGAAGATGATAATAACACAGCCGAATAGGATTATCAAGCAACCACCAGATATACTCCACAGGATTATCTTGTGTCTCTTGCTAGGATTGGTGATTCTCGTCAGGAGCGCGACCACAGCTAGTTTAGGAATAGCGAACGAGAGTATCCCGGGACAGAAGCCTGCGAGGGTGTACAAGATTGCGCCGGACTTCTGTTCATCGGAGAGCAGAGCGAAGTGACGCCCGTTGCCAGCCTGCACAGCTGCTATAGTGAGGCCAAGCATGATGTAGCCACACATCTGTTCGAAGCGTCAGCGGGTTGGGTCCGTTACGCGTGCTTCGATGAGCACTTACCATTGACAAGATGATCAGCCAATCGTCAAGACCCATCATTGACAGTATTCTGCATCTGACATAGAGTCTCGCAGCAACGAAAATTGTAGCGACTGTCGTTAGTGCGATGCATACCGCCAGAACCATAGGCCCCTTGTCCTCGTGGGCGAGTTCCGGGGGGAGTTCTTGTGCTGCTGCCATGATGCAACAAGCAAAGATGCCAAAATGAAAATGAAGTGATCGCAGTATTACTGCAGCATACGCCCTTGGATCTGGGTTTGATATTCGCCCAACGGGACGTCAGACGCTCAAGCGTCTTATGCATTGCGCGTGCGAACAAAAGCATTGTTGCCTTCTGACTGGGGGCTCCGATTTGAGACGACTGCATACTCACAGCAAGACAAAGAGATCCCATCAGGCCATGGGCCGCTTTCTGAGGTAGGGGTTGCAACGATCATCCAGTGCTGAGCCGCTCTGGTGGACTAAGGTCCCACATGTATTCGCACGTACATCGGTTGCATGGATGCGACGAAATTGTGCCATGATTGCATACAACATAAGGTAGATTTTTCCAGCTTCGTGTGGACAACGTGACTTCCGTCGTTGTTTTCTCGCGCAATAAGGAGCAAGGAACAAGCTGTGATTAGTACGGAGTATGCTGCTAGGCAATGGCGGTATCCGCTTGGTCGCTCACTGACTGACGGATACCATAGAACGACTCCTGGAGCAAGCGTTGCGGCGCTTGGATCAGCTGGTTCGGTATCCACACGCCACTGGTTCGGTATCCACACGCCACTGGTTCCGAAGCGGTTATTGCCTTGGTCGCCGTGCCGCACCCTTCTTCGGTTCCAGTGCCACGGGCCGTATTGTGGGTTTTGGTCCACATCAAGTCTTTTCTCAGCGTCATTCGCATTATCCTGCGCAAGTCGAAACATCCGTTCCCGCACATGCCGCGTGCCGGGTATCTATTCCATGGCGGCATCTGTATAGCCTTCTCTTGCTGATCTTTTAGAGTTCTCAAAGACCTTCTAGAAATACCAACCAACGCGAGACCTGATGACTGACGCAGAACAATCACGGTTGACCACCTGGCGCCCATGGAGGAACCGGAGCTAATCCTAGAAATTCGTATCAGGTAATCCCTTTTACCACCGGAAAGCCATAACGATGATGCCAAGATGGGATACAGCATTGAAGTGGAGATTAGGCCTACTGACTTTACCTAAATGTCTCTCCCCTTGGTCGAAGTACGCAACTCTGGCTACGAATGCTCCGCGGACTCACCATCGCTCTGCCGGCGTATGCCAACTCAAGCTATCATCTACATCGGGTTGTTGTTCCCGTCCGTCATGGCATCCTTCTCGTCTGATAAGGTGGTGCCATGAATCAAGAGCTGTTAACCATGTTGGCAATGGTGTAGTGCATCTCTGTGGCAAGGTTGACTGGAGAGAACGGACTCGGACTTATAAGGGAAAGAGAGCACCATCATCGTCTCCGGCAATACATTAAACACATTTGGGATCTTTTCACCCTTACCATTATCCACTGTTCCGCCACCCCTTCTTCATAACGTTGGATCGTGTCTAAACTTTTGCAAAGATGCTGGTTGACGTCAGCATTGCAGTACGTGCGAACGATCCAGGTGCCGTTCCATGCCTGCTACAGAAGCTTTCGGAATTCGGGGGTAAACCCTCTGTTGATCACAATGATACTCGTATGGCAATGCTTTCGCACGCCAAAGCTCTTGTCAGGGCGTTACAGACTCCCCGCGAAACCATGATTGAACAGAATTGGGCGCAGGTATGTGTTGAATCGCTGTTCGCCTCGCCTGAGCTAAGCTGTGTTACTAGCCGGGTTGCCATACTGCCATCACAACTTGCTATAATGCAGGTGTGTTCGGAGTGCTCGGAGACCAACCGATGAAGGTCGATGACATTGCAAGCAAGCTCGGGAAGCCTCGCGAGCTCTTAGGTGGGCTCTCATGTTGGCAAATCGTTCCGGTTACTCGCTTACACTGCCAGCTCGCTTGATGAGGCACATCGCAGCCATGGGTTTCATCACTGAGACAAATAGTGATGAATACAAGGCCACAAACTTTTCGAAAGCATTGACCATACCTATCATTGGAGATGGCTACCCAGCCCTGTAAGTGTTGTGGCGTGATTGACGCAATGTTAAGATGAGTACTGGGCTAATTAAATCAGTGCTGGTGGAGCCCATGAGTCTTGCAGCAAATTCTCACAATATTTGGAGAAGAACAATTACGAACTCACTACCGATATCACAAACGGACCATACCAGTACGCATTCGGGACGGAGCTCGATATGTTTCGGTATCTGGATACCCATCCGCCTTTGGGACAGCAATTCAATAACCACATGGGTGGCTATCGGCAGGGTCGACCAAGTTGGATGGATAGCAACTTTTACCCAGTTCAAGAGCAGCTCATCCGTGGCATGGACACCTCCAAAGACGCTGTACTATTGGTAGACATCGGCGGAGGCTACGGTCATGATATCCAAGAGTTCAGGTAGGATGTCGTGCAAGCCTAAGTCTGACTCGCCTGCTGACGATACATCCAGAAACAAGTATCCTCAAGTCCCTGGTAGGCTTGTGCTACAGGATCGCCCGTCCGTTATCGAAGGAATTGAGCAACTGGATCCCATCATCGAACGTATGGAGTACGATTTCTACCTCGAACAGCCATTAAAAGCGGCTCGAGCATACTATATGCACTCCGTGTTGCACGACTGGCCCGACGATGTGTGCAGGAGCATTCTGAAGCAGGTTGCCGGCGCCATGAAGCCAGGTTACAGCAAACTGCTGATCAACGAAAACGTCATTCCAGACACGGGTGCAGACTGGCAGGCCACCGCCTTGGATATGATGATGATCACACTCTTTTCTTCAAAAGAGCGGACGTATACCCAGTGGAGCCAGCTGTTGGAGTCACCCGAGATTGGTCTTAAGATTGTGCGTGTTTACAGTGTCAAACATTCGCAGGAGAGTCTGATTGAGTGCGAACTGGCGTGAATGTTCGACGGCTGAGATGGGAGTCATTCAGACATCCGCAAGAAGTGACATCTGCAAGACATACCCACATGGCCCTAGTTCTTTCCTGAGACTGCGCACAATACATGACTTAGGCTTGAGGCAGTTCCTTGCACGTGTCTGATCTAGCTCTCTGTCGATCTTGCGTGTGGTTTGCGCCTTCCACTATAATACAGGCTGACAATACCACAGACAGCTGCTGCGCACTATCCAAGCATGAAATCTCTAGTGCACTAGCAATGCAAAGATATGTAGATCTTGCTCGCTATGCAGAATTGATTGTCGTGATGCCGATCCAGAAAAAGGAAGGTGTAGAGCCGGCGACCATTGAGAAAGCAGTGACATATCGAGGTTCTCTATCGGTGACATATCGTTTGTGAATTCGCCAACCGTATCGCCACTCACTTATTTACACGGGCAGGAATTGCGCCTTGTATACCAGATGTAAGGGGAAACGGTTTGCATCTTGACTTTCCTCGTGCGATCTTTTCCATAGGAGACTTCATCAATCACAACTTCAACATGGCCTGTGGGGGAGGCTGCTGTGGCCCCAAGAGTACAACCGCAGCTATTGTCAAGCCAGAAGTTAATCCTGGAGTGCTCACGGAGGCGGCGACGGAAACGACAAGTAACGCAATAGCGACGACGCAACCTGCAGTGGATGCAACACTGACGCCTTCCGATTCCGAACCTACAGCCTCTTGGCCTGCTGTCGCCAACCTGAAATATGCCACAATGCAGCCGAAAGGTTCATGCTGTTCACCTTCAGATCCTACGAAGTCAGACACGTCGAAGTCTCCGTGCAGTCCGTCAAAGCCAGCAGCAATTCCCAAGCCAAGCACTTCTTGCTGCTCAAGTTCAACACCTGTGGGACCAAAGCCAGCCAGCGCATGTTGTCAGCCATCGGACTCTCAGAAGTCGAGAGCATCTGAATCTTCCTGTTCTTCATCAACACCCAAAAAGCAGGAGGCACCCAACTCCTGCTGTTCGTCACCAGAATCTGTAAAGCCAAAGCTTACCAGCTCATGCTGTTCGCCGTCAGGATTCGTGAAGCCGAAGCCAGCAACCCCATGTTGCAAATCACCTACGCCGCTCGAAACGGAAATCAAGGCGTGCGGCGACAGCAGCAGCAGTTCGACTAAGGCTGATCCTGAACCTGCTTGCAGTGCCGACGCTACGGATGGCTGCTGCGCAGACGATGGGTACAGTGTCCCTGCAGACACCTGTGCCAGTAGCTGTTGCGAACCTGGGCGGAGTGATTGCGCGGGCACGACTACGAAAACATCGAGAGCATCTTGCTGCACCTCGTCACCCCAGGCATGCGCAACTATCGGGGCCAAGACATCATGCTGTTCACCCACAAACGCTTCCAAACGCTGCCCTGACAAAAAGGTAGCCCTGATCGACGCGACTGAGATTGCGAGCGGTTCGGATAACATCGACCTGGAGAAGGGCGGCGTTACACGTGAACACCTTGTCATCAGCGTATCTGGCATGACCTGTACAGGATGCGAGACAAAGCTACAGCGAACACTGGGTAGTCTCGACTACGTCAGCAAACTTCAGACCAGCCTGGTCCTTGCCCGCGTCGAGCTCGATATCAACACCAAGCTTGCGACTGCCGACGATGTGGTCAAACATCTCCACCGCACAACCGAGTTCAAATGCGAGATCGTTTCCAACCAAGGCTGTAGTCTGGATCTTATCTGTTCGGGAGACCCAGCGGCTTTTGTCGATGGGCAGTGGCCGGATGGAGTGTCAGACGTACGCCGCCTAAACAAAGATACAATCCGTGTGGAATACGATGCGAAGATTGTGGGGGCGAGGGACTTGATGTGTGACGAGTGGAGTCGGTCGTTGCAACTTGCACCGCCTTGTCCAGACTCTTCTTTGGAAGCTGGCAATAGGCATGTTCGAAACATGGGCTTGTTGACGTTGCTCTCTGCCGGATTGACCATTCCCGTACTGGTCATGGCATGGGCACCTCTTCCTGAGCGCGAGATTGCTTATGGCTCCGCGTCACTCGCCCTCGCTACTGTCGTCCAAGTTGTCATCGCCGGTCCTTTCTACCCGAAAGCGCTCAAGGCATTGGTGTTCTCCAAGGTCATTGAGATGGATCTGCTCATTGTACTGAGTACAAGCGCCGCGTACATCTTCTCAGTTGTTTCGTTCGGCTACCTAGTCAGCGGAAACCCTCTATCAACGGGCGAGTTCTTCGAGACAAGTACGCTGTTGGTGACACTCATCATGGTCGGACGATGGGTGGCATCGTTGGCGCGACAAAAAGCGGCAGAGTCCATCAGTATTCGTTCCTTACAAACCCCTACTGCCATGCTGGTCAGCGACGACGGGATGGAGAAGGAGATCGATGCTAGGATGTTGCAATATGGAGACATCTTCAGGGTCGCTCCAGACTCGCGCATTCCGACAGACGGTACCGTCATCTCGGGTTCTTCGGAAATTGATGAATCGATGTTAACGGGCGAGGCTCAGCCCGTTGAGAAGCACACCAAGTCGGCCGTTATTGCAGGAACCATCAACGGAAGCGGAACGCTTACCGTCCGCCTAACCCGTCTGCCTGGCGATAATACCATCACGACGATTGCGGGTATGGTTGACGAAGCAAAGCTTTCCAAACCCAAGATTCAAGAGATTGCCGACACTGTAGCCAGCTACTTCGTCCCTGTTGTAGTGACCCTGACAATCATCACTTTCGTCATCTGGGTCGCCATTGGGATTGCGATACGCCATCAATCAGGCTCAGAAGCGACCATCGAAGCCATCACGTATGCCATCACAGTCCTAATTGTCTCGTGTCCTTGCGCTATCGGTCTCGCGGTTCCTATGGTTATCGTGATCGCGTCCGGCGTCGCAGCGAAGCGCGGTGTTGTCTTCAAGACGGCAGGTAGCATCGAAGTCGCGTATAGAACGACCGACGTGGTGTTCGACAAGACGGGTACCTTGACAGCAGGAAAGCTGGCGGTGGTGCATGAGGAGTATGTTCAGGGTGGTAGTGCGGATGACGCCAAGTTACTTTTGGGTTTGCTTGGCAATGTCAAACACCCCGTGTCGGCGGCCATTGCAACACATCTCGCGTCGCGAGGTCTATCAGCTACAACCGTACCAGACGCCAAGGTGGTCACCGGCAGAGGTGTCCATGGGATGGCCAATGGTAAGAAGCTACGCGCCGGTAACTCGAGATGGCTTGCGCTTTCCGAAGATCCGCGTGTCCGCTCCATGCTGTCCCAGGGTTTCACCACCTTTTGCTTCACCATCGACAGCACTCTAGTAGCTATCTATGGTCTGCAGGACACATTACGACCAGACGCAGCATCCACCATCGATCATCTCCAACGCAGCGGCATCAACGTCCATGTACTGTCTGGCGATGATGATGGCGCTGTTAAGGGGATTGCCTCACAGCTCGACGTACCAGAAGAGAATGTTCGCTCTCGTTGCTCACCTGCAGATAAGCAAACTTATATTCAGAGCCTTCTCGCAGCACCTTCAACAGCTCTTCTGACTGGCAAGTCCCGCAAGCCGATTGTCATGTTCGTTGGGGACGGCACAAATGACGCTGTTGCCCTTGCTCAGGCCACAATCGGCGTTCATATGTCGAGCGGTACTGACATCGCACAATCCGCTGCCGATGTAGTTCTTGTCCGTCCTAGCCTGTCAGGCGTACTGACCATTATCAATGTGAGTAGGAAAGCGATACATAGAATCGTTTTCAACTTTAGCTGGAGTTTCGTATACAACACTTTCGCTGTACTGTTGGGTGCGGGCGCCTTTGTGCACGCGAGGATTCCGCCGGAGTTCGCGGGTCTCGGGGAACTGGTCAGTGTACTACCTGTGGTGTTGGCAGCAGTCTTGTTGAGATGGTCGAAAGTCTAAGGATCGTGGCATATGTAAATCGCAGTTAACGTGTTACGAGTTGAACAATGTCACGTCATGTATCCAGAATGCAATGTAGACAATGGTTCATGTTCTCTTACAAAACTACACTACTCAAACATGCAGAGTCTAACGGGGTATCATGCAACTCGACAACTGCCTTCCCAGCATCCGGTTCCCTTAGGGTAGGAGTTTCTGCTCAAACTCATGTCGCTCGCGGTACTTAGCCAGAGCGATTGGGACTTCTCCGCTGTACCCCAGTTCGCCTTGCGCCTTTTCTAATTTCCTTGTCACTTTGCCTACCAGCCGTGCGATCCAGCGATCGTTGGCCATGGCATGTACAGTGTTCTGGCCAGCTTTTCGCATGCCCACCATAGTCTTGTTTGATGCTTCTTTGAAGCCAGTGTCAACCTTCTTGAGGAATGCTTTGAAGCTCTTGTCCTCATTACCATTCAGCGTGGTCTGTGACATTTCGCTGTTATTAGTATTGACTGAAGCAAGACTGCTTGCTTCGCTATCAGTAGTGCTGACACGCTTCAGTTCGCGTAGAACTTTGGCCTCCTCAAAGTCCTTGTCCGACTCGATGACTTTGGTAGCTTTCACGATCGCAGCGACGAAGTTAAGAAGATCTTGATGGAATTGCGCTGGGAGGTGAGCATGTGCACTAACGTGCATGGACGCTTCGTCTTTCTTTAGCTTTTCAAGCTCTTTCCGAGCTAGGATTTGCTTTGGCGTAGGTTCGGCTTCGTTGATGGCAGACTCCATCTCCAAAAGGTCGAAGTCGCTCTTCTTCTCAGGGAAGATGTGCTCATGGTGTGGAAATAGGAACATTGGAATTGTGAGAACGGCATCGGCACCTCCTAACCGCACAACTTGCTTAAGCTCGACGGCGTCTGGGAGGATTCTGTAGGCCATGACGTCGGAGATCTTGAAGTGAGTCTGAATGTTGTAATTGGTGTTGATGGGGAAGTGGGCTTCGCTAGCCATCGGGCCCAGCTCTACAGCGAAGTTGGCATCTGCGCACCAAGCTGATATCCGCGCCTCCAATCTACGAATCTCCGCGTCTTGGGATGAGTAGTGCTTGAAAAAGTACTGTCGCATCAAGGCCGTGAACCACTTCCCTGACCCAGCTGCAGTAATGGACTTGAACTTGACAGGATGGAAGTAGCAAATGGGACTCAGCATCAATCGGTATAGGAAAGGCAACCGATGTAGAAATTTCTTTACGTTCGGGTATGATGTTTTCCGAAGAGTGGAGACTCTGATCGATTTGGTAGGTGGGTGAGGTATGGATGGTTGTCCATGGATCTGGGTACATATTGCTGCTCGGAAGTCATCCATGTTATCAATGTCCAAGCGGACGCCTGGCTCTTCTTTCGACTTCTTGGCATCTTTGGCGTCTTTTTCGTCATCGGATGAACCAGCCTCAGCTCGTGCTTTCGAGGCCTCTACCAGTGTCTGTTTCGCCTTTGTAATAGCACTTGTGTCGTTGATGTAGCGTACTAGCTCTTTGTACTTCTTATGGGCCTGCTCTTCATCTGGTGACACTTTCTTAACGGACGAGAATGCGGATGCAGTATCTTCAGCCTCAATTGGCTTTTTTCCAGCTGTCAGGTTTCGGACCATATCAGCCGGGCGGCCATTGGCTCCCCCTTTCATTGTCGCTGCTCTGAGAATAGCCGTATTGGTGACAACCACGGAATCGTCGTCGTCTGGCTCCGGGATACCATACTGCACATCCCCAAAGGTGACTTCCCAATCCCCACCCTTCACATTCGCATAGACGTCGTCAACAGTTATCTCTCGGAACAGTGGTACCGTAACTTTATCAACTTGAATGCCAAGCTCGATATCGTCCGAGAGCTTTATGCCAGCCTCGACTCCATGAGCAACGAGTGTCATTGTTGAAAGCGAAAGCGTAACCCCGCGGATTACGAAGAGTCCCTTGACTTCGGTGTCGATTTCCAGGGCAGGCAGATCAAAAAAGGCTACTTGATCGTTGATAAAATGGAGGTCTCGTAGGAACGTCTTTCGTAAAGTGCGACGTGCCAGTGCAGCAGGTGCTTCAAATTGGAAGAGGCAGGTAATGAAGAGTACAGGCCAACAAAAAGCCCAGAATACCCAGTACAGAAGCCACGAAGTCGCACATACGGCGTACACCAAGTTTACTGTCGCGAAGATAGTCCAGACAGGAACAAAAGGCAGGATGCGATGCCCATACGCCTCGCCAAGTAGGATTGCGTAGACGAATATGGGCGCTCCGGAGATGACCCATCGCAACGGCCAGGAGAAAGAAAGTGCTGCTAGGAGGGTTCCGGCGAGGAAGGCATTCGGTATCAGTCTGCTCGTAAGTTCTCGCCCTTGTTCAATCGATGGCGCATCTGTAGTCGGCGAAGGAACCGCTTTTCGTTTGGAAGCGGCCGGCGCCTCACGTTTTGCGGTGGAATCCATGCCGTGGAGGCTGCGGAAAGTGTAAGAGGAATGTCACAGGTAGTAGAAATTCCGATGGAGAGAATGCATGGTGTTTGTGGCATACGACTAGTGCAAGTGCGAACGCGGCGGTCATCAAGCAACTGGTTCTTGTGACGTCATGGTCCTGTTCGAGACTACCCCCGCACAAAAAGAGGCAAGAGCACTCCGGGCCAGACCTGATTTGTCGCTGAAGGGGGTATGATGAACGATATGGCTGGCCAAGGCATTTTTGTATAACCGTTGGATCACCGCTTGCAGCATGCCGATCGCCGTCTTGAAAGCCTGCCTTGCAAGGTTTCCATGTCGTGAACGGTGACGTAAACGCGCTAGTACTCGTTCGTCATTGCGATATTGACATCCGCGTCTTGCCAGATTATTTCCGTAAACGGTCTATGTATGGAGAGAGCGTATACATTGTTTGGGGACGATCAGTTCATTTTCTATTCATGTACGACCTGGCGGAATTCCACCCCAGGTCCCATTTGAGAACCATGTGCCTGCTCTAGTGAAGTCGCTGTATGCTACGCTGCCGAACAACTGGTAGCTAATAAATCCAAACCGGAAATATTCATCCTGCCCACCGTCTGACCGATTCCAAGTGAAGTTACCTTGATCACTCCCACCAGAGCCACGATATCTCTCTACATCGTTGACCACCACACTCACGCCCTGGTATCCGCGGAGTAGGCTCTCCCATGCGAAGGTGATGCTCGAGCCATTAATGACAGGCTCAAGAATAGCTGGGATACCCGACCCGAGCTGTCCATCACCTCGTAACGCCGCTGCCGTTTGTAGGATGGAATCGAAGTTCCAGCGTGCAATACCGTTAACGAACAGTCCGACCAGCAGACCTTGGCACAACAAGCTCACGCGGGTCTGCAGCGCGGTGCCTGGAAGGAGTAAGAGAGCAATGATGTAGTGGTGTATCCTAAGTGTGAGTTTCGGCATAGCAGCGAGTATACCCAGGCCAAGGCCTAGTGTAGCATATAATGCAAGATAGCGTGGCAGTCGCCCTTCCCTGCGGAAGCACCATGCTTGGTATAGAACAACAGCGAACAGGATAATCACAATGATTACCAATGCTGTGATAGCGCCCGGTTGTTGGCGGATGTCGTTTCCTGTGAGCCGCTGTATGGGTATACGTTCAAACGTATAGTTCCCTAGTGCGCCAACCCAAGCCCCACCTACCCAGAGCACGGTCTTTTCAACTTGTGCCTTGCAATTGCGCAGGGATTTGCGGACACTGAATTGATAGAAGAGGGCGGCAGCTAACGCAGCGGGCAAGAAGCGGCCGAGTGTTGTAGAAGCCAAGGAGGCGTAGTTCGAGTACGAAGGCGGATCCGATGCCATACCAGTCTGGAAGAACAATATTGTAAAAATGGGCGCAAAAAAGGTGACAGGACTTGTGGTGAAGATGCCGAACAGAGCAGTAAAGATTGTCGAGAGGATAAGCAGGTTCCAGCGCGGATCCTCACATTTGGCCGAAGCCTGACCAAATGTGAATGCCATTGGAAAGTGCGAGTCAAAGCCAATACTGCTTATGCCATGCCGTGTAACAGCGCCGAAACTGTCTCGCTCTCCTATTAGAGAAACGACACCACAGCCACCGTAGCCATCGTTGATGACTCCAGCGTGAATAGCCGCTGAGCAAATGAATGAGTCTCCGCGATATACCAACGCATCATTCTCAGGACCTGGAGCACCTCCAACGACCAAGGATCGGTAGTTTATGACTTGCGGTCCGATTGCGCGAGGGTTGAGCACCTGGGCGCTCGAGCATCCGGCGGGGCAGTTGAAGGCAAACGAAGCATTGGAGAAGGGGAAACAATTACGGCCGTCGGGCCCACAGCTTTCTGGGGATGACCTGGCGACGATCAGCACAGTCACGATAGCTTGGGGTATAAGAGGAGAAGCCATACCACAGATTGTTGACACACGACAGCTTTACCGGCGCTCCGAACCCTCCAATGTCAGAAGGAAGCCCACCATCACTGACGACTACAGCGAACGTGACAATCCATACAACACATGCGATAGCGTAGATGCAAATGCGCTCCCACTCTGGCAGTCGCGCGAGCAACCGGACAGGCAGTGTTTGCCAGCGCTCGAGAAAAGGCGTGATGGTGTATCTGCTCGGCGGCTTCGGCCCCTTCACCCACTCGACCACCTTCCGGCCCCAACGAGCGACAGGTGCTGGCGTGCATTCCCCCAGCTTCCTTGTCCATGGCGGGGTACGACGGGACTGGCGGTGCGGTGCGACAAGTTCTGTGCTCTGGCCACTCGGTGTAACTCGATCGCGGTTGTCATCGCGTTTGGTCCCATGCTCCAGGTCGATGGTCTCCGGAACCACGCGATCGGGAGTGTCGCGTGCTGCCATTCGGGGGTACAGATGGGAAAAGAACGACGACAGCGGCTATGCACACGCGACTATCATGTTGAAAATGATACCGAAAAACGCGATGGGTATACGAGAGACTATTGACTTAGGACCAAAGTGGCGCACGGCAAGCATCATCGACTCGGAAGGATGATGGACTGATCCATTCTGCCGCGCCACAGGCCTCAGATACGCAGGTGGTTCCGATACACTAAATGGCCGCGTGACGAGCCAGGTCGCGTAACGAGCCACCCCACCATCCCAACATTGCGCGTCGTCCCAACTTCAACGCGTCATAACTCCACAACCATGGACCCGATTCAAGAAGCGATTGAATATATCGAATCGCGTGAGGCTGGAGATGGTTTCTCGTACCGCCAAGTTTCAAAAATATTCGGAGTTGATCGAACAACGCTGTCGCGGCGGCACAAGGGTTCGCAGGGCACCCGTGAAGCCAAAATAGCAAATCAACAACGACTCAACCCACAACAAGAGCAGGAGGTTGTCAGTCACATAGACAGAGCTACAAGAGATGGTCTACCGCCTACAGGTAGTATTTTGAAGAATTTCGGATCTGCTGTTGCGCAGCAAGAGGTCTCCGATAGCTGGGTTAAGCGGTTTCGCCGTCGTCATCCCGACAAGCTCATCACCAAATGGGACACCGGTATCGATCGTGAGCGTCACGTAGCTGACAGCAAGTATAAGTACGAGTTGTACTTCAACTTGCTGCACTCTGAGATAGTAGAACACGGGATTGACGAGCGCAATACGTACAATATGGATGAGAAGGGCTTCTTTGTTGGTATCGCCAACCGCAGAAAGAGGATCTTCTCCAAGGCAGTTTGGGAGGCGGGAGAGCGTACCCAGGCGATGAGGGATGGTAACAGAGAATGGATTACGCTGTTAGCTTGCGTATGCGCTTCTGGAGATGCACTGCCGCCCGCTCTCATCTACCAGGGCACCTCTGGGGTTTAATTAAGCTGGGTTCACGACCTTCTGGAGACCTAAAACCACCAAATATTTGTATCCCACTCAGCTTCAGGATGGTCCAACAACGAGTTAGGTCTTGCCTGGCTTCAACAGGTGTTTGAACGTCATACAGCAGCCAAAGCTCGCCGTTAATGGCGCCTTCTCATCCTTGACGGGCACGGCAGCCACGTTACGCCCGAGTTTTTGGAGTTTTGTGAAGCCAAACGTATTATGGTTATGGTGTATCCTCCCCATTCAACCCACAGCTTACAGCCGTTGGATGTGGTTCTCTTTGGGCCGCTTTCGAGTCACTACACCGAGCAGCTTACTTAACACCTCCAGCGAACCTAAGGCCTCTCAAGGATCACTAAACAGGACTTCTATTGTCACTTTTGGCCGGCTTGGAGCTCTACAATGACTCACGATCTCATATTGAAGAGTTTTCAAGCTACAGGCGTATGGCCGATGGACGCAAGCCGGGTACTTTAACGCTTCAACAACAACGCACAACAACAAGATAACGACCTAGGAATTAGGGAGCAAGGCGACGGCGATAGCTGGCCTCAGCTGCGCAAAATTTTTGACGCTGCGGTAGCTGACAAGGCCAAAATTGAAGCCAAACGGCTATCCTAAGGCTTGCACTCGCTGCAGGTCAACAACGCGATTCTCCACGCCGAAAACGAGGAGCTACGGGCTGAACTCAACCTCATTCGAAAGCGCCCGATCAAGTCTACAACACTGACTACACGAGAAGGTGATGAGTGGCACGGCGGAGCTGTATTCTACAGTCCCAGGAAGCTTGCCAGCGAGCGCGCGCGCAAGGCCGCAGAACTGGACGAAGCCGCGGAGCTACAACTCCAAAAGGCTCGCGATAGAGAGATCAAAGCGGCAGAAGCAGCTGAGAAAAAGCGCTCTCAAGAAGCTGCAAAGTTGGCTCGACAGCAAGCCAAAATTGCTAAGGATGCGGAGGAGCAACGGCAGCGTGAGGAGAAAGCTGCCGCGCGGGAGCTCAAAAAGCAGCAATAATAAGCTGCAACCGCTCAAAAAAGTCGCGATACAGCAAATAAGCGTAAGCGAAAAGCCTCACCTAAGCTAGCAAAAAAATCGACAAAGCGTCGTCGTGCTGTTGCTTCATTAAGTCGGGTGGTTGAGAGTCCGCCTCGGGCGCCCTCCCCACCCAAATTTGGCCTACACACCCGCCGACTCAAGACGCCAGCGAGATACAAGTAGTGCAAACGCTTTAGTAGCGTCTATATATTAATACACCAAAAAATTCCACGATAATAGCTTTTGTGGGTGGCTCAATAACCTCATCTTTTTGATCGTCCGATCTTGGTGGGGTGGCTCGTTACGCGACCTGGCTCGTCACGCGGCCATTTAGTGTACCACCACAAGCTAGACATCCAGCCCTATCATTCTGCAACTCCGAACATGTCGCGACAATTCCATAACCATGAGCTGCATCTCACTATTGTTTCCAATCGCGAGCAAGACAGGAGGAGCTGACAACGACTTTTCAGGGCAGGAATCAACAATATGTTGGTGTTTTATCCAAGGTACAAGCCATTTGATCTATATGAGTTGACAGCGAGGCTACCATTCCTTTTCTTGTGTCATTAACCGGGCCTCCCCCATGAACCATCTCCATACCACGCGGCCGTCCTCGTGGCACTCGATCTTCAGACCGGTCTCGAAGTTCCCGTCGCATGCGCTACGTTTCGAGTGTCGCCATAAACTTTCGCTTCTCCTACGAAACAAGCGCACGTTTGGAGAACCCGCATCAAGTGGACACGATCTCCCAAACGAATGGACTGGTGCACTTCATGGTCTCAAAAAAGCCACACATCCTCATGGTGCAGGGATCGTGATCACCTTGTTTGGTAGCAAAAGGTTATGGCGGACATTCCCCCGACCAACCATCGCCCCAAGTTGTTGTCCATGCCGAAACGTTCACCAGCTTCAACACGTTTTTGGATCAGGGATCTCGTACTTTTTGTATGGAACCATTGTTAGCCGGCTGGGGTCTGGCGCCCGCATTACCACCGCTTCAACATCGTCGCATGCTGTGAATGTTCGTCGCCTCTATGGAAATTCCCCCTTGCTATGGCTGCACCGAGCAGACCATATGAAATCCGACCGGTGCTGGTACGCCGTGATGTTCCAAGGATGGCAGCTGCGTTCATCGTAGCTGAGGATCGTGATGAAAAGGTTAGGGATACGAACAAGCGCAGAGGCGCGACAAGACTTCAACAATCGGATGCGATCATGAACGGAACGTGGGAAGGACAGCCGCCCAAATCACCACCACAACCGACAACTCTACCCACCGAGACGGAGAAAATACTGTCATCGCGGACCGAACAGTTCTCATCTCTAGCCATGCCGACGCCTGTCGGTACAGAAGAAACGATCCTCCAAGCTATATCTATACCCTCGATATCAACGGATGCTACCTTGACTGCTCTGCCTGAGCTGGTAGCGTCTGCCGTCAGACCCACCCTCACCGCCCAAGCCGATGTCAATATCAATGGAACAAGTACCATACGAGCGGCTTCGACTACGGTGCCAGCATTTCTTGTAGACTCTGGCGCGAAGATAAATGAGGAAGCGCTTCCAGGCATGAATCAAGAGGACCCATTGTTAGTGACGGTTCCCGGAATGAATCAAGGTACGTCCAGGTCGGATTATATACGTGTGAGACAAACACTGATTTCCTATCTTCCTTTCTACAGAGGATCCTCTCTTGGTGACCGCACCCGCAGTAACGCCGACCGCAGCTCCTGAAAGTTCGTTAGCGACCCCTTCGACTTCTGCGATGACAGTAGAGAAGCCTATGCCAGGGAAGAAGCAACCGAAACCTACAGCAGATGCTGCAGTAGCCTCATTGACAATCCTGAGTGATTCTGCTTCGACTATCGCACAGACTTCGTCAACCACGAGCGCAACCATCTCGAGTACCATCGATGTCTCTACGGTTTCTTTCTCTTTACCGCCCACATTGACTATCTCTACTTCGTCGTCCACAGAATCTTCGACAACGACAAGCTCCTCAACGCTGCCTCCTGTTCTTACTTTTGTCACGATTACAAGAACTGCACAAGGCAAAGAAGATGCTCAAACAACTACACAAACCGTGCCCGCTCCACTAGCTGTCACTGCACCACAATCGGCATCCTCATCGCTTTCGGCATCCTCTTTAGTAGTTGGATCGGCTACACCTTCGAGCCTGGCTACAGCCGTCAGTGTCGAGCCGCAGAGCGGCTTGACACCTCTAGCAAGATCTTTATTCATCCTTTTCGGCGTTCTTGGTAGGTAGATGTCCACATTTCATCAGAGTGAGACTAACATTAACAAAGGATTTATTGCCATCCTTATTGCTTTGGGTGTAGTCTGGGTAATGAGATCGAACAGAAGACGTGCGCAAGCAGCTCGACAACAAGCCGCTCAGAACCCCGCCCAGGAGACTGAAGAATACGATGGCTACGGCAACACGATACACATTTCTTCCAACAACTCCATCAAGACTTTCCTCACTGAGAGCGAGAAGGCCATTGTAAACCGTGCCGCTACGCCAGACGGTGACACAGACGTAAGTTTACTTGGTTCCATGAACAACCATCGCGATATTAATGGACTCCTACAGGCAAGCGCGAAGTCGTCCCACCACCTCACCGACGCCATCAACTCCTTTATAACTAAATCACGTCGCCTGACTTACAAAATATCGCCTTAAACAAATCGCTCTACACGCTGTACTCGGGGTGGAATCAACACATGCTTGAACTTGTCGCCAGCACAACCTAGTACTGTAATCGGTTGCGGGACTTGTAATCTACTGTAAATAGCATGATAGACTGTATATAAAATGGTTGTTGCCTTTCCAAATGTTCGTTATCAGTGCGGTGTGCATAATGAACATGTAACGTGCGCAGTTAGAGGTACACTCAAATTTCAGATGGTGAATGTCAACCCCCAAATAGAAGAGACATACCAGGCCTTGCTAGACGTCGGCTGAAAGGCTGTGGAATATTCTAGTCTGAATGCAGCCACGCAGCATTGTAGCACGATGAGGCTGATAAGCTATAACTCGATGCGCAAGCAAAGAGCTCTGTTGATAAGTAGCAAACCAAGCCTTACCTATACAATAGAGAACGTGAGACTTTCACAACTGGACGTTCTTTCACGAAGATAATCTTTCTCGGCTTTATCTCTGTATCGTCTCACTCCAGATAAAGCCACCAACACGCTTCCACTTTTGTTTCCAAGGTTATCACGCCACACTTACATCGGCCTCTTACCTGATGTTGCCAAGCCACTGACACCCCAAACCTCACACCATTTTCACGCTTTGTTTAGCCCGTTCATATGCTAGTCTGCGGCGTAGCGGCGTAGTCTGCAAGGCTAGTGCCAGAAGTGCTTACCAGCGTCGTTAGTGGCTGTTAGTGCTAGGTTCGACGGACCCCACGTTAATTGCTGTATGAGGCAGTTTTGGAGTATAGCTTGGAAGGACAGTGGAGTAGTGTGAGCAATGGCCCTTCTTGCTTCTTGTATGTAAGCCTGCAATGATTGGACGTAATAAACTTACAAGCTTTGACCGAGGCAGCCTTGCCATCACCATGACAGCCAAGCATGTGTTGAGGCTCCAGACTTTTTGCTGAAATTCGTACAGTCTATATTCTATTCGACGAAATAATCTGAAGTATGCACATATAAAGACCCTAATCATATTAACCACGGGTCCAATACTGAAAGAATACATGCCATAAACAATACAACATGTGCACTCGACCCCGGTACAAATATGCAGCACAATACTTCAGCGCCTAGTCAATGATCTCATCTCCAGTCTTATCCACTCTAACGATAGCATTACCCTTGCACTGCGTGTATGTCAAGTCATCTTCGGAGTGAGGAGTGCACTTGATTTCGATCAGCTTGGCACCATATACAGTGACCTCGGTGCCATTGAGCGTCACGGTCTGCTCAAGCGCAAACGCTGTGAATAAAGTCAGTCTCACGTGTTGGAGAGGCGGTAAAGGGTAGCTTACAGTATGATCCGGCAACACCGACGTCGCCGTCCAAGGTGTAGTTGAAACTGGCAGGAGCGCATCCAGTATCTGCTGGAGCCGCACCGGGCCTTTTGATAGTCTGGCAGTCAGCGGCGACGGGCTCACCACTTGCAGTGTTGGCGTCTATATATAAAACATCGACGTGGGTGGAACGGTAGCCGTACTCAAAGTTGTTGTCCTCAATAGCGATATTCCAGCCGCCGTAGTTGGAGGGAGTAGCTGCGAGTACGGCGGGTGCAATGGCAAGGGCGAGAGAAAGGATAGAGGCGTACATCCTGATGTTCGAGTTTGAGGACTTTCGATGTTTGTGGTGGGATGAGAGTCAGTTCAGCTGAGATTTAGAATTCGATGATGATCTTGGAGACGGGCAAGACAACTACACAAGTTCATGGCCATTTCCATACTGTCAGTGCTGAGTCCAACATGGTAAAGAACGGCGCAACCTCGGCCATCAGAATGGTACCCATCGGCGTTCCTGACGGTGTGGAGAAGGTTTAGATTGCCTTAAAAACCACGAAAGAATTCGTATTCGACATTGCGGTCAATGAACAAGACGTCCTATGCAGCCTGCGTATCCAGTTTTCCCAACTTCGTGATCGACGAATGCCACGCTAGGTGTAGCCCTAGAGCGGAGCTTGTCAGGTACAAGCATATCATCCATAAGGGAAGGCGTTGGCAATGAAACGTTGGCGGTACTCTAGTGCGAAAACTGGGAAGGGGTAACCCGTCGGCGGTAGCTTGATATATCGACATGGCTCCAGTGCGCGATCCAATGGAACTTAGGTACATGCACGATACTGCACCGCCTGGGAATCTGCTCGTGTTGAACACATCGGGCAAGGAGTTCATGTGAACATGCGTAACGTCAGTATGTTGTAACCAATGGCAACCGGCCCTCTTTTGTTTTTGGAGGGGTTCGATTTTGTACGCGTGTAGTCCTATACAACCAGGTAAGATCTTCACTCTGCTAGCCTCCGTACAACCCTTGGCTGAAGCGGTCATGTTCAACTCGACATGGCTGTACAATTTCTTTTATTTTCTCTTCCTTTGTAATGGCTGTCCACAAGTAGGACCCCAAGAAGGACGTTTTTCGTCTGGTTTCCACTAACTCGTCGTGTCTTGGCCTGACTTAGCTGCGCATGATGGTTGCAGGCTACTACGTCGTGGCAGCCTTGTAAACATGGAGGTAGACAATCTCTTCACCGATTTCTACATCTCCCGGTAACGGAAATTCGATTTGGGTTTTCTTTATGAATCCTGCATCTTCCATGAGTTCGAAGAAGACTTCCTCGCTCGAATGACGCATCTTCATTGCGATAGCAACAACGATTTCTGGGCTTGCTTTGACCAGTCGTGTCAGAGTATTCACCAATGCTGGGCTGTAGATGGACGTTAGATCAACCTTGTTCCTTGATTTTATCAAACATATGGGATGACGTAAGAGAAAGCCATACCTGCTATCTGGATTGTATGTGCAATCAGCCGCGACTACAAGATCAAGCTGTTCTGAGGTAGACTGCAAAATATCAGGCAGATCTGCATCCCAGTCCAGCTCCATGAAATCTAGTGACGCGCCTGGTGCTTCGATAGCATAGTGTATATTACGCTCTACAATCTCTCTGGCCTCTTGAAGGTCGGTTAGGAGGACTTTGGAGTTCGAGATGGTTTGAGCGATTGCGATACCAACCATTCCGCAGCCAGTACCCAATTCGAGGACATTCAAGCGTGGTTTGGATACAGACGGTAGCAATGCTTTAGCTAGATCGGAGTTTGGGGTTGTCAGTGCTGTTATTTGACACGAGAGCGTGATACCAGCGTCCCTGTACGTCCAAGTCAGTGCCTACGGTTCGACACGTCACAAACTGAAAATATATACCATAGATGTCTTGCGATGCTCTCTCCTGTCTCCTCCCAGATAGTAGTAATTGGTCCATCTAGAAGCTTGAACCGCCTTTCCACTAACTTTGGAGCATCTACATCAGACGTGAATGGCGGACTCCAGGCAGACACGACACCTCGAGCGTCAGAGTCGGATATGGTTGCAAGCTCATCGTGTATTCGTTTCGGCTCCCCGCCCACTCTTACTCGCAAATGGGACCAGGATGCCCGAGACTTGGGTAGGGGAAATGTGATGGGCAGACTCCGCATGCCGGCCGTCCACTGCACGGTCGACCATAGTAGCACATCTTCTTGCGAATCTGCAGTCGCCAACAGCTCTGCTGCTAGCCGGATGTCGTAAGGAAGAAAAGAATCTCCAAGATCCGATGTGATGGTAATGAGGCAGCTGACTTGCTTTCTCGCCGTGGTTTTGTCAGTGACAACCCGGGGACTTTTGAGGAAGCGGATGTATCGCATGGTGCATGGTAGAGTTTGTCGGAAAAGTGTGCCGAAAGCAGCAAGACTGTGGGGGTGAAAGGCTGGATGTGGGGTGCTGCAACGCTGGGACGCAGGGCTGGGGATTCTGAAGGCTAGAATGCCCAACCGAGCCGCATCTCATCTACCACGTCGTCATACCTCAACTTGTCCCGAAAGGTTATGTGTTTGTTTCTGTGTTGAAGCCAATGCGCTGTCGCATCGCAGCATCTTGCTGCTACCCGCAATAACCCACGAAACCTCACTGAGCAAGAGCCGTCGCTGTCGTCATCGCCATCATGTACCGTCGCAGCGACCCCAGGTGGAATCGCACGCTCCACCAGATTACGGAGAATCTCGAGCACGCAAACGAATCGGCGCAGGAGAACATCTACGGCTTCACCCAGCGCTACGTCAACCCATGCTTCTCGTCCATCACCCAATGCGTCAATGCGTGTACGGCGCCATGCTTCCCAGCGCACAACGACCGCCGGCGCAATCGCGGACGATCACGCGGCCGGGCAGAAGTCAGCTTCGACTTCTACGACGACTGGGAGGACGACGAGAACGACGGTCTTTTGGGCTGGGGCACTGACAACCTCGACCGCTTTCTCGGCGGCGCGGCCAACTATGGCGCGACGACGCAGCCTGGCCGACAGAGCGGCATGACTTATGGACAGCGAAATCGCGATCCGAGATACAATACGCCGCGGCGCAAAAGCATGACGCTGCCGCGAGACGGCGCCCAGGACCCGACTCTCATCCCAAGTTCTTCTTACTTTGGCTTCCTGGGACGACTGCCTTGGAAGATTGGGGGTCGGGGACTGCGATACAAGCCATCAGCGGCAGACCTCACAGAGCACCCGGGCGCAATGCGAAGGAGTCTGGAAGAGGAACAGCCGCTGATCGACGACAGTGATGAGGATGCTCTCGAGGGGCCCGAGAACAAGGGACATCGCAGGCAGAGAAGCAACACGCAAACATCGGGACACACGACCGACTCGCTGAGTTCTAGAGGCGACATCTTCCCCAGCGAAGACGAGCTTGAAGACGCGGTACCGCTCGACGACGAGTTCACCATCGCGCTCGAGCGACGTACCACAGGCCAGTGGAACGAAGATAGCACCAGCAACAACAAGGCACGCTCAAGTAAGAGCAAGCGGCCCTCTGCATCACGCGTATCCACCCGAACTGTCTCTTCGCGCAACACAAGCAACTCAGATAAACCACCATTGACCCAGCGCTCCGCCTCCGAAACCATCGAAGAAGTCCCCACTCTCGACCAACTACAAAAAGAAGAGGAACGCCTGCGTCTAGAGGAAGAAATGGAAGTCCACCGCAAGCGTCAAGAAGCCCAACAGCTCGCCGTCAAGCGTGGCCTAGCCCCCGACCAAAAAGCCCTCTCTACCAAATCCAGTACGCCTCGCTCCTTGTCGCCAGCTCATGCAATGGCGACTGTGAACTCGACTGTATCGCCGCTTGTACGCACGCCCGCTGGCGAAACTGCGCCTGCGGCTGACCAGAGCGACTCGATGCCATTTCCCAATTTCGTAGATAGCCAGACAATGCCGGATAGTAGTGGGTTTTATGTCGATGAGAGTGACTATTCGAGCAAGGCTGTCACACCGAATCGACCCTTGTCTATCAAGGAAGAGGTGAGGGAAGATAGGAGAGGAGAAGATGATGGAGAGGCATTTGTTCCTGCTCGATTACCGAATTTTGGGTCTGAGTAAGTGAGTACGAAGCTAGACAGACACTACACATCCAGGAGAGACTAGTTTACGACGCATGCCATGGAGATATGAAGAGACGTAGCGGAAAGCATCTATTGTAATTAATGACCTGAGCGATTTCAATTCATCTTGTTTCAAATGTTGTTACTATTTAGCTACAAGCCCATGTTGCCAAATGTAATCTGCTTCTTCGTCAATCCCTGGTATATTTCGTCTAGTACGCCTCTCTTTCGCTTCTTGTCTACCTCCTTCTCTTCCCGTTCGAGTTCCTCTTCATCGTCTAATTCGGCATCTTCTTCTGTTCTTGGCTTCCATGTCGCAATACTGCCATCAGCATGGGCAGAGTACATCTCCACGTGGTGTGGTCGCCAGGCCAGACTTGTGATTCTGTCCTTGACGTTGCGCTGTCCCTTTGCTGCTGCTGCTCCAGACGCGTTGGATGAAGTGTTCGTCTGAGGCTGCTGTGAGCGGCGTAGTCGACGGATCAGCTTACCGTCAAAGAGCTCATAGGTAAGGATCTCGTGCTCGTTAGGATAGAACATGAGATCAGCACCGGGCTGGAGGTTTTGCACTGGCGCAAGAACGGGAATGCGAGGCGCAAGACCAGAGTTTTTGACCATGGGGCCAAAGTTTGCTAGGGTATTGGCACCAGTATCCGTGTCCCAGACGCGTACTCGCGCATCGTGCCCGCAAGATACTAGGTGCTTGCCATCCTCGGTCCATACGAGCCCATTCACAGCGTCTCTGTGCGCCTGTGCGTTGGTCGAGTTGCGAGTAAAGGACGTAGATTTCCCAAGTACCCCGACTGAATCTTCGAGGTCCAGTACACCCAATTCACCTACACTGCGGCGTACATCCCAGAAGCGTATGCTGCCATCTGTAGCTCCACTGACAAGAATATGTTCGCGCACAGGGCTCCATGCTGTAGAGAGGATCGCGCCAGAGTGGCCTGCAAGACTGTGTGTCGTGGCGCCTGAGCGAAGATCGACGAGACGCACATTCGGATGTTGCGTCGCGCATGCGACGAGGAGATGCGAGGCGATGGGCGAGAGCGAGATGTTATACACGACGGAATCGAGGTTGAAAGACGCAGACGGCGCAAGCGTTTCGCTGGAGTAGAGCTTGACGGTGTGGTCGTACGATGATGTAAGGAATGCCAGAGAATCAAAGGGGTAGAACTGTATCTGCGTGATGCCTAACTTGTGCTCTTCACTCGTCTTGTTCACCGCCGTGAGGGGGAGATAGGTGTCTCCTGCCTCGGTTGCCGCAGTCTGCGCCTCGAGATCCCATACTGCAATCGAGCTGTCTGCGCCTCCAGAGAGCAGGTATCGCCCCTCAAACTTGTCGATGGTCAAAGCATTCACCCCGGATATATGCGCCGGTATGCGCTCGTGCGGATCATCGAGGGCCGGTAGATGCTGGCTGAAGACTACGGTAGGAGACGGTTGCAGCGCGTATGTGAGACGTGAGGCATAGCCGCGCTTGAGGACGTGGTTGGGAATGAAGCCGTACGCACGGTCGAGCTCGTGTTGAGTGCTCATATGCGACTACATGCTTTGTGTGCTTTGGGGCGACAGAAGAAGGAGAGGGTGCGCAGAGGATTATGACGTTGTAGCCCAGGCATCCGCAACGCGACAGGGATCATTGGTAGCAAGACATTCACCAACAACGTTCAAGCCTTGCAGTCAAGCAAGCCGCTTACCTGAACCCTCCCTTGTGTTTCAACACAACGACGATACAGCGCTATATCGAAGTCATCTCAAATGGCCACTGATAATGAAGAGCCTCGTCGCCAAAAAGTAAAGAAGAGACCACGAAAACGACGCGCTACTGTTTACGATGCCGTCCATCGTAAGAGACGCATTTGTTAACAATCAAAATGCATAACCTAACAATCTTCAAGGCAAAGTCGCTCGAACCGGTCTAATAGCCCACATCCGTGATCCAAAGGCATCCAGGAAACCACTGCGCCCGGATGAGGTTCTCTTCAAGCGAAAGAATGCTCCTATGCGATACGAGGAAGACGATTACTACCCTGCACACTCCAAGTTGCCTGCAAACCAAAAACTTCCCAGTGGCGACCTCGCAGATGTATTGGGGACCTACGTATCAACACTATGGGCCAGGACTAAGGGGCCCCGCATGATGCAAAGAACTTGGAGAGGTATGGACGAATCTGCGCTTATCGCTCTAAGTATCCTGATGGAAGAGACTGCTCGAGGCGCGCTAGGTGAGACGGGCGATCTAGCTTTTACTGAGGCAGCCGAGGAAGACGAAGAGCAGGTTCTTGCTCGTCAGAAGCAGTGGACTCAGGGTACTGGTGGTAAGAAAGAAGGAGCTATCGTTAGAGCCAAGAAGAAAGCCCAGGCTAGTAAAGAGAAGCAGCGCGCGAAGGAAAGGGCACGCCTAGAAACGTGGACTTCGTCTGACGAGGAGTCACATGACGACTTGGCAGAGGAAGAGCTGGAGTGAACATTACGACGTTAACGGGAGATGGACTTGCATACCTCAGAAGAGGGTGCTGTTGAACGCGACGAATGATCAGAAGCCCCGTCTCTGCCTGCGGTGAGAGTATCGAGAGATTTTTGGAAGAAAGAGGCAAAAACACGGCGTTTGATGACGAAGACAATATCTCAGCAAGCCAACAACAGTGCAAGATGTATCTTCTGAACCCCCAAGATACATTTAGGCTCGTGTTCTCAGCCCGAATATGCGAATCTATAGACAAAACCGAAGTTAGGGAGCCACAGAGTCTCAGGATGCTGCAAAAGTGGCGTTGCGATCAAAGGTCTAGTTGATTGCGGTCGTGCCTACCTTCTTCGACGGCTGGCACCTTGGCGTGCCTTTCTCAAGGAAGGCATCCGCCATGAAGAGCTATTGAAGACTTTTGAGAAACTAACATCTACACGCGCTCCATCACAGTCATCAATTCTCGTGTATCCTTTGTGTTTCACATGGTTCGCAAGAGCATCTGTCGTTTCTAAGCGGATATGGTCAGTTCAGACATAGGAGCGGCTGAAGCACTCACTAACCCTGGCAGGCCCCGAAAACCCAACCCAACCCGCAGAAAGCGGCCTCCATTCTTGCCTGGTTTCACAAAACGGCACAGGCCCACAGCATCAAAGATCTCGAGAAGACACTGCCGCAAGTTTCCTCTATCAACGGCATGCAAGTTAAGGACTACCTCCAAGCACTCTCAGATGACAATAAAATCCGTGTTGAGAAGATTGGTAGCGGTAACTGGTACTGGAGCTTTCCAGCCGATGAGAAGAAAGCCAAAGAAATAGCTCTCAAGAAAGCCCAAGAGGAGTTCGACAAGGCCAACGCTGCAGTAAACGAGCTTCAGGCGAGGGTGGACGATGCAGGTGCGGCTCGCGCCGAGGATGAGGATATGCTCATGGAGACAGGTAGATACTACCGTATCTTTATCGCATTCGCACTCACCACTCATAGGTGGTGATCGGAAGACACTGATTTCGAAGCATGCCGAACTCACAAAGGACCTCGAGAAACTCAGGATCGAGCTATCTGCGTACAGCGATCAAGATCCGGTCGAGTTGGAGAAGAAGGCTACCGAAACTGAACGTGCTCATCTTGACGCAGAGAAGTTTACTGATCAAATTCTCGTCATGCAAGGCTGGATCAATCAACAGTACTTTGGTGGTAGTGGAGGGCCGGAATTCAAGGAGATGCTGAAGTCATTCTACTACGACGAGTACGACGAGGAGGAGGGAGGCCTACGTGAGCTGTGAAATGTGACGAGTTAGGCATCGGGGAATTTCATGACGCATGTGTCGAAGTCTCCACTAGGAGATCGTCTACTGTACAATAAGATGCAGCAATAAGGGCGTAATCACTATCGTGTAGAGATGTTACAGCGAAATCATTTCGACTCATCGCCGGGTATGCCATAATAATGCGCCACTTCGGAGTATTTATAAGTGCTTGAGTCATGTTTCAGCAGGGACCACTTCCATTCGCTTGTGAACATCGTCATCGCAAGTAGCTTTTGCCAACCCACCACCAAACGCCTATTGTAGAACGAGGCCTCGCTGGCCTGCCTATAACTCGCCTCTCGTCACTCCCCAAAAAGACTTCGACACTCTCCATACCACCAATTCCCTGTACACATCCCTGGAACCAGACCCTATACCCCGCGATGGCCTCGACTGGTGCCCAAGAAAACGCACAAGTGCCTGCAAGCCCACAGCGGAGAGGAGGCAGAGGCCGTGGACGTAGCAGAGGTGGAAACGTCGGGGCAGAAGATGGCCACGATAGCTTTGGGGGGAGGGGACGTGGACGGGGCGGCTTTCAGAGCCGTGGACGAGGTCGCGGCAACAGAGATGGCGCGGGCGGTCGTGGTGGACATGCGCCAGAAAAGGGCAAGGCGCCTGCGATAGAGGCAGAAGAGAATGGACAGGCTCCGCCTGCTCTCGCGAAGCCGAACCTACAGCAATCGGACAACGAAGACGACGACGCCGAAGTCTGCTTCATTTGCGCCTCGCCCGTTCAGCACACAGCCGTTGCTCCTTGCAACCACCGGACATGTCACATCTGCTCTATCCGAATGCGCGCCCTGTACAAGACGAAAGCTTGTGCGCACTGCCGAACAGAATCAGACCACGTTATCCTCACAGACGACGCAGAGAAGAACTACGAGGACTTCTCAACCGCCGAGTTCTTCCGATCCGATGACACTTTAGGCATACATTTTGAGAATTCTGGCGTTTTCGAAGACGCGCGATTGTTGCTACAGTACAATTGCCCTGACAGCGAGTGCGACGTCGCCTGCCTAGGCTGGCCAGACTTGCATCGCCATGTCAAGACGGCGCACGGGAAAATGATGTGGTATGTACTTCATAGTCTCAGTGTTGCTGCATTCGCTAACATTTCCGAAGTGACCTGTGTACACGAAACAAGAAAGTCTTCACGCACGAGCACGAGCTATTCACGCAGGCCGATTTGCGAAAGCACCAGAAGTTTGGCGACGATAACCCTGGAGCAATAGATCAGAGTGGCTTCAAGGGACATCCGGAATGTGGCTTCTGTAGACAGCGCTTCTATGGCGACGATGAGCTTTACACTCATTGCAGAGACAAGCACGAGCGCTGCCACATTTGCGATCGCCGAGAAGGGGGGAGCAGAAAACAGCAATATTTTGTCAACTACGACTCCCTTGAGGTGCATTTCCGGAAGGACCACTTTCTTTGTCCTGACCGGGAATGCTTAGAGAAGAAATTCGTCGTGTTTGATTCTGAAATGGATCTCAAGGCGCATCAGCTGGAAGTGCATCCCAACGGTCTTTCCAAGGACGCGTTGCGAGATGCTCGCAGAGTTGACATGTCTGGCTTCCAAATCAGAGCGCCGCACGACCAAGGTCAGGGTAACAACAGGCGAGATGAGCGTAGACGCGAGGGCGGCAGAGGTCGTGGACGTGGACGAGATCCGAACGCAGAGCCGGTGCCTGCGTCGTCTGCGCAACCTTTGAGCAGAGCAGAGCTCGCCTACCAGAGGCAGAGGGAGGCTCAGAATACTCATTCAGTCACTGGAAGAACCTTCGGTGGCCAACTATCTGCACCAACTCCGGGCGAGGCGTTCGCTGCCAGGCCTCCCCCAAGCGCCTCAGAACCTCCCACTGTAACAGCCTCGCGCCCGGCGCCAGCGGCTGCAGGCAATATCACGAATGGTGTCGCTCAGTTGAGTGTGAACGAACAACCAGTCAACCCAGTCCCACAAACACCTCAGGAGCAGGCTCGACTATTGCGCCACAACGCAGTTACGGAACGAGCCACAAACATGCTTCGAGGTAGCGCGATCAAGCTGCAGGAGTTTAGAGCTGCAGTTTCAGCCTATCGGAACTCTAACGTGTCGGCAGCGCAACTGATCGAGGGATTCTTTGCACTATTTGACGCCAACTCGAAGGAGATAGGAAAGCTGATCAAGGAATTGGCAGATATCTTTGAAATTCCAGCAAAGCGGGAAGGTCTCTTGAAAGCGTGGAACGACTGGAAGGCTATTAACGAAGATTACCCTTCACTGCCGGGCTCCGCGACAGAACAAGCGTTGAACGGCGGATCAACTGTGCGGGGAGGCTCTCGTGTACTGAAGTTAAAGAGCTCAACAGCTAAATCATCCCGGTCTACAGCCAACCAGCAAGCCAGCTGGTCGAACGCATCGTCGAGCAATCCTTTCCCAGCTCTACCAGCGCCAGCAGGTCGCGTCGGTGCGAAACCTGGACAGACGCCTTGGGCTTCTTCGTCTGCCGCAACGAGCGCACGTCCTTCGCCCATGCCATCTCGAGTTGCGTCGTCAACAAATGTAAACAAGAAGCCCGTTGGAGCGGACGCCTTCCCTGCTCTCCCAGCAGCCGCAAAACCCACCAGTACACTCTTCAGTCCAGGATATACTGGCCGCGCTCTAACGCGCGATAACAGCGGTCGCAATACACCAGTGAGCAATCCTTGGGCCGGCCCATCTGGGGCAAACAGCGGAACATCAACGCCAGCTCTGGAGGATGTCGGTGCGGCAGGGAAGAAGAAGGGTAACAAGGGCAAAAAGCAAACACTCTTCCAATGGGGTTAAGCAACCATCATGTGCATTCTAAGATATAAGCAAGCATAGACACGACACGGAAGCACAAGGGTAGTGCTGGTCTTGCGATTCTGAGCTTTACTTCTAGGTTTGCCAAGCTGTTTATACAGAAATGAATGATTCATAGACTGACGGGTTCTGGTCTCATGGCCGCCTGTGCCAACGAAAAAGGCAAAAATGTTGTTGGGTGGAGGCACACAGCATGTACTGCATCACGCGCACTCTTTCTTCCAAAGGCACGCTTATCATAGGCCAAACCTCATACCCAAGGCATGGTGTGAAGATATACACTACCTTGTTTTTGATAGTTTGTTACTGTACGAAACAGCGTATTACCTTAGAGTATGATACAGCAGAAATGCAACTGGTGAACCCGCCGAAAGTTATTGCGCAATTGTTGCAGAGTTGCGTTGTCACCACACTTCAGTCATAACACTTCTGAGCATAGATCCTTTCATTTAGGTCGTTGCAGGATATAGAAGTTGTAAGTGGCTTGTTTGGTTTGAGTCCTCGCAACACTAGCGGGAAGTGGATGGTAGCGAAGGTATAGCATTTCGTACCCTCACAAGCTATTACGATCATTCTGCCCGCTAAAGTACAGTCCCGACATTCGGTGTGAAGAAGAGCCAGTAGTAGTCTCAATCACATGTGCTGACACGTGTTCGAGTGTGGAGACGAACAACAGCCTGTCAAATATTTAAAATGTTATCTCGAGCACCCAAATAGGATCTCGCGAGTTAAATGGCGCCGGGAACTGGCGTCGATCATGGTGGAGACCCTTGACTGTGATCCTGTGGTATCTGCGCCCCAACCCGCGATGACTTGATCGAAAACCTCTCAAACAGAACTCTTGGTGGGTTGGTTACATGATGAAACTGATTTGCTGGCGGCTTGTGAAGCGGTAATGTGCCCATAGGTAACCATGGTAGAAGTGATGTGTCTATAGCGTTGGCCGGTAGCGCAGTCCGCAGTCGCCTAAATCTTGAAGAGTATAAAGCTTGGGGAGGCCCCCCCGTCTTGTATCCTTATTCCCAACATTCTACCCCAAGCCACATCAATACCGCCAACAACATGGCTTACAACTACACCAAGATGAATACCGGACGCCCGGAGCCAATCCAGCAACAGCAGCCGCCTCCTCAACCAGGCAAGAAGTACGAGCTGTCTGTTGAACAGCAACCGATCCGAGCTCGAATGTGTGGCTTCGGTGACAAGGATCGAAGGCCGATAACTCCCCCGCCCTGCATCCGGTTAGTTGTCATAGACAACCAGACAGGAAGAGAAGTCGACTTTCAGGATATCGACAGCACATATTTCGTCCTCATGGTGGATCTCTTCGATGCGGCGGGAGTTGATCCCGTTAACCTTGTCCGGCATAGTTCTGCAGCGCCGACAGTTAGCATCTCCAGCAGCACAACCACTTCATATCCTCCTCCTCCGGAACGAACACACCAAATGGTGACTACATCAACTCCCTACGACTTCAGACCATACGGCAGCAATCCTTCGTCAATGGGATACTGCTATCCACAGCAATACCAAATGTATGGCCCACCTCAGGCCGCCATGATCCCCGCTACGCCCATTGGCTCAAACCACACGCGCAACCTTATTGGCATGAATGCAGTCAACGCCTGCCGCCTCAACGACCTGGCAGGCAAGCCTGGCTTTTGGTTCGTGCTACAGGATCTCAGCGTGCGCACCGAGGGCACCTTCCGGCTGAAGCTCAGCCTCTTCGATATTGGCGCCGGAGACGGCACAAACGGCACTGTCCACCTAAACGGACCCAGCAAAGGTAAAGGCCCGTGTCTTGCCACCAACTACACCGATCCCTTTACTGTCTACTCAGCCAAGAAGTTTCCCGGTGTGATTGAAAGCACCAAACTCAGCAAATGCTTTGCGCAACAGGGCATCAAGATCCCCATCCGCAAAGATGGTGGGCCCAAAGTGCCCAATCAGTCCGAGTTCGACGAGTAGTGATTTTCTGGTCATTAGTCAGCAAGGCTTTGTTTGTGTCTATGGCAGGGTATAGACAAGGGCATGTCACGGCATGGAGTTTTGGGAATTTTAGGGGTTGGGGGAGTTTTGGGAGAGTTTTGTCCCGGTGTTTCCGGCGTTTTCAATGTCAATACCTAGTCAATAGTTTTCAATACGTGTATCAACAAGAAACTTTCAAAAGCACACGTCTTCACTGCTGCCTTTTTCTTTTTACTAATAGTGCGTCCTGAGCGTATACGTCGTATGCAACATTCCCACTGTGACAGACTAGTACAACCATCATTGCCCCTACAGGATACTTTTCAGTGGTAGTTGACATTTAAGTTCATCCGAAGAATCTCGTTCCGTCATTAGCCTTTGCAATCATGCTTTGTAAAGATGAGTAACCACATGGGTGTTATTTTAGCAATTAGAATTTCTTGTGTCGATGTCTTCATTGTTAAGTATTATATGGACTAGCTATCGTCGCCATCCTAAAACAGCAGCTTTATGTTCGGGTTGGTTGAAGAACCCCTATATGATGTTGTTTACGTCGCGATGTCGATTAAATGTAAAGACAAGTATAGTCTAGTAAGAGCCGTAAGAGATGAAGCTTATTACTGAGAGTAATTGCTTTTGTGTGATTGTCTAATGCGATGCGAATTCCGTCATCCCCTAGTAGATGAGATCCTCTGCATCACATGATGCGGCTGGTAGTGACACTTGGTGTCGGTGCCCTACTGAGAGGCTGCAGTAGCGATGACTGTGCGTTTCATGGACAATCCAAAAGGACGTAGTGTGCTCTGACGTGACTGTGCTGGAGCCGGACTCGCGCAGATGGCGGAAAGTGGAGCAGAGGATGTGCCTCAGACTGGCCGTACGTGTACTGCCGTCGTTGATAATTTAGCGACTGAGCTTGGCAATACCCTGTAGGTCATGCATCAGGTTTGCTGCCGTATTGGGGGACCATCTCTTATTGCGGCATCTAATGCCTAATTCGTAAGGTCCGGAACGGACGATATTCTCACGTGGTGAGCTTGCGCAGACGGAGCACTTATGAGGTCAGCCGAGCCTATCCAACAAGTTTGAGCTTGTCAGGTATGATCTGTCGCTTCACCCAATATTATGTTTATCCATCTCTTCATCGATCCAGCTCCCACGTTTTACCCTGACTCGCCTTCTCCACTTGTCTTGGTCTTCCTGCTGCCCTCGAGTTTCCCATCCAGTCTCCTCATTCATTGGCTCCGCATGCGTGACATTCGGACTGATGCGTCTGGGATCCACGAAGTCGGGGTATTGCTGGCTACCAAAGTCGTGCGTGAGCAGGCTGCTGTTGAGCCTTGCTGATGTGCCTACACTCGCTGTACCACTACCACTCTGTGTCTTTTCCAGCGCCAGAGTATTCCGGCGTTCGAAACTGTTTCCGCGCGCATAGTTGTTGTTGTTCATGCTCTGATCGGATTCGGCTCTGACGCGCACGAGTTGAACCAGTTTGCCGAGGACAGCGAATTCGAGTTTGAGTTTAATCGAGTATACAACGCCTTTGAGAGTGGTTTCGATGAGGTACAGGTTGGCAAACTCGACGCTGAGTAGAGCGATGTCCATGGCGATGATCAGTACATTGATAGTGAGGAGCTGGTACATTGTCTTTCGGACGTTGGTATTCTTAAGGTGCCCCATCCCAGCACTGTCATCGAAACTTCGCACGTCGTCTTGAACCTGTTCTGAGAGCCTCAGCAGTCGTACCGTCTCTTTTATGTATACTATCGACAAAATAGTCTCTTGCACGAAGAAACCGACCATCTGTATCTTTTCCATTATCGAGTATCCGCGGACGAAGCGACTGAGCGTGGTGTCGGAGAATGAGTTCGCGTTCGAGCCGAAGGTCAGGACGGTCGTGATTGAATGCAGGAGTATGCCATTGATAATGATCATCCAAAGAGTCCAGCGAAGGACGCGACGCGAATTCGTAACGAGGTGGAGACGCGACCACAGGACCACCGATTGCCCTGGAAGCTTGTTAGCAGCCACATACCAGAGTCCTCGAGAGTTGAGCAAACTCACCAGTGATCATAGGCCACCACCCAAGCGTAAGTAGGACGACGGCGACATATCCAGCGTCTCTTGAGGGATCCAATACCCTGAAGAACTTGATGATGAAGCCGAGAGCGTATGGTATGATGCCGAAAGCGCTGATGACCAGCGACCAGAAATACAGGCCATGGTAACGCTGGAAAGTGACGAATGCGAGGATAATGAGTTCGATGGCGTTATAAAGGGAGAGGCCGAGGAGAAAGGCAATGATAATCTTAAGGACTAGAGAGTCGCCCGTGTAGCCTACACAACTGTCAGTACCGAACGATCAAGCTTTGGGGACAAGACTGCGACGCTTACCTCCAGTGATTCCAGCGCCGGCAGACTCGAGGGTACCCAGCGCCGGTGTTGACTCCGCTGCAAAAACAGACGACGTCACGCTAGAAACAAGGCTGGCAGACAGCGACGCCATTTGCGAAGCTTTTGTCCCAAACTCAATGCGCAGCTCCTCCGCAGTACGACGAACCAGGCACGAAGCGTGTTTGCGACTCCATCAGTCAAGAGGAGATTCGCCTGGTAGCGCACAACATGGCGACAGATTTGACAGGAGAAACGGGCCGGTAGGGAGCGACATCGAGTACGGGCCTGTTTTCATCGAGGCGGGGATTTTCCGTGTACGAGCGTCAACGGTGCGCGTGCACTAATAGACCACGCGCGGCTTTTCAAAGCACACCAACCGGTTATGGTGCCAAAGTGACGCTGCCACCTCCACTTGCTAGCCTTTCCAGGATTGAGCAGCACAGCAGTCCGGGGTAGATCGGCGCTACTGAGTCGTGCATTAGGCCGTCGATTGACAAGTTTTGCTTTGCCGGGACGCTCACCATGTTCTCGGAAAGTTGAGGCGACTTTACATTATTACTCAGCTAATGAGGCTGCAACAGGGTCAGTCTTGGAACCGACACATTGCAGCTGCCTTGCCATCTACGGACTCTACAGCTCACTACGTGATATTCTTTTGAGCGACCTCACCCCTCTTCTTGCCCTTCTGTTGTGCTGCCTCGTGCTTTCTCAGGTCCTCAGGCACCTTACTGATCTGACTCTTCATGAGAATCTGCTTGAGATCGTAAAGTACATCCGCATCTTCGTTGCCCCAGAACGTGATAGCAACACCAGGTTTGTCCGAGTCCGCACCCAAACGTCCAGTACGACCGATACGATGGGTGTAGCTTTCGATGTTACCAGGCATGTTGAAGTTCACCACCAATTGAACGCCTTGAATGTCGATACCACGACCAAGCAAATCAGTGGCAACAAGCACGCTAGTTTGTCCATTCTTGAGGGACGCAAGAGCAGCCTCACGCTGTTCTTGGGTTTTTCCACCGTGAATCGTGGCGGATGAGAAGCCCATGTGTTTGATCTCGCGAGCGATGGCATCGCAGTTTCGTTTGATATTGACGAACACAATAATTGGTGCTGAGAACTCGCCAGACGTAAGAATCTCCTGGAGACGCTTCTTCCTCTTCTCTTCTCCCTGGACGAATTCGACGCGCTGCTCAACGGTGTCAGTAGCCTCGCCTTGGTTGCCGACTGTAACGATAGCTGGGCGACGTGTGTACTTCTTCGCAATCCTTTCGACAGCTGGCGGCATAGTAGCTGTGTACATCATGGTTTGGCGGTATGTTCCCTTTCTCATCGCATTGGGGTCTTCGGCCTCGTCGGTGTCTGGTTTCTCGTTGTTGACGGGTAGCGCATCGAGGATCTTGTTGACCGGCTCTTCGAAACCCATGTCAATCATCCTATCAGCCTCATCCATGATAACGTAAGTACACTGACTGAGAACGAGAACTCGGCGCTCAATACAGTCTACTAGACGACCAGGCGTGGCAATGATGATCTCGGCTCCGTCCCGCATTTGGAACGACTGTTCTTCGATGGAGTGACCACCGACAAGAACAGCAGTCCTGAAACCTAGTGGCGACGCAAACTTGCGAGTCTCTATTTCGATTTGCTGGGCCAATTCACGCGTCGGTGCGAGGATGAGGGCGTACGGGCCATCATGACGGGTCATGGCGTCAAGGGGGGGTAGTTGTGAGATGTATGCGAGTAGTGGCAGGACGAAGGAGGCAGTTTTACCCGAACCTGTTGCAGCAACTCCGATCAGATCGCGACACTGTAGAGCAATAGGTATGGCCGCGCGTTGGATGGGCGAGGGCTCGGTGTAGCCAACCTGGTGTACGATACGCATAAGCTTGTCTGGAAGTCCTGATTCGTCCCAGCTACGCATAGGATTCGGGATTCCGCCTCCTTTGGTAGCGATGCTGAAGTCCTCCTTGAAGATGCGCCAGTCGCGTTCCCGCATGTTCTCCAGTCTCTTCTCGCTCCAGTGCTTGTCTAGTTGTGCGCGGCCACTCTTATCCTTCCGCCGCCGCTCCATCTCAAGAAGTGCCTCAGCCCGTTCTTTGCCGTGTTCTGGATCTCGCTCCATGATTGCCTCAGCCATTTTCCTTGTGGTTGCGTCTGTAACTTCGTCGGAGAAGCCACCAAGTCTGCCACGTCCAAAGAAGCTTGCTTCAGCTTTCTGTTGGTAGATTGGGTTATAGTCGTGGCTGGTATCCTCTTCTTCGTTCCATTCAAAGTTAAACTTCTTTTCTGTCGTTCGCTTGCGCTTCTTCTTGGCTGAAAACGTTGACTGATTTTGCTCTGCGCCCATGTATCGTTGTCTTATCAGAGCCTCAGCGTCCTCGGCTGGACGCTTGTTGCCCTTCTTATCCGGTGGTGGTGGGGGTGCCATGTCTCCGTTTCTGCGATCGTTTCGCATCGATGATGGTCCAGTCGGCGCATCGCGCATCGAACGAGGCCCTGTAGGTACGGACGAGGACGAGCCATTGTGACCATTGTAACTGGCGTGACCATTCGTGCGGTTGTGCTCTTGCGAGTGTCTCCAAACATCGCTGTCTCCGTTCGAAGCCTCTCGCCTCTTTTGCGCTTCCTCCACTTCTTTCTTCCGCTTCTCAAGCGCAATGCGCTCCCTCTCCGCTTTTGGTATGAATTTGGGCTTCGCGGCAGCCGCTTCTTTATCGCGCTTGGCCTTTAATATGTCGTCGATACTCGGGGGCTGCTTGCGAGCAGCTGGGGGCGGAACGGCGGCGGTCATCTTGGTTTTGCGGAGGTCACGGTTTGTAGAGTTGCGGAGGAGGATTCACGCGAACTATAGATCGCATGCACGCTAAGGCAACACCAGGTCACGTGCGTGATCACTATCGATAGTAAGCTGGCCCCGCTACATGGATCGGTTTGCCATACACTGCTTCAGATAATAGCGTCACATGTGTTATGTAGATGCTCATGTCCAGCCACCCAGTGTCGTCTATAGTTGCCTGGGGCTTTCCAGCTTGTCCTCGGATTTGTCATGACGGGCTCCAAGAACGTGTATGGACTTGGAGATGCCTTCATTCAGGAGCTAATTCTAGCTGTCTGCGGTCCAGATGGCGTACCTAGAGCGATATCGCGTACATATCACAGCATGGTGTGATCTTGCCTCCTATTCTCGTCACAGCCATAAGGCAGATCTCCGGCACCCCATATTCATCGTAGCTCGTAAACATGATCATATGCCACCTCGTACCATACACCACCTCAGTCCTGCCTGCCCTTGAGTAACCGCTTGGTAACCTTGTCCTTCTCGATGATGTAAACGTGTGCGCCCCAACCTGAAAGTGCGTCTCGGTCGACGGCGTTGAGCAACGCCTGTGAGATTGTCTCGAAGAGGTCCTCGGGGCCCTACCATGAATGTTAGCTTGGTTCAATCTAAACATTGATACAACCCACCAGATCCGGCTCCCACAGTCCTTCACATGTACCGAACAGTTGATCGCTTGCGGTTCCGCTAACAATGAAGTCCTTCGCAAAGTCGATGCAACCAATGCTGTCGAATCCGCAAATGAAAGGCTTTCCACTCGTCTGGTTTATACCGGCAATAACCGGGCTAATGAAGTAGGGTCCAAAGCGCTTCTCGTACAGACTTGAGCTTACGAGGTTCGCCATGGTCTGAGGACTGATGTTGCGCTCTTCGCGGAGACGGTACATGTTGACCTTGTAGCGGAAAAGGTCTGATACGGTGGATACATCGGTGGCGAGTCCTGTAAGACCTAGGAAGACGTCGCCGTACTGGAAGATCTTGGGGAAGTTGTTGGACACGGTGAGGGCTTGCATGCCGAGACGCAAGTCGCATGCTATGGCTACGCAGTCCTTGCCCACCATGGCCACACAGGCACCGCCGTCTGTTCAAATAGTCAGAAGAGTATGCGTGGAGGTTTCCGTGGAAGCGTACTTATGGAGAATGGTGACGACTGGTGCGGTTAGCTATGGACTGCATGTTGACAGCGGGATTACTTACCATGGCTGTGTATTTGATGTGTTTTCCGCCTTGGTCTGTGACTTGTAGCAGAGAGGGGGAAACGACTCTCTGACGTGTGTTGAAAGCTGTGGTGTTGGTTGTGGTTGTGATGTACTCAGATAGGTAGCAATAGCTACGCGGCGGCCAGGCGGCGCGAGTAGCTCCACCCTGGACCTCGTAGCCTTGGCGCGAACTTTTGACATGCACCAACAGACACGCCCATAGCGATCGCAACGCACAAGATACCCACCATGAGCGCCCAAAAGTCTGTCGAGATTGCAAAGTCACTGCCGCCGCGGTTACTGCGCTTCTTCCAAAAGTACCCGCCGCCATCGCTCTTTCCCAGTCTCTCCTCTCAACTCGCATCGCCGACTTCACACTCAACCCCAGACACAATATCGACAACCCCACCAACCGACCCCAATGCCTCCATGACCGAGGCGTCGGCGCCGGAGGTCACACCCAGACCCTCAAATGCGCCCTCGAGTTCAAATATACCGCCAGAAGCGCACGATCTGCCGTACCCAAATCCATTTCTCCCACATAAGAACTTCGCAACCGGACGGTGGCACTCCCCCGCTTACGGTCTACGGAAGCAAGCCGACCTCGTAAAGCTCGCATCAGAACATGGCGTCGTTGATCTCCTCCCCTGGACCATCAAGAAGCCAGGCGAGAAGGAAAGGCGGAGGGTAGAAAGAGGACTGCAAGTTAAGGGCACAGGCGAGGGACAGAAGGTCAAGGGAAAGCTCTGGGAGCGAACATTGAAGGGACGTCTAGAGATGAGGAGGCAAGCTATGCTGAACATGCCCGCTTTGATCCAGGAATGGAAGCAGAGGGGACATGGAAGAGGTTGGAAGAAGTGGCCGAGTGGAAAGGCGAAATAGACTGCATCTTCTTGAACCCCTTTGGAAAACAACCGTTCGAATGTACCAATACTGTTTTGTTTCATCACACAACGAAACCTAAGTGCAGCTCAATCGATACATTGCAATGTAGTTCTGCCTGGGTATCCTGCTAACCGAAGTATCTCATGTACGACAATCCTTCGACGTTATTGTTCGCGTGTGCAACTAGTTCTGGGTATAATATAGGAAACAAGAATGTGCACACAGGCGTGCCAACGTATAAACTCGTCAGGGCCCCTATCCTCAGGGAGTCCGACATAGCGACATCATGTTTTACATGACCATCTCCTCATCGCCATATCCGCCGTGCAGTCCATATTCTCGCGCATATGCATACGCCCCGTAAGTGTTCTCCATATCCGCGACGCTACTCGCGTTCTTCTGCCAGAGCCCATTGCTCCCTGTGTTGTTGTAGACCGGGTCGGTGGCCTGGTTGTACTTGTTCGATTCTTTCTCAGCTCGCGCCGACTGTTCATACTCGCGCCTAGCCATCATCTCATATCCCGACGCCATATAGGGTTCAGCTGCTGCAGACATGCTCTGTTCCAGCTGCTGCTGGTGCTGCTGAATAGCCTCTTGTTGCGCCGACTCTGCCTGCTGCTTCTCGTATCTCAACTTCGCCATTGCCTCCTCCTGTGCTAGGCTGGTGGGCGGCCAGTCGTAAAGCTGTCTAGACATGTTGTAGTCTACGCCTGCTGGGTGGCCTTGACGCCCTGATGGAGGAGATATACGCCAAAGCTCCAGGAGACGGAGCCGTTGATCATCATCCGCATTTTGGAAGAGCTCGATCTGTGAAGGGAACAGAAGAGTGGGGTCGATGCTGTTCCTTAGGAGTACAGCCGCGAGATCCGACGAGTCGATGTGCGTCTTCAAGGCCGGCTCGGAGGAACTGCGAGTAGGTACGTGGCATGAATGGGTGTAGTGTTGGGAAGCGTAGACGATCTGCTTCGGGGTCTCTTCTTGCTCCTGCTCTTGCTGCTGCATTTGTTGCTCTTGGTGCATCCGTGGTTGCATGGGCTGTACGTTTCCTTGCGACAAGTTCATATTGGCTGAAAACAACCGGGTAAGCTCATCTTGCTGCATGTTTGCGTCTTCTGCTGCTTTCCCCTGGACGTTGATGCCTGTAGATATTGTGCCGCACTATGACGTAATGTTAGTATCTAGTAGCATCGACCGATGATGATCGAGCTTACGTTTGAGCAAGAGATATTCTGAGAGAAAACGAAAGGACTGTACGAGATGGGCGTGTCGTAAGTGCAGTTGCAGTGGTGGAGGAGCTGCATATCCTCTAGGGTCTCAACAGCAAGCGGTATGAGGGGCAACTTGGAAAAAAGAAGGTTGGAAAACTGTATCAGTCGTCGAATCGAATGACACTTGTAACGATAGAATATCTTGGGCACTCGAACTTATGTTTCGCTGCTAGGCTTTGATATTGGCTCGTACTATCCGCGCGTGCGTTGGTTGGGCGCTGACGACAATCGGCGGGGAAGGGGTCAAAGGCGCTGTGAGTCAGGAACAAACAGAGAAAGGTATTCAGAGACACTTGAATCGAGTCAGCAGTGAAGAGGGGTCAGTAGGAATATTAGCAGCAGCGTGATGGTGGTTCTTTATGTACCGTTAAGTATAGCGTGCTGTTGGGGTCATGCGTGTAGGCGGGATGATTCTGATAATTTTGTCGCCCACATCCAATTAGTGACGAAGCTGAAACCCAACTTGTTCGGCTAGTCTTTGGACAGCCAATGATGTGTCTCTGGAGCTTGTAAATAGTGGTCGGTTTGGGACGACAACTCATCAAATGTGTATGGGCGTATGCACTTTTGGATGTAGGTGTGTGCAATTGGAGCGGTCCAGGCGGAAGAAGCCGGGACAACAGACAGCGGATACGCGAATACAGGAGAGACCAGCAATGAGAGGACGGATCGCACCAACTGGTTTCGAGAACGTCACAAGGGACCTGGAAGATCGCAACGTTTGCGGGCGTTGTGACTTGCGTACGTCGGTGCTGATGCCTCTACAGTGGGTGTCGGGGACCGGGGATGATCTCCTTGGCGCGCTAGTGAGCTACTGGAGCTTGCGCAGATACACCATTGCCTAGAATCATCAACACCGGGACGCTCGACTTTCAACGTTTGCTAATACGGTAATTGTTCCTTTACAACCCAGGGACTACTTGACATCTCGAAAAACTCACATCGCCGTCTTCAGTCTTCACCCCACCCACCATGGTAAACACCCCACCGCAACAGTGCAAGCACCCCAGTCGATCTAACCATGGTGTAGACTTCAATAGGCACGGGCTACGACCTGTCCAACTCGGTCTTCTCCCCCGATGGTCGAAACTTCCAGGTCGAATACGCGGTCAAGGCGGTCGAGAACGGTGGCACAGCGGTTGGCATTAAGTGCAAGGATGGCGTCGTACTCGCTCTCGAGAAGCTCGTCAGCAGCAAGCTCCTCAAGCCAGGCGCGAACAAGCGGATAGCAACCGTAGACCGTAATATGGGCATCGTATCTTCCGGTCTCCTCCCCGACGGTCGCCACTTCGTCTCCCGCGCCCGCGATGAAGCAGCTCAATGGCGGCAGATGTACAAGGCACCCATTCCCTCTTCGTCTCTTGCCGACCGCATGGGAAGTTATGCCCAAGCGTATACTCTATACTCCAGTGTCCGTCCATTTGGTATAACCGCCATCCTTGCAGGCTGGGACTCTGAGGCAGAGCTACCAGTAGATGGCCAAGTCGGTTCTGGGCCTGCTGTTGGTTCGGGAGGCAAGAAGGAGGGTGCGAAGCACGGTGGGCCATCACTCTACATGATTGAGCCCAGCGGTCTATATTGGGTATGCAGAATCATCTTGTCGAGACATAGGCAATAACTAACGCGCATAGGGTTACTACGGTGCGGCTACAGGCAAGGGCCGCCAGGTCGCCAAGTCGGAGCTTGAGAAGCTCAACCTCGCTGAAGGACAGCTATCACTGGAGGAGGGTGTCAAGGAGGCAGCACGCATCATCTACGTCGCGCACGATGACAACAAGGACAAGGAGTTTGAGCTTGAGATGACATGGATCAGCAGTCTCGACGGTCCTACCAAGGGCAGGCACGAAGAAGTACCCAAAGACATCCGGGAAGAGGCTGAGAAGTTAGCAAAGAAGGCACTAGAGGGAGACGACGATGATGACGAGGACGAGGAGAAGATGGAGGAGTAGACGACGACATGACACTGCGTAGACGGTAACATGCATAACGAGCGGCTTTCATTGCCTTTCACGATCAAATGAACAACATTTACAGAAGCAAGCACGGTAATGTCACTCTCACGTTCGGCCCGCCTACCAAACTTGCTTCGTCGCTCCTGCCATTTATGGATTGACATCATCGACGAATCGCCATGCAGGTACATCCGCCCCACTACTGTAGCGCGTCACCTGCAAGCCGAGTTTGAAAACCAAGTCAACAACTTCCATAAGTACCATACGTCACGCGTCTCTCCCTCCACCTACACTCCCTCTATCTAACCAATTGCTGTTTGCCATCATGCCGCCAACTCTTATACTTATCCGCCATGCTCAGGCAGAACACAATGCCACCAGCGACTGGTCTATCCGTGATCCTCCACTTACCGAGCTGGGCGAACAGCAATCCCGCGAGCTACACGAGAGTCTGAAAGCGAGCAAGATCGGCAACGAAGTCGAACTCATTGTTGTGAGCGCTCAAAGACGGACGCTTCAGACTGCCACTATTGGACTAGACTGGCTTATCAAGAAGGGTACAAAAGGTAAGGTTGTTCACGGAATGTGAAGACGCTCGTTTCTATACCCGTGTAACATGAGTTCTGATTCGCTTTACAGTTATACCTGACGCAAACTGGCAAGAAAATGCCGACAAGCCCTGTGATACTGGAACACCCATCGATCAGATCTCTAAAGAATTCCCGCAATACGACTTCTCAGTTGTAGACCCTTCGTTCCCAGATAAGACAACAGGCGGAGCCAAAAACCCATACGCCTTTACCGAAAAGGCTATCCTAGCACGTGGACAGAGATGTCTCAAGGACCTCTACTCGCGTCCCGAGAAGGTTATTGCCGTTGTCTCGCATTCGGGTTTCCTGCGCACGGGTGTGTGCAACCGCATGTTCTTCAACGCCGACTGGCGTGTCTTTGAGTTTGATGAGGATGAGATGAAAAAGAATGCTGGATTCTTCGTGTTGAAGGAGAGTGAGGAGACGGAGAAGAAGGGCGGAGGTATGGGCAGGAGTGATATCGGCGTCTTTGGTATCGTACCTGGGGACTTCCCGCCGGAGGTTGAGGAGGAGATTGCTGCGAACAAGGCACAGGTTGACGATGAGGCTACTAAGCAGAATCCGAGTGCTTGAGCCTCATAAAGTTGGGTCATTTAAGATTTTTCTGCTACCGAATGTACGTCCTTAGGAGTCTTCCATCAATTAGAAACATAGAATCGGGTAGACACATAGACTCAAAAATGAGGAGGACAGTCGGAATGATGTCGACAGATGCTAGTCTGAGCATATCATTTGCATGAGCATAATGCGTCTTCACAATAGCGAGTGGCATACATCGTACTCACTTAAACAGTATTGATGTCTCTTGGGCCGATCCTTTGAATGTCTAATGCGCCCATGGTCTCGAAACAATACTCGTCATGCTCCTCGAACCAGTGGAAGATGATTTCTCCACTCTGCATGTTTCTCCCTCCATGCTGCATTGAACCCAGCCATTGCCGCCTGTTCTGTCGAGCCAATGATAGCTGATCCGACAGCCTGTCCGAAGAGCTGGTGCAGATCCTTACTTGCTTCTACCAGCCTTCTGTTATCAGCCCAGTAAAGCTCAACATTCTTGGTCCAATGTGTCTCAACATGCACCTTGGCGATTTGAAGTCCCGACTGACAATGTACAGGTTGGGTTGACGCTGTCTTTCCACTCGCCAGTTCTTTGGGACATGCCAACCGCCGAAACTGGAGCAAAGGCCTCAACCATTTTTCACGCAGGCTGAGCTTCGGAGCGGCTTCGTGAACTTTCATCCAGACCTCAAGCTCGTGTAGACTTGTGAGCTTCCTCGAGGCGGTCTTACAAGCTCGCTGCCTAGAAGTGAGCACAGTGTTAGTTACTTTTGCGTATAGTACGCAAGAGCACAGCCGAGCCCACGAAGCACATCATAGTACTTACCAACTCTGGCTGTGCTTTTCTTGCCAGATTCGGAAATCGGTTCTATGAGGGTGACCATAGGTGTTGTAGTGGAGATGCAATTTGGTGATGTTCTCAATTCCAACGCTGGAGGCGAATCTGAAGAAATTGACCATGCGCTTTGGCGCGTTGAACACAAAGACTGTCTTCTGGTATAGGAAGGTTGCTGTCTCCGAGTAGATTTGCTTGCATACAAGACTCAGGGCATGCAGCGAACCCTGCCAATTCGTGCATAATCCCCGGACAGCATTGTACTTACCAAGTGGTCTTGGGAAGCGGACCGCGGTAGGAGGAATAATATTTGCCTCAGATTTATGCGCCGGAGTGGTATCTTTCGCAAGAGCAAGATTCAATGACAGCTTGATGGTTTGCGGCGATCGCTGTGTAAATTGGGCTCCATTACCGACAATCTCACAGCGGCGCTCCGACTCAAAGTAGTAGTTGTAAATCTGGTTTCTGATCTCTCCGGGTAAAGCAAGGAAGCCGCGTATCTTGTTTGGCGCATGCACCGCCGACCTGCGAGCGCGGGAGAAGAAAGTGGTTGTAACCATGTCTTTAAGCTTCCCAAGCGGTGAAAGCTGAGACTATCTGTTAGCCGTAGATAACAGTTAGCTATGGTTCAAGGTCGGATCAAGTTGGTGAGAATGTGGTAGCTGCCGTACCAGTAAAGATGGGGAGTGGAGAACAACATCAATGGTCAATTGATGCTAGCAAGCCTGGGCCCTGAGCTAGCCCCACCTAAGGTTAGTGTACACGTACATTCGTCGTCTCTGCGACAATCGCCCCTCCCCATACCGCCTTATTATCATTATGTCGCTACTCTCGCGCCAGCGTATCCTCCTTCGTCAGCCTCAATTCTTCGCAACTCGCGCCTTTACCTCCTCTAGGGTAAACGCATCTCGTCTCCGTCAACCAGGCGAACCAACAGGCCCCAACGAAGTAAGTTGTGACCCTACGAAATGCATGCGAGGCATACACTGACCCCATATCTTCATCCCTGCAGCCTCCGACACACATCCGGACTCCGCCTTCCAAATCTCCCCTCAAGGTCTGGCCTATCCTCGCTATCTTGGGACTAGGCACATACCTGTTCAACCAGATCGTTGAGCAGCGCAAAGGCGAGGGATACCAACCCAAAGGACCGATTCAGGGCCATTCACCCAGTGGCAAAGGACAAGTGAAGCCTTCGCATCCTCACTAGCCAATATGCCTGCTATCGAAGGAACTGCCGCCGGCAGCCGCTCTTCTCCTCTCTGGTCCAGCGACGAAGTCACTGTACTCTTCGTCCTCGGTGGTCCTGGTGCAGGAAAGGGCACTCAATGTACAAAGCTCGTCAGCGACTATGGCTTCAAGCATCTCTCTGCTGGCGACCTGCTTCGTGAGGAGCAGGACCGTGCGGGCAGCGAGTTCGGCGAGATGATCAAGACATACATTAAGGAGGGCACCATTGTGCCAATGGAGGTCACCGTTCAGCTGCTGGAGAATGCTATGAAGAGTAGCATTGAGAGCGGAGAGAACCACGGAAAATTGTTCTTGATTGATGGTACGATGCCCAATACAACTAGTCTTCCTCTATCGTCTAACATTAACAGGTTTCCCACGAAAACTCGACCAAGCTCACGCATTCGAGCGCTCTGTCTGCCCATCCAAGTTCACCATCTTTTTTGACTGCTCCGAGGCCGTCATGGAGAAGAGACTTCTCCACCGTGGCGAGACATCCGGTCGCGCGGACGATAACCCGGAGAGTATCCGAAAGCGCTTCAGGACATTCGTGGAGACAAGCATGCCTGTGGTCAAAGAGTTTGAATCGCAGGACAGGGTTGTCAAGATAAACGCGGAACAGGAGCCAGACCAGGTCTACCGGGATGTGCAGGAGAAGCTCAAGGAGCGTGGCGTGAAGCCCATCAATCTTACATTTGTACAGACACAGGCTTCATAGACAGTGGGAGGGGCGCAAGAATCAATATATCTGAATTGCATTGTCTATCATGCAGCTCGAGGGCTGCTGTTCATGAACCTGAAAAGCCTCATAATGCATCTGTCCCAAGCTTACCCCTTTTGAAAGAAACAAACGCGAATCAAGTCGCTGCAGCCACTTAGTCCATATCTTCATCGATGGCCCTGTGCTGCTTCCTCTGTCCACCCCGTCCGCCGAACCTCGAGGACATATCAGCCTTCTGGTCTGCCTTGTTTGCCTCGTCCTCCTTCTCCTGCAAGAACCTCTGCTTCTCTTGCTTAATGACGTCCAGAACACCTTGTAGACTGTTTCGCCATAGGTTTAACCTGGAGTCCACCTCTCTCCACTGGTTTTCGCCAAAGACGCGGTATGTTGAGCGGTGGATCAGGAAGGTCTGGTTGAGCTGGCTGAGCTTGCCCTCGACAAGACCCGCGCGGATTACGTCGATAACCCACATCTCGACGTCTTCAGATGGTACTTGTAGTTTGTTTGCGATCTTCTCGTAGGGAAGCGACCTGGTCTGACCGGCGGATGCAGCCATGGATGCGAGAGTGAGAAGGCGCATCTTGCGGTTCAAGGCAGCGCCGTCGAGACCGGACTCCTCAACCCAGCCATCGTGTTCATCCTTGAAGTCGTTGAAGTCCTCTAGCAGATCCGAGTTGAAGATCTCGAGGAGCTGGAAGTAGACAGGGTCGGAGTTGCGGAGGGCCTGGATCGAGTCGAGATCGGTAAGATCTTGGAAGTCGAAGTGGGTGGGGTGGGTAAGGGCCGACTTGAGGGCGCGGAGAGAAAGCTCACGAGCCTCTGGGGACGATGCTTGTTCTGAAGGGAACGTCCTAAGCGCGCGTAGCAAATATGTGTATGCCTGCTCGTCCTCGCCAGCGTCCGATGCGACGTCGCTAACAGCAAGGTAAAGCTTGCGCGCATTCTCCTCCCCAGTCTGCCATGCAGCTATCCAGCTGTCGAGCTGCTTCAGTTGTGGTCGTAGCGTCTCGAAATTTGATGTAGCGCGAATGACACGGAGAATGGCGAGGAGCACGTGGTAGCGCGTTTCGCTGTCCGGCTGGGTGGTGTTGAAGATGGTGCTGAGGATGGAGAGAGCCAGACCACCACCGTTCTGAGGCGACGAAGAGATAGGTGTGCTAAGGTTCTGGCACATCTTGGGGATGAACACGGACACATTCGGCGACTGGTTTACGAGGTGGATAAGCAGGTTGTATGCCGCAATGAATTCTGCGCGCTCATTGTTAGCCCAGTGTCTTCTCCCATCAACACACGCCCTCTCGTGTCATGACTGAAGCCGTACCCTTCTCTGGCGCCTGGTTCAGCGCTTGGCTACCGACGACGAGCTTCTTGAGAACATCGTCCTTCTTGTTCTCCTTGAGCAGGTCTGCGCTCTCGCCCTGGAGGTTGGCGCTCTCATCGCCCTGGGATTTTTTGAGGCTGTCAATGTATTGTGCGAACTCGTCGGTAAGCTCCTCGAAGGTGCCCTCGATGAGCAGCGTGGTCTTGGCGCCCGGCATGGTGAGTGTCGTAGAGTCTGGTATTAGGGGAGAGTGTAGGCGGCGGGCGCAGAGGGCGGGGTTGGTGGATTGTCGACAATGGGAGCGGCGTTGGTGGGATGCCAAGATTGGAGTTGGATTTTTGGGAAGTCGCTATCGATAACGCACAGACTTGACCCAACACAACCGGAACCATTTGCTACGTTGAAGAAACACCACACCGGTGGATATTACACTCCCAAGATCGAACCCTTGGAAGCGTCACAAATGTCAGATCTAGACTTGTCACCATTCGCAACGAACTGTTGCTATCCCTTGCACTAACATATCAGCTTCAAACCTACTTACGGCTTCTAGTAGGGCATCCAGGCACTCGCCGTCTTGTAATGCAAGCTCATACGCACCACCTTCGACTTCAGGGTGCACCGTGACGAAGGATCTTTCCGTCAGTGCATTCCCGTCTCCGACGTCCAAGATGTTGTTGTACAAGATGAAGATCCTCCGTTCGGCCAACTCTCACTCAAGAACTCCAATTGGACTTGGACGCAAAACGTGGCTCATGTACAGGAGTTCGCTAGACTGATTGCGTCCATGCAGTACTACCTGTCGATCAATGTCCTCTGCCACGTGAAGTTCCTACGTATCTGTTACTTTATACCGAAGGAGAGAGAACTTACTAGCGGTGTGTTGGCTGCTAGTGAGTACGTAGATGCCGATATTGGAGGGGCTGGCTGGAAGGGACACCCATTGATTGTCGACCGTGGGGCCATCCCTACGGCAAATAGTCAGTGTCTCAGATCGGAAATCGTGTTTCTAAGGACCCATACAATGAGGACTTTAGTTGATAAAATTGGGTACCCCGAGCTGCTAGTACATCTAGCTGAGCTCGTCTACCAAATGACCATGCCGTAGCACTTCTGGGCGGACATGTAGCAAGAGCAAGGAGCAGTTTCATGTTGGGTTGACGAGCTAACGAATTTCCTGCAATCGATAGGAAAAGACTCCTGTCAAGTGCCGAACATATACAAACGTGTTTTGCGGGGGTGACAGGGGGTGACCCTTTCAGCCTACAATATATCGAAGTCGCTTAGGCTCGAGCCTCATCTATAAGCACATGTTTGTCTTAATATCTCTTGGTTTGTATTAAACATGTTGTGGCAGACCTGTACACCGATAGCATAACTGTAGTGGAGGCGATGGACCCCCTTGTTGCTGTGGGGCCTTTATAATGTAGTATGCTGACTGCTCGCAATCGTGAGCAATTCCTTGACGCTTTGAAAGTCAATTGTTTTACCAAGGTTTTATCAAGATGAAGTTCACAGCTGTTGTATCGTTGCTTCTCGCTACATCGGCCTTCGCGCAAACTACTCCCTTAGGCTTCACTCCTGCGACAAATAAAACACTGGACGTATACTACGGGACACAGTATATCAGTCCTGGTATCATCGTCAGAAAGTCTAGTATGAGTGCAAGATGTGAGGGAAGAAATAACTATGCTAATGCTAATCAGTCACGCAAAGAGCTCCTGTCATCGGTCTCAGCAACACGACACTTAGCGGGAAATACTTACTTGCAATGATCGGTATGTTGCAAAATTACTTTTGCAAAGGTAATCATAATAACACCATGAAGACATAGATGGTTCTCAGAACGGCCGTACAACAACTGTCTTGCATGCCCTTCTGCAGGATTATACAGCATCTGGCAACAAGCAGAACGGCACGTCTGTCCTCACTACGACAGCTACAACGCCTTCGTCATACTTTGGTCCTGCGCCTCCTGCTGGCGCGCCTCCCACTCATCGTTACGTATTCTTGCTGCATGAGCAGCCAGCAAACTTCGCAGTACCGGCTGCGCACAAACAAGCCGTCAGCAGCAGATTCGGGATCGATTGGCCAAAGTTCATAGCGGATGCCGGGCTCAAAGCGCCGATTGCTGGAAACTATCTGCAAGTGAAGAGTGGGGATAACACAAAGAGGTGGGATGCATAAGAAGGCGCTCGTTGACTCGAGGTTGCATTATCTAGCATCTCGTACATTGATAGTTTCTTATTGCGTAAACCTGGCGGATACATTCGTGATGCATCTGCGCATCAACTAGTATTTTTGTTCAACTCAGGACTCTAGCTCTCCAAACCCAATGACGAACCATCTGCAATCTTGAACCTATCCTCAACTTATACCGCCGTGCAGTTCAAGTTGTTTCCCAGAGTAATTTTGAACACTTCCAGAAGACACTGATACGCGCGGTCGCCATCTTCACTCAACTCTTCACTGCTTTCGATCACATATGTGCCACCTGGTATGATTATACCATTGTAGTACACAATCGTGTCTACGGCTTGGGCATTACATGCTATCATTGTCAACATCCAACACTTGAGCTTCAAATCTCTGTGCAATACGCACCTTTCTTCTCGTTCGACCACATCCACCCAATGCTATATAGCGTCTGATCGTAGTGTGGGATGAGTCCGGTAGTGTCGTAGACGACTCGTCGTCTTCTCAGGTCGTTCTCCGCCCATGAACTATCTGTAACGGCATAGCTGATACATTTTTCGGCTTTGTGTGCGATCTTGTCGATGGCTGTTACGCCACTAATGGCTGCTGCGAGGATGGCGATGAGGTTGGTTTTGCGCATTATAGCGACATATGCTGGAACGTGTGTGAAGACGTCTGAATGATTACGGAGGAAAGAATTATTGGGCGTATTGTTTGATATGTTGTCCGGGGCAAAGAGGCGGGTTTGTTATGGGCACGGAATGGGGAACCGATCTTCTACCGTGGTACTTGGATAGCGGGAATAACACTAATACTGAGGTATTATCTCACCACTTCAGGACACTCATAACACGAATTTCAGATCCGTGCCTGTAGATAGCCCGTCTGTGGGTTTTCAGACATGTGCTAAACATTTGAAGGTGTCGATTGCGTTTCGGATCTCGTTCATATCTCAACATATCCTAGGAGGTATATGGCAAAATTTAGCACCCGCGCGATCACTGATAAGATGCTGTGCCATACCAAAAGATGTGCTCAAGAGTTAAGAATTTGGAACATCGTATTGTATTTGTCATGTTATCGCTCACTGTAAGCCAAGCATAACTAAAGTAGCTACATGAAGGGAATCTTGTGGTCAGCCCCATCGCACCCATACCTGAGTACACCCAATCAATGCCCGAAAGCTTGTGAGTTACCCGCATTGATCTTAGCAAACTCCTTGTTCTCTTTCTGCCACTTTCTCGCATATCTGACACCAAAGCCATGTTCAAACACCTCACGGATAGCCTCGAGCGGCATTCCCTTGACTTCTGGGAAGCAGAAGATGACAAAGAGCCAACCGGCAAAGCAGATGCCTGCATAGAAGCCAAAGGCCCCTGATGGAGTAATACCCTTCATCATAGAAAGGAAGGTTGAGGCGATAATAATGTTGGTACTCCAACATGTGACTGTGTTGAGCATCGTACCAACCGCCCTAACCTCCATGGGGATCAACTCGGTGCCGATCCATGCGACAGTTGCGACTCCACTAGAGTAAAAGCCAACAAAGATGATGATTGTAGCAATGAGCACATAACCTGGCCAGCCGATCTCATCGCTCTGAACAGCCAAAGTGTGTAAGTCGATTGGGATGTAAGAGAAGCTGACGGCAGCAATGACGAGACAGATACTCATTCCCAAGACTGTCACCAAGAGTATGCGACGGCGACCGAACTTGTCGACGATGACAAGGTTGACGAGCGAGAAGATAAAGTTCGTAGCGGAAACGGTGATGGCGACAGCGGTGGCGTTGTTAAACCCTACGATCTTGAAGAGAGTTGCGGAGTAGTACATGAGCGTGTTGAAGCCAGACAATTGAGAGATGGCCATGATTGTGCATGCTACAAATACAGCGCGAAATGTGGATCCGGTCGTGAAGATGCGGGCTAGCGTCTTGAACACTGAGTCGTCTACCATTGTTTGTGTAGCCTCGTTGATGCTCATCTCTATGCTCATAATCTTCGCACGGCGCTGCTCTTCAGTCGAAGTCGGATAGAGACGTGTAAGGATGACACTGGCTTCGTCTGCTTTGCCATGTGCGACTAATTGACGGGGAGACTCAGGGCAGAGAGTCAAAAGGCCGGCGAGGAGGATTGCGGGTGCCGCACCAATGCCAACTGTTGCCCTCCATGCCTGCGAGTTGGCGCCTCCAACTTGCGCGAAGCCGGCACCGATGGCTGAGGCTAGTAGTTGACCGAACGTAACACTCATGTTATTGAAAGCGATCATGCGGCCGCGATACTTGGCTGGTGCTAATTCGGATATGTAGAGAGGGACTACCATAGCCGCCGAACCGACGCCAAGGCCTACAACGAAGCGGCCTATAGCAAATTGTGGGAGATGGTATGCGGCCGTCTGGAGTACTGTACCAATGACGAAGACACCGCAGGCCAAGAAAATGGGTAGCTTGCGACCGTATTTGTCGGCAATCATGCCAGCAATAACGGCTCCTACGAGTGCTCCCCCAGAAGTAAGCGAGGTGACAAGTTCTTGCTCGGAGGAAGTGAGTTCGTGGCCGAGAGATGTGCCGATAGTGACGAGGACCGAAGAGATGTAGCCAGTATCGTAGCCTCGAAATAGTCAGCATGATTCAAACAAGTGACCTTACTCAGCGATAGGGATACATACCGAAAAGGAGACCACCGAGAGAAACGGTCATGGAGATCAGCCAAGCAGCCTTTGAAGCGGCTGTGGCCTCAATACCAGAGAGATTTGCGATTTGTTCCGCATGTTCGCGTGCAGTCGTAATATCTTCAATCTTGTCGATGCTAGAAGACCTCTCGTTGAAAATGTCGACTTTCTTCGTGTCCGATGAAGTTTGAGCCATGTTGACTGATATTGGCGGCGATGAGGAGGCAAAAAAGGATGTGAAGTGTTGACCTGAAGCCAGCAATGCAGCGATGATCGTCGAGGCTCGAAAGCTTGCGATGATTGAGGACCATATTCAGGGAGATCTCACGTCCTACTTATGTTAATTGTGTAGTTTCAAGTCGACACTTCGGAAAGGGCCGGCGCGACACGCAACCAGGCTCGACGCGAAGAAGTTTGGCAAGCTAACATGGATTGCCACGTTGGGA